ATAATAATAGATAGCAAGGAAAACAAGAGGATAAGAAAAACGATAAATAAAAGCAAAAGATATATAAATCCAAAAGATAATAAATTCCAGTAACCCTTTTTAATAATGTTATTTTAAAATTGATAAATCAAGAAATGAAGTCACTAGAACTTTTATATTTATAAAAACTAACATTAAAAATAATTTTACAACTCAATTAGCAACAATTAAATTGAATAAATTGTTCGATAAAAATCGAAAACTAGTATTGAATTGATTTAAAGCCCAAAGACTACAAAAGAGATCATAAAGAATGAAAACTAATCCCCATTAGTGGTTGTAGGTTTCAGAGAGAGGGAGAGTTTTCCAGAAAGATGATAACAAATCGTACCCCAAAAAAAGAGAGAAAAGAAGAGCAAGCAAGAAAGCTTTTTATCGCCTTAGCTTTCTTTTTCCCTCCATTCCTTTCATTTGCAGTTTTCATTTCTTTTTCAACAACACAAAAGGAACAGATTCCCGCACTCCCCATGACATTCTAATGAAGTTAAATTGCCATTAGGGTATAGTATGGGTGTGTGTTTTTCCATTTCCATTTCCATTTCAATTTTGATTTCAATTTCAATCCAAGTCGAGCATAAATATCTGGGATCTGGACTAAACTGTGGATAGCACAAAGAAAGCAGAGTGAAAAAGTATATATGGGGGGTGAGAGAGTGCCATTAAAAGTCGATTAACAGATGGTTTTGCTTCCCTTAACATTCGATTTTGTGTTTATATTGGCCTTTCCTTTCCATTTCCTCCCTTGGGACTGAAATTTGTGGTTTTCGACATGTGAAATTGTAGCTCCGATCGAAAAGCTACCCTTTCAAAATGTTTGTAATTAACAAAATAATAACGAAATACAGTGAAATGTATATTTTTATCAGTATTCTAGGCATCTTAATTACACCTTTCCTTTTGAAAATAAATTCATGTTAATTATTTGTTTGTGTAATTTTATATTATTTCCTATTTTTCTTAAATTTAATTTCATTTATAATAAATTATTTTTTGGTTTTTATTTTAGGGTTTTTGTATTATCTTTTGCTAATCTCTGTGGCAAACAGGGGTTTTTTATCTCCAGACCAATGACATCAATCACTAAAACATTTTCTGCAAGAAATGTATACGAAAAAAAAAAACAACAACTTCAACTTTAAATTGCGTTTTAATTTGGCAAACACAAAAAGAATAAGATTAGACGGAACTTTGGTCTTTCTTTATCCATTTGATATCTTAAAAAATTGATTTTTTTGAAACATTTCTTTTACTCTTAATTGCTGTCATTCAAGATGGACCAAAAAAAAAGGAAGAAAATTGCAGAAAACTGCAGAAACCCTTAGAAAATGGGTAAAATAGAAGGCAACAGCCCCTATCCTTTTATTTCTGTCTCTCTCTGTCTCATTTTACTGTAGTAATCTTCATTGTGGCAGGTCAATGGTGTTAAATTACATATAATTATTTTTAGTTTCTTTTTCACTCATCAGTTCTCCCCATCCTTTGTCTTCTCAAGTGCCTTTCCTTTGACTGCTTCCACTTCCACTGAACATCATCATCATCATCATCTGTGTGTTTTTATTTGCTACGTTTTCCGGATTTCTTTTTTGTGTTATCCCCTTTGTTTGAGCCCCCTTCCCTCCCTCTCTATTAACTGTTTTTGCAATGACTCATTACCTTACCAACTGGCGTTGAATGCAAATTATGAAATCAATTCAAATGCAAAATGTTGGTAAGCGATAATTCGCTTTGAAGGTTTTTCCCCACCTCGTCAAGTGGAATCTAGGCAGGGGGGGAACACACAACAACAAAACAAAACGAAATAAATGCGGAAACGTGCAAAAGAGGAGGTGGAATGTGTTTAATTTCTGGGTAATTACAGGTGTTTTTTCTCCCTAACAGCAAGCGGGACAGCTGAATGAAACGGATAATAGATGAATTGAACAGAGAACAGTTGAATGGAACGGAGGAACAGCTGAAGGGAACGCAGGAACAGCTGAGTTTAAGGTTGAATTAAGCGGATAAAGCTAACTAGAAAGAAAAAAATAGATGGGATACAGGACAAAGAAACTATGAATGGAACATAACAGAACAGAACAACTGAATATAGAACATAGGACATGTAAATAGAACAGGAGAACAGCTGAATGGAACTGAAAACACCTAAATTAAACGGATAACAGTAGGTCAAAAACAGGTGAAAACGAAACAATGAGTATCTGAGTGGAATAGAGAACAGCTGAATGGAACAGCGAACAACTGAATACGGAACAGCGAACAGCTGAATGGAACAACAAATAGCTGAATAAAACCAGGAACAACTGAAGAAACAGAGAGCAGGTTAATAGTACGGGGAATATCAAATATAAATGGGTAAAAGCTAGATCAAAGTAAAAAAGAAATAATATCTTAATAGATATTTTCTTCAGAAGAATTATTTACATCTTAATGAAATCTCTCAAATATTTAAATATATTTATTTGATCAAATATCGGTTTGGTTTTAACATGAAAAATCTTAAATATATATCTAAGCTAATAATTCCAAAAATTTCCTTTCATTAAAATTCAAATCAACCATATAAATTGTATATCTCTGAATACATTATAGTTTTCCACTTAAGTGGGGGCTTATATTAAAGTCATAAATAAATAAAGTTTATGGAACACAATACAAGTAGGAGAGCATTAGCATAACATTGGAGGTGGAAAACTGGTTCCCAGCTGAGTAAGTAAGCAAGTAGTAACCAATGGCATTGAAACATTAAAGTCAAGGTCAGCCAAGGGGTCCTGAGAATGGAATAGTCTTTATAAACAAAAAAAAATATCTTTGAATATTTTCACATTTCAAGTGGCAAAGCCTTCAACTTCACTTTCAAGAAGCATTAATAAAGCCCCATTTTCAGGTTTATTTCCATCACACAGTAAGAAATCTAATCTTACTGGACTGACTTTCCGGGAATTATAATTGAAAGGCCGCGGCGGCGACTGATAAACGAAATCTGAGTGGTTTTAAATTGCATTTTCTGGGCTGACGCGTGCAAATATGAAAAAATAACAACAAATGACTAATCCCCTCATTAGGAAAATGAGTAGGAAAAACTATCCTTGAATGCAAGCTCTCTAAAAAATATATAAAAATATAATGACTATTCATGTTCGTTTCCCAGAAAAATAAACCTGTAGTGTAAATTATATACATTTCTTTTCAGCGCAGGAAAATAGGGAAAACTAATACCCCGGCAACAACATTATTTTTATATTCCGTTCATTATACTCGACGCACAAGGATTCCAAAGGAAAAGTGCAATTGAGTGAACCGGGAAAATAATACCTACCTACGGCCGCCCCCACAGCAGGGGGAAAAATATGTATATAAAAAATACGGCTAAAGGAAACCATATAATTGATTGAAGGAAAATAAAGCCCAAGGAAAGCTTTAACCAATTAGAGGAAAATAATATGAAAAATGCAGCTGGGAACTATAGCGCAATAATTGGTCAAGGGAAAAATAATACAAATTTGCAGAGGCAAATGAAAGCCAATACTTTTTCTCTTCAACTCTTCCTGTCCTAGGTAAAAATATAACAGGGGAAAAATGAATTTCCAAGAATAATAATACCAAAATGTTACAAGAAACTATAATAAAAATGCAGAAAAATAACAAAAAAAAAATTAAAGAAAATTTAAAAAGCAAACTTTAGTAGAAAATCACAAAATAATTCTGATTTGATTTCCCATTTAAATACGATGACTGGCGGCAGGCAGCATTGGAGTTGATATGTAATTAAAGGAAAAATACGGACAAGGGAAAATTATGATATGATTATTGTTCATACAAAAGGAAAATAACAATTCCAACTGACTGCCCAGGAAATCCACACGCACTCGCTTTATTTTATTTTTTTAATTTCCACCTCAATGCAGATAAATGCAATTTGCAACCTTTTTATCAAGGCATTTATATGTAAGCATTATTGACAGACCTCGACTGACGGTTGAATAATAATAATTTGTAGCAAAAATCCATTAAAAAAATATATTTTTTTTTAATATTTTAATTCACAATTATTAAAGGTAAGGAAAAATATACATTTCCTTTTGATTTAAATTAAACAAATGCAATATGCAAAATGCCAAATGCTAATTGTCATTATTGCCACCTGGTTAAATTCGATAACCTTAGCCATCAAAGTTACCTTTGAATTGCAATTTTGTTGGCTTAATTTTTTAAATAAATAATTTAATGAAAACAAGGTTATATTAGAAGAATTAATAGATTTATGTAAGAACAAAAATCTTTAAAAACCCAAATAACTACAGAAGAATGGGTAATATTTGTATTCCTTACTTTAATAATTAAAAAAAAAAAAAAATATGTTATCGAAGCGAATAAAAATGGTTTCTCCAAAATATTTCATCAGTTTTTTGGCTTTAAAAAATACTTATAAAACTTTTTGGGGCTTCAAAAAGCCTCTACCCAAATTTTTTATATATTTTTGAATGAAATATCGATATATATTGATTTTTCTAATATCAAATTTACCCTGCCTTATGTATAAAAAATCCAAACATTTCACTAATAATATCCTCATTTCCCATATTATTATTAAATGCCTTGTTTCTGATTTCCCTAACTAAATATAGATCAAATAAATATAAAAAAAATTATATAAATACATCAGAATGTTTTACTAATTTCTTATACTCATTTTTAACAAGTGATACCTATTATTTTCAAATGCAAAGTCTTCTCCTTAGCCTCAATGGGGTTTCTTCTATGAATTTACTCTTTTTTTTAGCTTTTCTTGTTTTCTTTGCAATTTTTCCTGAATGGAAATCCGATTCACATACACACACCTACAGGAAATGAGCTTAGCGGCGGAAATTTGTTTGGGGTGTATGTGTATGTGTGTTTGTGTGGGAAAATGCGATTTGCCGATTTGCGGTATCTTAAATTACTTGAATTAAGAGTTGGACACTCACCTGTGAATCGATGGTGCACCTGGTGGCAGGCGTTGCTGATACGCGGACATGTTGGCGGCCTGCTGCTGCTGCTGTTGCTGCTTTTGGTGTTGCTGCTGCTGCTGGTGCTGCTGCTGCTGTTGCGTTGTTTTGCTTTGCTGATTAGAGACTGATGATTGATGCAAATGATGGGACGTTGGTCCATTATCATGCTGCTGCTGCTGCTGCAACTGTTGCTGGTTGCTGCTAGCAACGCGTTGTTGCTGCTGCTGCTGCTGCAAATGCTGCTGCTGCGCACCGTTGGGTGTGTTATTGTTGCTGCCGCTGCTACTGCTGCTGCTGCTGCTGTTGTTGTTGTTGTTGTTGTTGCTACTGCTGCTGCTATTACTGCTGGTGCTGCTGCTGCCTGTGTTGTTGCTGCTGCTGCTGTTGTTGTTGTTGTTGTTTGTGGGCGGCGGAGCACCGACCTGCACTGAAGTGGAGCGTATAGCTGCTTCCATTTCATGCCGAACTCTTTTGGCTTAAACACTTGTTTTGGCGCCCAGAATAGATCGATTCAAAATTGATTAATGTGTTGCTGCTGCTGCTGTTGTTGCTGTAGCCGCCAACAGCATTGCACTGCGACATTCTCTCCGGAGAAATGCCCCGCACACACAACAAAAAAATAAATATGTCACTTGTTGTATTTTGATATTTTTTTTTTTTATATATTTCCTTGTATTATTAGGTTTTATTTATATATTTATTTTTATTTTTTGTGGCTGTTGCTGCCACAACAGCACAGTTGTTGTTGTTGTTGGGGGGATTGCCCTTTTTAATGGCTCTGCATTTTTTTATTTTCTTGCTGCTTGCACTTCTCTTGATGTATTTTATTATAATTTTTCCTTTGCTATTTTTATATATATTTATAAATATTATTTAATTTCTCTTTCATTTAATTTGTATTATTTCTTGTTGATCTATTTACACACTAACACACACATACACTGCTGTAAGGATAGGATAAGGATATAAACAATTATATATATAGACACACACTGGGAGAAATCCCTACAAATTCTCCTTCACATTAAAAAAAAAATTTAAAAAAAGGAACAGGAAAATGTATTCATTTAAAGTTGGTTTTTTTCATCTCGTTTTTCTCTTTAGCTATTAATTAATTTTTTTATCCCATAAAAAACTGAACCGAAGCGAACCGAAAAACACGACACTACGAATTTTTCCATTAATTAACAGCTTTGCACACCACTTTTTTTTCATTACGCATTTGGTCAGTTTCTTGCCTTCTCTGTTGCTCGCTCGCGTGCTCTCTCTTTCGCTCTATCACAAGACACACACCGAAAAAAATAAACAGTAATATAGAAGAAGCTAGTAAAGTTAACTTTTCCGCCGTTGCCGCTGTTGTTTTCGTTCGATTTTCAACCTGCAAAAAAAAAAAAAAAAAAAAAAAGAAAGAATACTTTGATTAGTCGATATGCAAAAAAAAATAAGTAACAGTCACAAACGATAGCAGGCATAGCAGGTTAGATGATTAGAAAATCGATAATGGCCATAAATATTCCAGTAGATAATGTCCCCAGTCCCCAGACCGGTTTTCAGTTTCAATTTGAAGTGCAGGCAGGCAGGCAGGCAGCGCATTATCGCAATCGCATTATCGTCTCCCAGCGATTACGATTACGATTATATATATATTTCTGTCATTGAATTGCTTACCTCTGACTGCCTTTCGACTGACTTTTGGTTATCGACAGGGAGCTTAAGGTATTTACGGCCAAAAGTCCTTCAGATATATGGGAAATATATAATATTTGCCAATTCAATAAATAGCTAGGGGGTTGAGACAGGTCAATGTTTGTAGCCATCGATGTTTAATAATTAAAAAAAAAAAAATGAATAAACTATGAAAATTTCTGAACCTCTATAAATAAGCATATTTAGGCAGCTCTTATAACCTTTTTAAAAATAATTTCTGTTTTTTTTTATCAAGTTCTTCAGACAACAACAAAAAACAACACATACACACACATAAGTCATCACACGAATTACTGACCAATCACAAATTTTCTTGGCCCTTTACCTTACAAATGTACTAGAACCAGTTGGGAATTATAAGTGTCGATGAGAGGAAAAAGCAAACCAAAGGAGTAAACAATTTTTCTTTTTTTTGTTTTTATATTAATAAAATGTTTGAAAAATTATTTTTTGTGATGTGATGATGCTGTATCGATTGTCAATAATGAATACAGTTTTATTAAAACAATTTTAATTAAATTTAAATAAAATGATATCAAAAAGGGTATTAATAATAAAAATAAAATAAAATCAAGGCCCCTAGATGTGTATTTAATAATCACAGATCCCAACTCAAACAAAGTTCATTAAATTCCCATAATTATTTTGTAGTAAAAAGCAATTACTGGAATCAATTGAAATTCAAATTCACAGCAAAATGATTCAACGAATTGTAGTTTTTTTTTAGATTTTTCTTAATTGAAGACATTAAAATGTTTAATTATTCCGTAAATTTGTTCATAAACATTTTTACGATGTTTTGTTTAAAATAATATAAAAGTAATTATATTTAATACCAAAAACATAAAAATTTTGAAAATAACATGTTGTATATAGAATGAGTCACAACAGTTTAAGATTTCTTAGGCTGCATTTATTTTTAAATTTTTAAAGCCCTTTAAGCGAATAAGAAGATAATGATGATGTCGATGATAATGAAGAAGAGCTCATCAATAATTTTTCGCCCACTCATCTATCATTCGATATCAAACACACACACACACACACAAGCACACTCGAGAACCATACAAAACGAAGAAGAAGGAACAGCTGCTGTTCGCTCTGGTGATGATGAAATCCGGCAACGTCGCTATATACTTCTCTCTCTTTCGCTCCCACCTCCCAATATATTTGTGGTATTTTTGGCCACATGTTTTTTATCTTCTGCCAAACTAAATACTAAACTAAACTTTACTGTAAATACTGAAAAACTCATGAAAATTGAGCGCACACCGAAAATTGAATTGAATTTAAGCTGCGAAAATTAAGCAAGAAATTCCGCAAAACCAAGTAAAATAAAAGTCAGAGCGCGCAAGAGGCGGTAAAAGAAAAACACACGCAAGGGGGATATACAAACGGTGGGTAGGGGGGAGGGACAACAAAAAAAAAAAAAGAAGAAAAAATGAAAAATCAACCAAGCGTCGCAGGCAAAGCAATAAAAATACACAGAAGCAGACGAGGCGACGTTGCCAGACTTCCCACGAGTGTGAGTGAGAGGCAAGACTAAAACGAAAGAAAAAAACTTAAGCACGCGTAAGATTAAAGCAGCACCGTTGCCAATTTTCACCCAGAGGCAGGCAGCATGGCAAAAAGCAAAAGGCAAAAAGCAGAAAGCTTGAAAACAGCCCCAGTGCAAACAAATTAATATAAAAGAAAAAATAACAACACACACACATACACGCAGCAAACACAGACGACGACAAAATGCACGAAAAGGAAGCTTAAAAACTATAAGAAAACAAAATAACAGAAACAGAAGACACATAAAATAAAAACCAAAAGGAGAACCACAAAAGCAAAAGGCTGCATTATAAAAATATAAATAAAACTACAGTAAACACTGTTCGAAAATGTTAAGCCTTAATAGCCTGTTAAATATAAAAATAATAACATGAAAATGTAGCTTATTTTTCATAATAAACAGTAAGCATTCTTCGCTCACTGTAACCAGAGTGTACTGTAATAGCTTAAAAAAAAACTCAAAGAAGAAGACGAAAATGATGCCGAGGCACATGTTCAAGAGCGAGAGCGAGACAGAGAGGGGTAGATGGTGTGGAAGAGTGATACCAAGCGAGTGGAAGAGAGACGGCAACACGTGGGGGCTCTGCGCACAAGTCAAGCGGAAGAGCGACTGAGAGCTGGTGGAGAAGAGCGAAAGGGATTCAACGTACAACAAATAAACGACCCATCGAAGCAGTAATGGAGCAACGACTAAGAAGAAGAAGCGGTGAAGCGGGGGGCAAGCAACGGCCGAGGATGAAAGAGATGGAGCAATGGGGGATGGGGATAGGAGAGGCCACTGCTGAGGTTGAGCAAAAACAGAAAAGGAGAACACAGCAGCAGCAACAAGAACAAAACGCGGGAACTTTTACAGTCGGCAACAGCAGCGCACGTCCACGTAAACACAGTGGCCCCAACGGACTATTCATTTCAAATATTTCTTATTTACTTGTATTGTTATTGTTTTTAATAAAACTATTGTTATATACAGCGCTTTATTATTTTACTATCATTCAAATAATATTTAATTGAAGACCATGTTTCGCAAGTTAACTTTATTTTCCGTTGGCGAAACACAAGCATTATTTAATTACTGCAATTTGGACAGGTGCTATAACTGCGAACACCACTGTGCATACAGGCACACTTAAATGTACACGAAAGCAAACAGTAGGCGGCATGGCAAATAGAAAGAGAACGAGGTGGTGTGAGGGCGGCTGCAGTGGGTGGCGGTGGAGTGTGTAGGGGAGGTAGCCAGAGACATCGTGCGCAGGAACGCTCGTCCGTATGTACGTGAGTGAGTGTGTGTGTAGGTAAAAGAGTGCGGGTGACGCAACAGCAACAACAAGTGCAAGGCGGCAGCGCCGTTGGCAACTGAATACCGCATATACACACACATACACAGCTAAAACCAGACGCACACACACAGTCGCGCAGACATAAAACTCGCAACGTCATAAAACGATTCGAACAACAAAGCGACCAAGCGACTAAACGACGAACAACGGAGCGTCAGAACGTCAGACAAGGCGACGGTCGGAAAGAAACGACGAAATCACAAAAAAAAAAAAATAATTCCCCAGAGTGCCAGAGAGGGAGCGAGAGAGAGATAGCGACATAAAGAGGGAGATGACAAAAGCGAGCGATGGCCCGAAACGTAACAAGCGAGTGCGAGCGAGAAAGGGCGAACATGTTGTTTTTGTCTGCTGCTGCTTCTTGCTTCGTTCGTTCGGCCTTTTATTTCATATTTTTGGCTTTACTCTTTTTGGGGCTATTTTCTTCCCGCTGTTTTCAGCAATTTTTCAAGCAATTTGAAAAGAACTTTATCAGCATCGCGCTAAGGTATTCCTTTGTTATATTTTATTAGCAAAAATCAATGCTTAGAAATCATAATACTTACAAATCTCGGCCTAGAAACAGTTACGAAAACAATTAAGAAAGCTCTAGCTCCGAAAATATTACTACGATTGACTTTTCAAACAAGGAAAAATATCCTATAACAATAAGGAAATTTACAATATGTAAACTTATTTAGTATTTTCCTTTTTCAATTACACTCTATTGCCCAACAATAACAATGGGACCTTTTATTAAATTAGGAAAAGTTACCTGAAAAACTATAAACTATAAACTAAAAACCGTTCTCTGTGAGGGCCTTGCCTTTGGTAATTAAATTTTGTTCTGCATTGTAAAATGTTGCAAGTTAGTGATTAAAATTAAATTAAACAACCTGAGCTCATGTTGCTCTAATTTAATTAATTAACACACACTGTGTGCTTTTTTGTTGTTGATATTTTTACAGCAGAACATTAGGTATTTACAATATTAGAAAATAGAAAAAAGCATTTTGTAACAACACTTTGTATTTTAATGTAAAAAAAAACGTAAAAAAAAACACGTTATATACAAATTGCATGTTTCGAGAAGCAAATATTAAAGTCGTTTTATTACCTTTTTTGTGCTTATTAATTAGCTGTGTGATAATCAGAAATTTAAGCAATTGTTCAACAAAAATAAACCTGATACCAGGGAATTAATACCAATAGTTCCAAAAAACCTGTGCACGATTGTCATAACAAAATTCACAAATTTAAGCTTTCAATTTGGTTTTGATTTAAAAAAAAATATAAATAATATAGATACAAGATTAAAACGAGTTTCAAGAATTTACAGAACCAAGGAACTTAAGGAATTTGTATGCATATTCCATTAAAAATTGTATGTATCTTCCATTGCCCATTGAGGAATATTTTAAACAGAGCTTCTGATACAGTTTTATTAATAGAAAATCAAAATTAAAATATTTCATAAAGTTTCTTTACAAGTTTATCTTCTCCTAAGGATTAAATAATAAGCAGAGAAAGGGTTAAAAAAAAACATTTTCAGAAATGAACCAAACATTTTGGACGATTATTCTCCCTTGCGAATTTTCCTAGTTTTCCTTCTTTTAAGCTTCTTCTCCACTGAAAATAGCTTAATTTTCGGGAGAAGAGCGCCAACGTCGCAATTTCAAACCCCACAAAGTGCAGCAACAAAAGGCAACTGTGTGCGTGTGAGTGTGTGTGCATGAAAAATGATAGAGACTCTCGTGTGGAAGCAAAAGGAGAAGACAACAAGAGGATAGAGGAGAGAAGACAAGAGCAAGAAGAGGTGGTGAAGAGGGCCAGGAGTAGAAGCGGCGGACAAGGCGCAGAGCATGATAAAGACGGGTGGTGGGGGGTAAAAACGAGTCTAACGAGTAAAACGCAGCAGCGGCCGCAGCGGCAGCGGCACACACGGCGCGCAAGGTGAAACACGTACGAAAAAGTTAAAGAAATCAAGAAGAAAACCGTGTAAAGCGACTGTAAGAGAGAGACAGGGAGAGCGGCATAATAATAATAATAATAATAATTGTGGAGCACATACACACACAGAGACTCGTATAAATAGCAGCGCATGCTTTTTCACTGTTTTATTCACATACACACACACACACACATGGATGTGTGTGGGTGGTTGGCGTTGCTTTTAGTCTTTGTTGTTGCTTGATAAAAGCCAGAAATACGTACAGAGACGGAAAACGAAATGAAAAAAGAGGAAAAAAAAAATCACGAGTAGGCCGAAAGCAATTCATTTCAGATAAACGCCGCCTGCTGCCTCATTCTTCCTTCTTCTCTTGTTTTCCATCTATCTATATGCTTCATCTTCCTCCTATTCATCCTCCTCTTGCTCTTCTTTTACTTCATCAACTTTTCAGTGTTTTTGGTTCTTATTTATTTTATTTTTTTTTTGGTAAAGTAAAGTATTGATTTTTCGCCTTTGAGCTTTAATTTAGTGCACACATTGGATATGCGTGTGCGTGCAAAAAACAGTTGCGGCCATAAAAATAAATTCGCTTTAAAGAAAATAATTTAAAAATAATAGACTTTAATTTTTAGCGGAATATTAAATTAAATTAAATTATAGTTTTAAAAATTAATTTAATTTTATTTAAAATTTTAATTTATTAAAATTCTATAAAAGTAATAAATTTTCTATAATTTTCCATAGTGCATATTGCCTGCGTGTTGTTTTTGTTGCGTGCGTGTGCTTTATCAGTTATTATTGTAGTTGTTTTTTTTTTTGGCCGGGGAAAACGTGTTTTCCACCTCAATTTACCGTACGTAGGTTGCAGATTTTCGTTATTTTTTCTTCTTTATTTTTTTTTCGGTTACTTTTCTTAATTTATTTGTATATGTTGCGCGAAAACACGAAAATATCTGCCCACAGAAACAGAGAAAATGAGCCAGAAAAAAATAATAATAATAACAACAAAGTGCAGTTGCAATTTTAAAATTGCAAAAATGCAAAGTGCAAAAATATTTAGTGAAACACATATGTCGCACACATGTGGTGTTTCTTTCTTCATTAAATCTGCGAAATGTGGAAATTCTTTGGTGAAAAATCAAGTTGAAAATGACTTTTTAGGCAAGTGTTTTCTTTTTTAACTTTTCACCTTTTTAATATTAAATAAATTTAAGTTTTTATTTATTTATACCTTTTCTTATAAGTTTCTTTGAAAAATTAGGACAAAGGCACCACAAATTAGGAAAATATATCAAAAATTTAGTAAAAATATTAATTATAAATATAAAATTTAATAAAATCTCTGTGATATTTGTTAGGAAACATTTAATAATTAAAAAAACCTTGTTGAAAATAAAATTCAAAAATATTTTTCAAAAACTTAAGATAAACTAGGAAAAAAACAACGAAAAAATTTCTTAACTTACGAGTTCAGAGTTGTATATTTACGAATTCTTCTTTTTTTTTAAAGCTTTTTTCTCTGTTTTCTCCTTTATTCTTTTTTGATTCTTTTTGGTTTTCTTCAGGTTCAAGAACATTCGAGAGGCAGAGAGATAGTGAAGAATTAACGACAAAAAAAAGCGATAAGAAAGTTGCGCGAGATAAGAACAAGAGCAAGGAATTTGCTTTTAAATTACTTTCACATGTTCCAAAGTTTGCAAATGAAATAATAAATACAAAAAAAAAATAGGAAAAAAAAGAAAATAAAAGGAAATACAAGGGAGGAATGATCTACATTTGATGGCGCAGAAATAAGCAAAAAAAAAAAAATATATATACATATGTTGATATCAACTTTGACTTTTGCCCATTCATTATTTGCGCCTTTATTGTTCTTCTCTGAAGCTTTGTTTCGTTTTCGTTTGCCTTTAACTTTTTGTTATTTTTGTTTTGTCATTTTGTACATATTTTCTTTTTTTTTTTTTTTAGTTTTATTTTGTTGCCAAGAAACATGGAATTTCCATTAAAATACAAGTGACACTGCGTTTCTTGTTCCTCTACCCCCTCTCTTTAGCTAAAGATTTTCCCATGTTTTCTACAGATATTTCTATAATTCCATACTCTATAATTCCATATATAAATTTATTTGTAGTTGTTGTTGTTGTTTTGTTGTTCTTTTAATATTGAAATGACTTAAAAACAACAATTTAATAAAAGTAATAATTTATTTTTTAGGTATTTACAAAGAATAATATTATATTAGGCTTTGAAAATCCAACTAAAATATGTAATAAAATAAATTTAAAATTTAATTAAAATATATAAATTAAATAAATGAAATAAACAAATTGAAATCTATACTTTTCACAAAGAATTAATCATAAGTACACGTTTTAATATTCTTTTTTGGCCATATTTTCATAAATATTATTAAAATTAACACTATTCTGGTGCCAAATAGTATCATTTTTTTGCTAAACATTTTTTTATTTCTGTTTTCTTTATCTTTTCTTCGTTTTCTTCATCATTGAAAAAGTAAACGTTGCCAAACTTCAGGCGAATGTGAACTTTTTACTTGCGTATCTTCTCAAATTGTTGTTTTTATTTGTCTCTTTATTTAACAAATATTTCCCTTTTTTTTTGTATTCGTTTGTTTCTGTTTTTTTTTCTGGAGAGAAGGAAAAATCAATATGCGCGGATTGCGATTGCATTTAAATGAACGCAAAAAAAAAAAAAAAAAGAAAGAAAACAAGAAATACCATGTGAATGTGTATTTTTCTTCCTTTTTTTAATATATTTGTTATTTGTTTTTCGTGTGCGAGTGTGTGTGTGTGGCAACAAATAAAAAATATGGTTGAGCAGCAAAAGCAGACAGAAAACCGGTTCAACAAGAAATTCTACGTGCGGCTTAAAAAAAATATATATATATATATTTACTCATATTTAAAAATAAAAATAATAATAATAATAAAAAGAAACTGAGGCCATCACAAAGTATAGCTATTCACATTTCGAGAAAGAAAAGAAATTGTTTGAAACATCATCACTAATATTTGCATAATTTAAATGCTAATTAAACCAACGGATCGCCATCGGAATAGGAATAGCTATAAAGAATCAAAGAGGAATATATATATATGTAAAAGAAGTTGGTTAAAAACACTCAAAAGGCCACACCACGAAAGGTATAAATAAATAAAGCCACAAATGTATGGAAATATATACCACAATATAGCGCGGCAACGACAAAAAAAAAAAAAGAAAAAAAAATAGAGATACCAAAATAAAACAAATAAAAAAGGGAAGAGAAAAAAAACTATTAAGAAAAGACTTGATATTTTTGGCGCCACACGTTTTATCTAGAAGAAAAAGTTGAACACATGTCGCCGAGGAATTGATTAAATCAATTTCAAGAAGAGACTCTTTAAGAACTGGAATTCTTCATAGAGAAGAGATTCTTAACCTCAAAGAGGGGTTTTTTTTTTTTAGGAAAATAATGCTAGGAAAATAAAATGCAAGAAGGGTATAAACCGGGGTTGTAATATAAAATAAAGAAAATATAATGAATTTAAGAAATAATATTAAAAAAAAATGTTTTAATTAAAAAAAATATATATTAAAAAAAAATTGTGAAGAACTAGAAAAATTCAAATTAAAATAAAAAACAAAAATGGTAAAGAATTGGAAAAAAATCAAACTGGAAAAAAACTAGGGAAGAATTAGAAGAAATTAAATAAAAAATAAATAAATAATATGTACATGCATATTTTTTATACACGCTAAGCTTATTCCCTTAAATTTTTTTATAACAATACGAGTTTTTTTAAGGCTTCCAATTCAAAATGTAATCATGGAAAATATGGATTTTACGCCCATAGCTAACCGACGGCTTTTGGATTTTTAAATGAATATGATATTCAACAAAATTAATTAATTTAATAAATAAATTGTAGAAGAAAATAATTTTTAAACAAAATACAAAATATATTGTATCTGTTGTTCTTTTAGTTCTTAGAACAAAAATGAAATATTTTGAATGCATTTTGGAATAACATTTAAGACAATATACATATGTACATAGACCCCATAGAAACCCATATATATTCCCAGAAAAAGAACCCCCACACACACAGAAAATACCTGACAAAACTTTAAATTTTTTTTAAAATAAAACAAATCCAACGGAAATTATGATTTTTTTAAATATATTTTTCCTATACAACTTACCAAATCGGCAATGAATTGTAGATAAATCCGCGATGTAAAAAAATCCACAAGAATCCATGCAAAAAAAACTGTATTTAAATTAAGTTTTCTCAACTTGGCTTTAATTTTTTGACTTTTTCTTTGCACACAAGTTCGCGAAATCTATTGATTTTTCTTATTCTTTGGGCGAAGCGGTAACAATAAAAAAAATAATAAACTTTACAAATATATATATATATAGAGGTATAGATATTTATATATATATTTTATAACGGCGAAAGGGAAGCATATAACGGTTGATTATATATATATTTTTTAAGCACAGGGCGTTGTCTGGCCCAAAAAAAAAGTTTCGTTTTTTTTTTCTTTTTTTTTATTTAACGAATTCTCTCTGCATGGGTATGGGCATGTCTGTGCATGTGTGCAAAAACAACTATGTTTGCACACACATACACCAACAGGGGTAAAATTAACAACAAAAAAATATATATATACAAAAAATTAGAACACACACATTTAAAGAGCGACAGAGAGGGAGAGAGAGCGAAAGAGAGAGACCAGCCAGCGAGCAAGCGAGAGAGAGCGAGTAAAATGTTATAAAAAAAAGTCGCGACGCAATTTTTATACTTTATTTCATTTGATTTTCTTTTTGTTAAGCTGCCTTTCTTTGGGATTTTTCTCTTTTTTTTTTTTTTTTGATTAGATTGACAGCACAAACACACACGCACGCACTGATATATATATATATGTATTTTCTGTTATATGTATTTTATAGCTGTATTTTATCTATTTTGCGTTGCACAAAAAATACCTCCGTTCGATTGGCTTTTACGTGGATTTATTATTTTATAAATAAATTCGCAAAACGCTGTCAATTTCTTTTATTCTTATATATATTTTTTTTCGTTCACATGCTCTGCGCGCAGCACACACCCGAGTTTTTAGTTTGCGTTTGCAGCCATTTCGACAACGACAACGCCGAAACGCAACGCAATGACGGCAGCGACAGCGACGCTGGCAGCGGCAGCGAACGAACGGCAACGTCGACCGAGCCAACTTCGAACCGAAAATGAAAGACGAACGGCCATACGAAACGGAAACACAATAAAAAAAAAAAGAAAAAGAAATTACCTATAGGAAATATGGTTTAATACCTGGCTCTGCCTTTTTTTAAGTCCTCCAATTATAATTGCAAATTATTGATCCGAAATTATCAAATTATAAGTATTTAATAACCTCGCGTACACAGAGAGCGAGAGCGCTTGTTGTTTTGTTGCTCGTCTCCGGCGTTGCTTTGCCTTCTTTCACGCTCGCTTGCTGCTTTGCCGCCGCTCCTGCGTTCGGTTCGGTGTGCGCCGTTAGTCGGCTCGACGTCGAACATCGAACATGGCAGGCGTCGAACTCTAAGCCGAAGTGCACAGTGGCGTCCAAATTGGATTGGTCAAGTGCAAAAACAAAGGGTAGGGGTTTTTTATTTTACGATTTAAGACATTTTTAACGTGGGTTATTTGGGAAAATAATTATGAAATTAGATATCACTGAATGAATATCATGAACTAGTTAATAGAATTTATATTTTATACATTTTTAATATTAATTTTTGGACAAGACTTGTATATTTTCAAATATTAATTTATAAATAAATATATTTTAAGGCAAAAGTTAAAAAAAAAACAAAGTTTAAATATTAGTAATAATCTATTAATGATAATCATTTAAAAAATATTGAAGTTTTCAATAATCATTAAATGGTTTTAATTTAACTAAATAATAGTTAATTAAGCAATTAATAGAAGCTATAGTAATATTTTATGTAGGAAAAATTCCTAAAAAATGTATTTTAACTAAATATATAATTAAAAATATATAAATAAACCAAAGTTTCCTTTGTTCAAATAATTATTTATTATAGTTTTTCGTATATTTTTCTTCTGATTATTATTTCACAGAGTTCGGATTACGGGCGCCCCTTCTTGAAAAATTGTTTAGTTTTAGATTTCCGGCAAAGCTTTTTGATTGAATTGTGAAAAATAAGCAAATTATCAAGTTAAATTTTATTCGTTCTTTGCAATTTTGGTTCCCCTTTTGTTTTTTTTTTTTATTAGCTAATTCCCCTCATTTTTCGATCGCCTCATGCGTTTTGTTTTGTTTTTCTTTTGCTTCATATATATTTTTTTTTGTGTTTTTCCTTTTTTTTTTTGCCGTTTGCCAATTTGCAGTGAAAGTGAAAATCGCTGAGAGAGCGCGCAGGCGGCGCAAAAAGGGGGAATTGCAGTGTGGGTTGCTTGCTGCAAGGGGGAGGGGACAATGGGTGGGTGGGTGTTTGGTTGGTGGTAGTGGTGGGTGGCTTTGCGGGCAGAGGGCAACGGCCAGCGTCGGCCTAGGCCAGGCCTAAAAAAAAAAAGCAATCACACATGTGCGATCTACTACCTGAGAATAAATCTCAGAAATACCTTAAATTACATGCGCTATTTTTGTAAAGTGTAATGGTTAGCTATTTCTTTCGTTCATTGTTATTTAATTCCACAAATTAAATATATAAAATATTTAATTTTTTATAATGAAATTATATATTTAAAAAAAATATATATACTTTTATTTATTCTTATTAATTATTATTTTATTTTCATGTAAGCTGTTTGTTCATCTTTATTCATAAATGCTAAATACTTCTTTAAATATTATTAAATGACGATTTCTTGCTGTGCATTTCGCGCTAATGTTTCGTGTCTATTAATATTGTCCGTTGTCCGTTGCCATTGCCGTTGTTGTTGGTGCTGATTTGCCTTGTTTGTTATTATTAGGTCTGCCATCGCTTCCTCCTCCTCACCCTCTTCTTTGGCACTCTACGGCTCATCGCTCTCTTCCCACTCTCTCTATCTCTCTCTCTCTCTCTCTATTACACTCTCATTTCGCTTTTCCCATTTTCTACGTCCCTCTGTTGTTGCTATTGTTGTTTGCAACCGGCCGGCGGAAGACTTGCAACATTTTTGTTGTTTTTTTTTTTTTCTAAGCGCCCGTTTTGCCACGTTGCCAGTTTTCAGTGCAAAAAAAGAAAAGAAAAAAGAAAATAAGCGGCGGCACACACACATACACACAGCCGTACGTAAAAGCGGCAACAGCGCAACATGTTCGAAACAAACTGAAGTTTGGCAACGCTGCCGTAGCAGCAGCAGCACAGCGGCAGCAGCGACATTTTATAACAAACATAAATAAATAAAAGAAGCAGAAAGGAAGATGGCAACAAGAGCGAAATGAAACGGAAAACGGATGAACGAAATGACGGTGGCCAAGAGTGAAAGAGCTGCTGTTGAATGGGCACAAATGCATTTGCATGAGACGGCTCCATACCGCGTCATACAACATCATACCGCCTTAAAAATAAAACAGCAACCCAGTCGTATACTTTCATGCGCACTCATTCAACGTCAGGCAATCGAAACGAAAATGTCGCGAGCTGGCGGTACGCCCGTAAATTTATACGATGAACGTGAGGTATTGTTATTTAACTGAATATTTAAATTTAAATATTACAAAAATTTAATTATTTTTTAAACTGTATATTTCGATCAAGGTTATGGAGGAATTTATCAGCTGTTATCGCCATTTCACCGCCTTGTGGGACAGCACCAGCGACGATTATTTATCAAAACAGAAGAAAGAGCCAGGTTATCGAGAGCTTCTCAATATCCTACAACGGATCAACGGTGAAGCTTCCATGCATGATGTAAAGCGAAAGATAAACTCATTGCGATGCTGTTATCGACGTCAAATTAAAAAGGTACAGGCCTCCCAGACTGGCTACAAGCCACGTCTTTGGTGGTATCACCTCATGGACTTTCTTAATCCCGTTCTCAATATTCAATCGCCGTTGCGGGTGAAATCGGAGAGTCTGGAAGATAGTCTCGATGAGACCAGCATTAATGTGAGTAAAGTAAATTTTTAAAACAATATCCTATCTCGGTAATTTGATTATACATTAAAATTAATAATAATAATAATAAATAAATTAGGGTTTCGATTTGCTTGCTTTAGAATTTTTCCTCATTTATTTAGCAACTTTATACAAATAATTTCGCTTCGAAAGGGCTTTCTGTTCGATTGCCTGAGAAGGTATTGGTTTTCTGTCTGTTCAGGGTTTTGTTCTTCTCACGCTTGTTCGTTCGTGTCGTGGTTTGACGGCGAACCCGTCGTACGACCGCTGCGGTTGGTCGTAGGCAGTGCTGTCACTTTAGAAATTTATAACATCTAGCAAATTTATAATTTCCTTTTAGCAATTTTTGCAATTATATTAAAAAGCTTGTCATTTTTATTTTTGTGTAAAATTTTTAGCTACTTTATCCCCACATCTAGCATTTATTGCTTTCGCTATTTTGGCAGCACTGGTGGTATGACAGTCGCTTGTCGTTCGATTCAGTTATCAAATTTAGATTCCCGTCAGTCGCTAGCCAGGTCGCTCGGTGGTTGCCATGTCGCAGCATAGTAACACGTCCATTGAAGTATGGCGGGAATTCTTTAAGCTGTACCGATCCATGCCGGAACTATGGCTAGTGCGTAGCAAGCCCTATCGGAATCGTCGGCTCAAGAACGAGTCCTATGGCCAATTGTTGACGCTGATGCGTCAGATCGAATCTAATGCCAATATCCATACGCTGAAGCGAAAAATTAACAATTTTCGTACATCATATCGCCGGGAATTACGTAAGGTCCTGCGCAGTGGACACAGCTATGTGCCCAATCTTTGGTATTTCAAGGATCTGGATTTTTTATGTGATCTGGAAACTAGTGATTTGCAAGATGACAGTATGATGCAAAAGGAATCTGAAACGGAAATGGATTTGGAACCGGATTCTTTAGCACAGGATAACACTGAGGAGTACCAACCACAAACATCTAACGAATTGGGAAATTTGGAAAGAGTTCAACTTAAAGTTGAAAACACCGAGAACATGGGAGTTGGTGAAATCAATGAGGTATCATCATCCGGCCTCGAGAACCAACATCATTATAATCAGGTTCTAGTCCATCACATCAACCATATTGGTACCGACACCGAAGTGAGTGCAACCTGGGTAGACTATAAATTCTTTGTAGTTTTCAAATTTATAAATTTAATTTTGTACTTTAAGCTGACTTCTAAGACTTGAACATCACCATATCCTTCATCTTAAATGCCAAATATTTTCCTTTTTTAAATATTCTTCCAGGACGACGAAATATTTGCGGGATCCTTTGAAAAGGAGGAGGATGTACTTGGGGGCATGGAGCCCGGAAGCGAAGGCGAGGCGGAACCTGAACAATATATAGATACCGAGGCCGATCCAGATCATGATCTTGAATCTGAACCCATAATAGCCGTGCGCCATAGGACGAATCTCAAAGAAAATAATGATTTCCATGACTCGAGGGAAGGACATGACCTTAATAAATCTTTACGCTCCACTACTACGCTACGTAACAAACGCCGTCGGAACAGCAATGCCAGTGATTACGACGATAGCAGGAATCAGCAGGGAAAGCGACAACGGGTCACGGAAGAGCTTTCTCTGGACAGAAATCGGGATTGGGATCGGGATCGGGTCATAGATAGGGAGAGCGATAACGAGTGCGAACTGATCGGTAAGCGGATGGCCGCCCACTTCCGGAATATGCGAACAGATCAAAGGCTCTTCGCCGAACGGATTATCAGCGAAGTACTCGTTTTTGGTCGGATGAATCGTCTATCTTTTGACTCTCAGTTTATTCCAGATCGTAAATAAGGTTTAAATTTAATTTACAAAAGAAAAGAAGTTCCAAAAGAAATAACCTTTCTTCAGAAGCCTAGATTTATAAATCTAGGCATTTTTCAGTAAAAAAATAAAAAAAAAACATCTAATGGATTCTTCTGAGAATTAAATAAACGTCAAAAAAGAATTTAAGAATCCGAATAAGTTTGGCTTGATTGATAAAAAGAAAAGAAAGAAAAAGAAATATCGTAAAAGCAAAATTCAAAAAAATATAAGAATCTACATAAGGAAATTCTCCCCCTGAAGAAAATCTTCCGAGTTTGTCTTCAAGGAGGAAAAGAATCGTTAAAATTAAAAAAAATAGCTTTTTCTTAAGCAAAAACTAAAGACAATTCGAGAAGAGGGCAGAGATTTGCAGATTTGGAATTATTCACAGGTGCAGGCGACAATCTGATTCGAATGATTTTGACCAATAAATGTAAATTGTGATAAATATTTTTGTTACTAAAAAAAAAAATAATAATAATAATAATAAAAATGAAATATTTTTTTAATATAAAAATCTAATATTTGTAAAAATTTTTTAATTGACAGCGACATTTTGGTCGCCTGCAAATATTCGCAGCAAAAATGCAAAAATGGCAAAATGCAAAGCAAGACGCGAAAGGCTAAAGACAGGCGAAAGGAGAGAGGGAGGATGGACTGAGAGGGAGACAGGGGCAGTGACAGAGAGAGGGAGAGGTGAAACATAAAAAGAACTGTATACGGGCAAACCGGTTTTTATTCATTTTAAATTTGTGTGAGCGGTTTGGTTCTCCTCCTCCTTCTCCAGCTCCTCTTTACCACCCCTGTCCTCTTATTCTTTATTTGCTTCTTGTTTTCTTCCCTTCTTGTTCTTCTTCTCCTTTACATTTTCTGCTGCTGCTCTGCTCTGCTCCGACTGCGATTCTTTTATTCTCTTACTTTTTTTGCGCGCGCTCGCTTGCCTTCCCCCCTCTTTCCGTCTCCTTCACCCCACACCACTACATCACATCTCTTCTGGCTCACGTTTCCATGCCATGCCAAGAGAAATTCACAGCTTGTTCTTGTTGTTATTGCCGTTTCCTTTTGCTTTAGTAACTTTAATTTGTTGGCATTGCCATTGCCGTTATACAGCTTCCATCCCGCTCTGGCTTGTCAGGCCCACTGTCTCTCTCTCTCACACTTCTTGCCCTTTTACATTGCTCTATTATCGCTGGTTTGGTTAGGTCGGGTTCTACTTTTCTTCTGTTTTTGTTGTCTTCTTTTGGCTTCTTTTTTTTTGCTGCCCGGTTGGATGGGGTGGGATGGAGAAAGGGGTCTTATGGCATCCCTGGGTATGTGTGTGTGTGTGAATCAGTCGGTGTATGTACATATGTGTGCAAATATATATTTTACATGCAATGCATGGCTGTGTGTGAGTAATTATTTATGCATCCACGTAACTTGATCAAATTTTTAACTGCTATTTGCATTTGGTCACACCTTTGGTTGTTGTTGCCACTTGCATTAACCCATTAACAGCTTGAGAAGCGATAATAATACTGTTATTTTAGAACTCTAAAATTGTTTAAAATTCTTAGGTATGCTTAGGAAGATTTTAAATTAAAATTTTTTATAGTTTTGTTATTTGTCTCTCGTTTTTGTGTGTGCATTTCTTTCTGTCCTCTTATTTGCTTTCTGTGATTTTATTATTTTTCTGTAGCATTTGGTTTTACGGTTTTATTTCGTATTGCCACAATAAAAAAATAAAAATACAAAATAAAAGCAGCACGACGTCAGGTCATTAATAACATTGTTGCCCCCTGTCCTTCCTGTTTTGTTTTTCGCCTTGCTCTGAATTTTTATTGCCACCTCCTCCTTCTCCACAATATCCTCCTCCTCCTTTTCTTTGGCAGCCCCCTTTATCAGCCCGCCGTTTACCACCACACATCCCACCATTACCCTTTGCTTATTTTTTAGCTGTCGATTTTTTTCGTTGTTTTCTTTCCTGCTTTAGTTTTGGCTTTCAGTTTTTGATATGTAGTTGTTGTTGTTATAACCGGCATTTAAGCCGTCTCAAAGAAGAGAAGGAAAATTATAAAATTTAGCTAAATTACTGGGCTCTGGTTGTTTTTATTTTATTTTTTCTTCTATTCCACTATTTATTGGTGTTCTCTTGATTTTCCGTGTAAACCATTCTTTTTAGTTTAGATAGATTTGCAATGGAAGTTTCTGTAAAACTTTCAATGTCCACTGTACTACTTTGTGTGCTTGTTTGTCGCCTTTTGCCTTTTGCTATCGGCATCTTTACTTAGCTTTTCACATGTCTGCCTTACGCCCCTTTCTCCTCACCTCATGCTTCTTTCCCCTCTCTTCACTATTTTGCGTCCCCTTTATCCTTGCGGCAAACAGTTTTTGGTTCGTAGTCACCGCAATAATCCATCCCATCTCAGTGTGTGTGTGTTTGTGGCACAAAATGAAATGGCAAAACAAGGTCAAGTGTAGGGAGCAAAGTTTGTTTGAGTGCACACACATATATGTACATATGTACATATACATACGCATACACACAGAACCCAAACCATAAAACATAAATTAAAAATAATACAATTAATTAAAAATTGCAACTTCAATTGATAAATTTAATATATTTTCTAATAATATTCAAATAGTCTTTACTTCATTTTTGTAACTACTTTCTGTTAATTGCAGCCTTCACTTAAGCTTTAAAGTTTAAACAATAGAATTCTCGTACCTAGGCCTTTTTTCTCGTCGTCTGAGTCACGTTCAACAGGCGCTGCTGTGGACGTCAGCGCCGGCTGAGGCAGAAACAGAGGCAGCTCCAGAATTTTGAGGTTAACTTTTTGACGACAAAATAATTGCACAAAGGTGCGAGAAGTGTGTGTGTTTTCTTTTTTTATTGTAATATTCTCATTTTTTTTATTTTAGAGCTGAACTTGACGGATGCCGCTGCCGGCTCCGCTGCCTCTACCGCTGCTGGCGTCGACTGCACAACGACACCTGTGGCTATGCGAAAAAGTCGACGATAAATACAAAATACAGAGGGGGGGAAAACAAGCGCGATGGAAGAAAAAGAAAATAAAACAACCCTCGTCTGAGATTTGCGCTGTCAATTTTTCACAGCCTATGCAGTAATTCGCGCTCTCTTTCGTTTGCGTTTCCTCTCTTTATCGCTCTCGCGCTTTTTCCCCAGCTCTTGCTCTGAAGAATAAGGTGTGACGTACAAACGAAAACACAGAGGCAAAAAGCAAAAAGTAAAAAGCTAAACAAAGAAAAATAATAAATAAATAAAGCTAAAAGAAACAGCAGCTGAAAGTGTAACTAAAATACACACACCGAAAATTATATACCAACAAAAACACACACACCCATATACGCGAGCATTGCGAAAAAAACAACAAAAAAAGGAAACCTAAATAAAAAATTAAATGGAAATTTCTGATATAAAACACACGCAAGCTCTCACACGCACATACACTAGCAAGCCAAGTGAAATTTGGCAACAGCGCAACGCCGGCAGACACAAAAACAAACAATGCGCCAGTAAAGAACGTCGCACGCGCGAGTGAGACGGACAGATGGCGGGTGGGTGGTTAAGTAAGTGAGTGAGAGAGCCAGTGCGTCAGCAGAGAGCGGGCTGCGTTGTTTTTGCGCAGCGCCGCACGGCAACAGCGGCCGCTGCTCCACCGCGTAAGAGGCAGCCCAGTGCGAAATTTGCAGCAAAAAACAAAGCATTCTTTAAATATTTGAGAAATTTACTTAAAAACAGCTGTACATTTTAAACCAATAATAAAAATATTTACATATGAACAAATTCTTTTATTGCATAAAATAATAAAATTAAGACTCATTAAATCAAAATATCAACCAGACTTGTTTGCAACATGGCAACTGTTTACTTTGTTATCTGCAAGTAAAAGCTGAATAGCAAAATTCGCATTGGGTCGTTGGCTCTTCTTCTTATTCCTCTACCACTCGCCCTCTCTCTCCCTCCCCACCCACCTAACGACCTCTCGCTCTTCCTCTTCGCGTTGGTATGAAAAAAAATACAATTTTTTTCGCTACAATTTGACACACAAAGCAGCTGTCTGCATAAGCACCGTACATACGTACATACATCATACATACATTCATTACATACATACTACACTTATATATCTCACGCTGTGTTGCCATAGATACAAATGTACAAACAGACACACGTAATTTATATATACGCGAGTGAGAGAGAGGGCGAACCAGAGCGGGGGAGCAGAAGAGCGCTGGCAAGAGCAAGACCGATAGAGTGGGGAGGGTGAAGCAGGCGTGGTGGGGCTATTTGTTATCTACTGCGCATTGTCTTGATGTTGTTTGCGTAGTTGTCTGTGCCAGTGTGTGTGTGTGTTTGTGAAGATGAAGCAGAAGGGAGGAGCAAGAAGAAGAAGCACGAATAACTAGCGCAGACGTAAAAGGAGAGAGCGGGAGCGGTAGAGAGCACACAAATCAACATGACACGACCAACGTCAACAACAACAACAACTGCCAACAGAACAAACCGGCACATTCAACTTTAACACACACACACACATTCGTTCGGTAGCAGAAGGAGTGGGGGAGAGAGACAGACGACAACTGAGACGCGAGACTAATGGGTGCGAAAGAAAGGCGAGATGCGAACGGACGGAACGAAACGAAACCAAACGAAACGAACGTTCGAAATAAATAAAGCAAAAGACGCACAGAGAGAAAAAATTTGCATAATCAAAACAAAAATATAAATATACAATGTAATGACAAATATCAGATAACATAAGATCTTGTAAGGGAACGCAATTTCGTATTTTGTTGACAAGATTTTTAAATTACCTTGTTATTAGGCCCGAATTAATCTCAGTGCAGCTACGCCGGCGAGAAGCTGAAAATAAAAATAACAAAAATAATAATAAGACACAACAACAAAAATAAATGAGAAGAGGAAGGCGAAATAAAATGAAAGCACACGCTGAGTGGATTGCAGAATTCTGGCGTAACCCCAGGCTGGACATGCAAAAAATATTCAACGGCTAGAAGTGAATTCCCGGGGCCTTTCGTGGGGTTAACAGCGACAGCGAGTTGGGGGCGGAAAACGGGTCAATCAATGCGACAACTTTAACGGGTGGGAGGGATTGAGTCGTGAAGGGTTAACGTCTCATAATCCGCTTAAGATTCAGCGAATATATCAGCGTGGCTCACCACGTGCTCTCCTTCCCCATACCCTTACTTGGTTGGCTTACCTGGTGGTACCTGCGTCCAGGTATTCGGGTTCCAGCTGTGAATATGAATATAATCCATGCGAGTATTCGCTGCTCCCAGGAGAATCCTCATCCTCCCTTTTCATAATTCTCTTTCATAAGCACGTCATAACATGTGCGATTTCGCAGAGTCCCAATTCTTTGTTCTTTTTGGCCATTTTCTTGTATTTAAATTGCAAACTTTGTCTAATATTTTGTTAATATAGAACAAGCTAATGGGTATCACATAAAAAAAAAAAAAAATAGCACAAGTAGTGGGTTAAATCCGATTATTCTATTTTACAATGGGGCTATAGGAAAAAAAATATCAATTTGTGAGGAATTTGCTATGCACTGTACGCTGTGACACTCTGTGACTTGCACAATGTCCAAAATAAATTATGTTTGCACTCGCGGCGGTGCCAGGTTCCCTAGATAAGGTGGGAACGTGATTCCCCTGGCGATCATTCGCGCTCCGCTACATTCTACCCCCTCCGCGGATCCACAGAACGTATCAAACACATGTCTGGTCGTTTCGAGTGTTGTTGTTAATTCTCTCGGCTCTGATGATGTGTGTATTTATTTAGATTTTTATTATCGCGCGCGCTTTTTTTATTATTTATTTTCTTATTTCGTGTTTTTGGCTTATCACTTGGCGTACCGCTCCCGCTCGTCTCTCCCCGACCCGCACGTTTTCAACTCGCAATTAAAGTGATCTGATCGCGCGGCCAATTCACAGTTAAGCTCAAGAAAAGGAAGAGGAGGGAGAGGAGTAAGGAGAGCACAATGAGAGCAGTGAGCTTCAGGGAAAGAGAGGGGGAAAGGGGGAGAGCAATAAACCTATCCTGAAAATACTCGCTCTTCTGGCGGGTGACATTGCAAGAGGCATGCAGAAAGCCAAGAAAAAAAGAAGAAAAAGAGAGAGAAGAGCGGCGGAAAGAAGCCGAATAAGCGCAAAGTAGCGCAACTTGCGGTGACAACAACAGCCAATAACAATAACAGAACAACAATTGACAGATGAACAAGAACAACAATATACAGTGGAAATCATAAGCTTTGGAAACCCAAAAGAAAATTAAAATTTTAATTGTTTTATATTTTCTATTAAATACCTTGATCGCTTTTTAATTTTTTTATTTTACTATTTACAATTGGAAGTCACTTTTCAACAGTACCCACTGTGGCATCGGCTTGCCGGTTTTTCGCGCGTAATCGATGCTGCCCCTGCCCTTCTCCATCCCAGCACCCTCCTTATCTGCTCCCAACTCACATACAGATATGTAAATATATATACATATTTACATATACATATACATACATATATATACATATATAGATCTTGTATTACGTGTTGGCGTTTTGCCTGTGCGTTGCTGTTTTCTTTAGCCTGGCTTTATTTGTGGACGGATCGGTTTGCTTCTTTTGCCGAGTGGAATAATCAAGTCACAGTTCCAGTTTCCCCCTGACTCCACCTCCCTGAAACCCGCCCCTGGGTCTACCCCTTTCGGTCAGTGGCTCGGCACCCAGCAACAACCAGTTATATATACATAGATGTATGTTTGTATGTACATACGTGTATGTACATATACACACACAAACCGGTTTCCTTTTACTGTCTTGCATATTTTTAGCAACAAGTTGAAAGAGTTGCCTCCTCGCCAAATGTTCAGTATACGGTGAAGCCTCTGTAAAAGGATTATTTATAATTTTTTTATACGAAATTATATTTAAGGTTACATTGGGTAGTTATTTTCAAGATTTAAAATGGCCCTTATTTTCAAAAATTAAGTTTTTTATTTGTAACACTTTTCATTATAGGGAATTTTGACCGTACCTTCAGTGAGCAAAAGAGATGGCATGCGCAAATGGTCTAATGGTTGCGGGGGGTGTGTGTGCGAGGGAGAGGCAGACAGTAAAATGATAATGAAAACGTGTAGAAAGATCGACGGCGATCGGCATTCGCTTGTAACAAAACAGATATATTTTTTTTTGTTTTTTTGTTATAAGCCAACAACAGCAAAAAGCAAGAAAAACGTGGTAAAAAGAAACCGAATCAGTAAACAGAAAAAAAAAAAAAACAGAAAACAAAAACAACAAATGAAATAAAGAAACCCCTTGCGGCTTTTGTGGGAGGGTGATGGAGGCGGGGGATAAGATGTGGTTGTGGAATGAGGAATGGGGAATGGTGAAGGAGAAGGAGGAGACAGCGGCAATAAAAGCAACCGCAAACATAGCGCTGCGTCATTGACGCCAACTGCGACGCCGGCAGAGGCCGCAAAACAATTGCCGGCCATTGTTGTCGTTGTTCTTGTATTTGCAATTGTTGTTTTTGCAGTGGCTGGCTCCTGTTATTGTTGTTGTTGGCGACCCCAGGCGGCCCCGTTGATTCCAGCGTCAATATTGTTGTTTCACTCACTTTAACCCCCCACCCTCAACAAATGCGAAAAGCATAGACGAATTTTCATTAAGTTTGGCAAATAATTTAGAACTACAGTAAATATTGAAAATTTGGAAAATATTAAAAATAAGAATTATGTGATTAAATTTCGATGTTAGATCTTTTAATATTTGTTTATTTTTATTTTTGATAAGAGTATGAAAATTGCAGTTTTAATTTTAGTTTTATTTCTCTTATTCGGTTTCCTTCGTTTTCTTAACATTATGTTACATTTGCTTTGCCATTCATATTCTTTTTTGTTTATTGTTGTTTCAAACAGGGGAGCGCCAGAAAGCCAGAGCCCCCAGAAGGGGGAGGCAGAGGCGATGCCCAACACAATGGCCACACTTTGACCCTGACTTTTAATGTGTACATTCGCCGTCTCCGTCTCGCTCTTATTGTTATTATTATTATTATGAATTGTGTGTGTGTTGTCAATGTTTGCTGTGTCTGCTAAACACTAAAAGTATGATTAATTGACCCGAGGCTGACCAGCGCTCAAATGTTCATGTATATGTAATTATGTACATATGTATGTATATGTATGTACATATGTATGTATATTTATACATATTTCCCTGGTAATGTTACTGTTTTTTTTTCCTTGTACGGCTAATTTGCCTTGGCAACCCAACGATCTTTCCAATCAAAAGAGTTATATATAGAGCCTATATAAATCGTTACAGTTGTGGCCAATAATATAATAATTGAAAATATCTAATAATAAATATACATAATACTATATTTAACAATGTATATATATAAATTTAAAATTACATATATTTTAATAAATTATTTAAATTTTATATTATTTAAATTATATATTTATTTTCTTGGATAATTTAATTTAATTTTAATAAAAATTTTAAATAAAACAACATTCCCATTCATTTAAATTATATAATAATTTGAATTGAATCTTTAGGTAAAAATAAATGTATTATTATAATATTATTTTTTAGTTTTATGGTATATATTATATATATTAATATAATATTATATTATGGTATATATTATAATATTATTTTTTAGTTTTATGGTACCTTTTTATTTTTAATACATTAAAAAAATGTTTGCCATAATTTTATTTTATTATTTAAAAATATTATAAATTTAAAATGAATTGGTTTTTATTATATTATTTTCGAAATATTATAATCTTTAACTCTTTAATATCCTTTTTTTTCATTTATTGAATTTTATTATCATAAATATTTAATTAGATATAATTTTAAATAAGAAGTATATATAGAAAACAATTATTTTAGAAATTGTCTGAAGTCCTTGGAATATTTATATGTTTCATTTTCTTAATATTTGATTCATTAAAACCAAAGAACATTTACACTTAGTGTCTTAATTGCAATTTAAGAATATTTGAAAATACATTTTTAAACATTTATTTATTTATTTTTAGTTTTTATTTATTTCTCTTTTTTTTTTAGCAAATTTTGAATCTATTTGTGGAAATAGATGCTATATTTGCTAGCACACCTGTAATACGAATGACGCATGCATTTTGTAAGCCGCTCTTATTTTTTACACTAAGCCGAGAGCGCGTGGCTCACGGGAAAAGAGCACTAATTGAGGTAAGCTCTTCACTGACATTATTATTATTTTTTTTTCAACTGTAGAGCAGAGAACTACGTATTTACTTGAATTAATTGCCAGCAATTAGTCACTCTTGCTTTGTGCTTAAAATTTCTATTCCGCCTGAAAGTATGCAGCGAAAATGTAGCTCAGCGCGGTTACATTTTGAAATTTAAAAAAATAGGGTATTTATTTTTCAGTGCATTTTATTTAAAGCTGTAAAAATGGATTTAATTTAATTTAATTATTTAATTTTTTTCTAAAAGCCCAGAGAATTTCCCAAGATAAAGGTCTTACAAGACTTAAAAGATTATTGTTTTATTATGAATTTTATTTATATTTCGAGTTACCCAATGCTGGGTACAACTTCAAGTCATGCTTTCTTAAAAACTACAAAAAAATATAAAAATATAAAAAAAGTAGAAAAAAAAGAGAGGAAAGAATAATAAACAACAAAGGAAGAATGCAGATATGGCCAAGAGACACTCTCCAAGAGCCACTCTCCAAGAGCTACTCTCCAAGAGCCACTCTCCAAGAGCCACTCTCCAAGAGCCACTCTCCAAGAGCCACTCTCCAAGAGCCACTCTCCAAGATCAACTCTCCAAGAACAACTCTCCAAGAGCCACTCTCCTTGCTGATCGATATCCTTTAGGCATTACGAACGCCGCGCAACTCCTTGTCGGCCTTCTTCAAGGTAATAAAATTATTCAGCGCCTTGACACGCAGCTTCGACCAGACCATAAAGTTGCCCAGTCCCAAAATAGTGGCCGCATGCAGGGCAGCCGCCTCGGGATAGAGGACCGTGGCACAGCCCAAGCCCGATGGCAGATTCAGGCTTGACCAAACATCCACCTGCATGTTGTCCGACTTGACGGGCGGACAGTTGATTACCGGATAATTGGTGCTGCCAGAGATGACGGGTCCCAGGCCATTGGAACGTCCCGCAACGGCCACAAAGATTAGATTGGACATCACCGATTCGTATTCACGGACAATGCGCAGGGTCTCCTCAGGTCCCTTGTGGGCGGAGGTAACACGTAGCTCCACATTCAGACCCAACGAACGACAACTGGTGGCCACCTTTTCGCTATGCGAAGTATCCGAAGCACTGCCCATGAGCACCACAACCAGATGATCCTTTTTGGGCACAATATCGGCCAACTGTTCGGCCACCCAGATGAAGTTTCTCTTGACCGTGTCCAAATCGCTGGCCGTTACCGAGGCCAGATTGCGATAGACCTGCTTATCGACCATTAGACGCTTGTCACCGGCCGGCCAAAGGCGCCATGAATCCGAGTCTATAATATCGGCCAGAACTATATTGCCATCGGCATCCACACCGAACTCCACTTTCATGTCGATGAGAGCACAATTCTTGGTCTGCCAGGCACGCTCCAGGACTTCAAAGACCAGCAGGGTGGTACGACGCATAATGTCTACCTCATCTTGGCCTGGAATTGATAATTTTTTATTAATTTATAATATAACTATGGTTTATTTTATAAACTCACCTATAGTTAGGCCATTTAGCTCGAATTTGGCCGAAATGATTTGCTCATCGCTCCACTGGGGATCATGGTTGGCATCGTCCTTGAAGAAAGTCTCCTGCTTGGGGGGAGAGAATCTGTAAACAAAAATGAGAACAGAAAATATTTAAAATTTAAATAAATTATAAATTCAAATAAATATCAACGACTCTCCATAGGTACATAGCCTCGTATCCGGTCTCATATTACACACCCCAAAGAATCCAATGACTTTAGCAATGTTATTCCGTGGGTTTTTTGGGATCAAGAATCTAATGCCTTATCGCTGGGATCGTTGACCTCGGAGGCAGTGCATCGATTGCAGTTAAATTTGTTTACCGCAACACATCTCTGGCTCGAGATAAGGGAGATCGCATATGGAACGGATTGGTTGATAACCCCCCAGTATATACTATGTAGTTATACCAACCTGTAGCCCTCGGGAACACCAACATTGCGCTTGAGGAACGAACCGGTGGCCAGGCGACGGGTCACCCATTCGATGGGTATCATCTCACATTTGCGGGCGATGAAGGCCTTGGCGCCGCATTGCTTCACATATGCGGTGCGAATACCTGGTAAAGGTGAGAATTATAATGAATAATTATAGTAAATATTTTTAAATATATATTTTTAAATTTTAATAATTATAATAAATATTTTAAATATATATTTTTAATTTTAATAAATATCTTAAATATTTGGTTTTAATTTTAATAAATATTTTTTATAATATATTTTAATTTTAATAATTGTAAAAAATATTCTTAATATTTTTTAATTTCAATAAGTATTTTTATAATTTTTTTTAATTTAAATATATATAATAAATATTTTAAAATATATATTTTTTAAGTTTTAATATTTATAATATATATTTTTAATATTTTTGAATTTTAATAATTATCATAAATATTTTTAATAATATATTTTAGTTTTTATATTTGTAAAAAATATTTTCAATCTATTTTTTTGTAAATTTTAATAGTAATTTTAATAAATATTTTTAACTATATATTTTTATATAATTTTAATAAATATAATAAATATTTTTAATATATTTTTTTAATTTTAATAATTATATTATATATATATTATTAATAATAAATATTAATTTAAAATATTTATTATTATTTTAAATTTGAATAATTATAATAAATACATTTTTTTCATTTTAATAGTTTTAATAAATATTTTTAATATTTTTTTAGGTTTAATAATTGTAATAAATATTTTAATTATGCAATTAACTGTCTTAAATATTTAAAATTTATTTTTTTAATGAGTATAATAAATATTAAAATTTTTTTTTTAATAATTGTAATCAATTTTTTAAATATTTTTTGTAATTTAATATTTATAATAAATATTTCAAGATATATTTTTTAACACAGAAATAACTTACTCATTTATTTATTTTTTTCAAGTAAACTCACCCGCCTCGTTGAGCAGCCGAAACACCTGACCGTTGGTGGTATTGGAGATCTCCGCCTTGCCCTGCAAATCATGGGCCTTGACACCGTCACCGGCGGTGATGCGATCCTTGCTCAGGAGCAGACATAGTCCTGGCTTCTCAGGCAGATCGTACACCTGCTTGGTCTTGCCCTCGATAAGGATCTTGCCCAGCTTGTAGCCCTCAACTGTAATAAATTTGTTTGTTTCATTTTAAATACTCGAAAATAACACTCTGTTTTCCCCCGTTCTTTTCCAGAATCTCTGGTGCCTGGGAATAATCCTCTCTGGGAATCTTTTTGGAAAACTTACTGGATGTAGTTGCTGTTGCGGTCGACATCTCGATGTTGTTTGCTCGACTTTTAGAAACGAAATTAAAACCAATTTGCGGCTTTGTTGCTGCGGCTTCACGTGTTGCGCGCTTCGCTTTGTGCTCGATATTCGCTTTGCTCTCTCACGCTGGCTCCTCTCTCTCTTTGGCCGCTTTTAACTCCGCTGTTCGTTGTGTCGCGAAGATCGCTTAAAAACAACTGAAGGAAAAAGAACAGGCGGCGCGACTTTATGCTCGCTTTTCTTATCGCAGCAAAACCCACACAAGCTTGATAAGCACACGCAACGCCCCAGGTTGCAAGTAGATCTGTGTATGTGTGTGGGTCTAAAAAAGCCAGTGATGGTGGGTACTTTAAATACCCTATAAAGTTGTTGTGTTTTGTTTTATTATTGGTTTTCATGGAAATAATAGATTATTCTGAACTTTTAAATTATTTAAAATATATATGCTACATTTATTTATATAATTTATAAAATTTAAATTAAAGAGTATTTCATAAATGTGGTTTTTTATAGACTAGCCTCCAGACTGACGGTCATAGAAGGCGGCAACCTGATCGATCGCAGATCTTGTTCTGTTTCCGACAAGTTCAGCTTTAGGTTTAGCTTAGCGCGTCATCAATTTAATCGAATGTAAACAAAAATATTTTTGTTTTTGCTTTTTTGCCATAAGAAGACTTTAAATAAATATAGAACGGAAAATCTTGACACACGTTTTCCGCAGGCCAATGGGCTCGGGCTCGATTTACTTTACATTGCATTGGTTGCCAAGTGCACAAATCGCATCTAAATCATCAAGCAGACTGTCAGAAAGCCTGCCAAGATTATGAAAATTATTTCAAGTTCTTTGTTTTTTAAAAAAGGAAGTAGACTGTGACAAAACTCGGGTTATGTTACAAAAGAAAAGAAAAATATATAATATAATAAATAAAAAGATAATTTCCTATAGTTTAACAATATAAAACATATATATTTTTAGAAGAGATTTTATAATAAATACATTAAAATATAAGTTAAAATCAATTTTAAATTTAAAATTCAAACTTTCAAAAAGTTTCAGCTTTCTAAAAAGCTCAAAGCCAAGATACAAACCAAATAGTATGGGCACTCTTTATCTTCCCTATTAGACACAATTCTGTTAACGAGCTGTTACTCTCATTCTGGGGAATTGCATAGACAACATTCTGTTAGGCTCTCATTTTAACAGAAAAATCTGTTGACGAGCCCTGTTACTCTCATTCTGGGGAATTCCATAGGCAAAATTCTGTTACTCTCATTTTAACAGAAAATTCTGTTAACAAGCCCTGATAAATAATGCTTTGAAATTCAGAGTGACCAAGATATCGAAAAATATCAAATAAAAATATCGCGATTTCGGTATTTGGGCAAAAAAATGTCACGACATCATCATTTCATTTTGTTGTTATTCTAAAATTGTCGCGCGCTTGAGTGTATCAAATTATTATTAAAATTGCCTGCTTTTTGTTATCCGTTTATCCGTTTTGTCGGTCGCAGCAAGAACAGCAGCACAAAAAGAAAACTTGGCAGCAAACTAAAACGAAAGTGAAAAAGACGTAAGAATCCGTTTCATTAACAAACAAAACTAAAAACCTACAACAAATTGGTAGACAGTAAGAACGAAAGAGCAACAGAGCGAGGAGAGCAAGCTGAGATTCTGTGTTGTGTGTTCCTTATTGTTCTTGTCGTTTGTTGTGCGCGCACTAAATTCCTCTGCCGGCGTCGCCAGTCTCAATTGTATTAAAATTGCCAGCTTTTTATTATAAATTTAATTGTAAAGATTTTGCAGTGGCATTTACGGGCATATTCATTGAATTTCATTCGATTTATTTACGTTTATTTATTTGTGAGTGCGTTTTTTTGTGGTGCAATTTAGTTTCCTTGCTGCAAATCCTGCTCTCTTTTGCTCTCTCTTTGGCTCTAGCTCTCCTTGTGCAACCCTCTTTTTTTGTTGTTTTCCCCTATTTTGTTTTGTGCCCAGATGTAACATTAAGAACGGAAGAGAAGAAGTGCCAAAATCAAGGAGACCACAAAGAAGGTGAAGAGAAAGAGAGAGAGAGAGAGAGAGAGTCAAAGAAATTGACAACAATTTGCATTCTAAATAATATGGAATTTATGCAAAGGAAAACCCATAACTGCAGTTGATTGATCAAGCGATATATTATTATTATCCGTTTTGAATTTTGCATTTTTCCCCTGTTTGGCCAATTGCAGTTTTCCCTATTTTGTTTTGTTTGTTGTTTCTTTTCGCCGCTGGGCGCAAAATTCAATTGATTTTTTTTTCTCTCTCTCTGTGTCGCCGAGTGAGTGAGTGTGTGTGTGTCTGTGCTTGTACGTTGTTGTGGTTTGATGCATGCACTTGCCTGCCTAATTGTTAATAATAAAAAAAGGGAAAACTTAATATGAAGGCAAGAAAAGTAAAGGCAATTTCTTCCACGCCTCTTCGTTTTGCCCCCTTTCCTTTGAAGCCCTCTTTATCGCATCCTTTCTGTTTGCCGCAACCATAACAAACCATAATTAACGGTGCCTGTCAAACTGTAATAATTGGTGGAAGTGCAGTGATTGCCCGCTAGAGGGGACGTTTTTAGTTAGAACATTTACAAAATAATTTATTTTTGTATTTTTTTTTAGTTTAAATTATTAAATTAAAAACAAATATTTTAAATATGAAAAAATACATTTATTTGTAACCTTTTAATTTTTAATGACTTTTTTGTATCTCATTGTTCTTTAAACCTTTTAAACTAATAATTATTTCAAATACATTTAAATATTTTAATAGCCAGCAATTTTCAGAGACCTTAAACTAAGTCAAATACTAACTTGCCTTTTAAGTATTTGATCATAAACTATACTTGGAGGTTAAAAGTTAATGTATATCATTGTATATAATTTTTTTATAATTTTTAATGTATATTTTTTATAACTTTTAATTACAGCGCAAAGCATACATACACACACCTTAAAAGACTGCAATATCTGCCTTAAAAACGGAGACAGAAAGGGAGAAAATAAAAAGCTGGGGACGGAAGAGCCCCGCCATCAGTACTGAGATTGATTCCAGCACGATCCGGATCTGTGGATCTCTGGAGGAGCAGAGCGTAGTTTCAAAGCCATCCGAGCTGGACGTCTGTCACAATGAGTTCATTCATCGAGCTGCTGGGACTGTTCCTGGTGCTGATGCTGCCATTTCTGTACGAAACGAATCATATATTTCGTTATTATTTCAAATTCTTAATGTACTACGGCATCGTTTCGTTCAACTCGATTGTCCTTATACCGGCCTTCCTCACGCGTCCCTGCGATGTGCGAAATCTGCTGTAAGTTTATAGAAAATTTCATTATTTTTATTTAGTTAAGAAAGGTGAAACTAAAAGTTTTTTCTGTATTAATTTTTTGGGAAATATTTATAATATTAAATTAATATTCAAATATTTAATTTAACATGATTTCCAGGAAGATTAGGTATTTTTACATAACATTATTTCAAGAAAGATTAGGTATTTTTTTTACAAGAATTTTTATGTAATTTATTATTTAAACAGTTTTTTTTTGTAACATTAAGAGATTAGGAATGAATTTAAAGTGAAAATCGATATATAAATCGATATTTTGCGATAAATGTAATACAAATTATTATTAATTTAAATGATTAAATTATGTTTTACATATTAAATCAAAATTATAGAAAAAAATTTAAAAAACAAAGTAAAATTTTTGAATTTTTTTAAAATATCGATATTTTAATATAAAATTTGATTTTTTTTTTTTTTTGATATATCTATGTTAAATGAGTTTTTTTTTATATAAAATGTTAATGTATTAACATATGCTTTATTTTTCATAATTAAATTAGATTTTTTTTTATATTTTCATTGTAATATTAATATTATATAAAATATTTATAATATTAGCGATATTTCAAATATTTGTTTTTTTAGATATTTTCCTTGTAAAATGGATATTAATATTTTTATAGATATATTTAAAAAAAGGACTATTCTCTCGATATATCACCCTAATCAATCTTTTTCTATATTTTTTTTTTTAATCTTAAATAAAATAGTTAACTATTAAAACCAGGAACAAGCCTCAATTAAGAGTTTTCTGTACTTTTATCCTGTTTAGGCATTCTTAAACCTCCTTTAAAGAGTCATTGAGAATATTTGATGGTATTGACTTTTTAGTCCCATTTGCAAAATGACTTAATTTAAGTGGCAAAAGCACATTGTTTACCACCTGGGCGATAGGTAGTAGGTAGTTACTTTGTAGGTGTGTTTGGCTATAAAACTACTGTTGTAGTAGTCCCCTCCCACCCATTCCGTATGCAAATCAATCCACTTAATGTAAGCATTTTCTAAATCACCAACTACTGCCACGCCCACCGCCCACACATGACTGGATTAAATTGCAGTGGCAGCTTGAATAGAGCGAGGACAAAGCCAGGACCCCAGCTGGGACTCGTAATAGCCGTATTGATAACTTAATTGTTCGAAATGATCACAGAGAGTTGGTATAATTTTGATGACTGGCAGCCTTTACTTTTTTATTTTGATTTTTTTTTTTGTTGCTGCATTTATTATGCGCCCCCAAGGCGGCTCTATCAATGACACATTCAACTTTAATTGGCCATCAATATTAACGAGGCCTCAAAGTGCCAAGGAGTGTGTGGTCTTTGGACTGCAGGTGTCTGGGCAGTGCAGTGTCCTGGCCAAACAGCTGGCAGTCAAGGCCTGAAACTCTGGCCCCAGGTCAGGAATATTTACGAGTTAAAAAAAATATATATATATATATATATATATTCAGGGCTCACTAACTGGATATTATATTTTATGAATCCTTAGGAAGGGTTTGAATTATTAAATAAATATATTAAATTATAAAATTAAATTAAATTATTAAATTGAAAAATTCAACAAATAAAGTAAATTATTAAATTAAATTAAATTAATAAATTTAAATATTAAATAAAATTATTAAATAAAATTGTTAAATTGAGTCAATAAATTAAAATATCAAAAATAAATTATTAAATAAAATTATTTAATTAACTCATAAAATTAAATGATTAAATTAAACTATTTAAATAAATTAGAAAATTAAATTAAATTATTAAATTCAATTGTTTAATTTAATTAATATTTTAATTTATTAATTTCATTTAATTTCTAAATTTATTATTTAATTTAACTATTAAACTAAATTAAAATATTACATAAAATTATTAAATTAATTTACTAAAATTAAATGTTTAAAATAATTAAATTTAATATATTTTTAATTTTATTTTGCAGTTAGGAAATTCTTCAATGGAAAACCTCCACAATTTCAAAGAAATTCTAATAAAAAAATAATCTGTCAAGTCATTTAAACGTAACTTTATGATTCTTTACGATTTTCCCACAGCCCATAATTTCAAAGATATAGATTTATGATTTGATACCAAAAATGTTTACAATCGATTTCATATTCTTATCATTTTCAAACTCAAATTTTAGTGCACCTTCCGGTATTGAAAATTGATCAATTTTGTTTGGACCTTTGCATTTAGCGTATGTTTGTGACGATTCTCGTGGCAAACAATTACCTAATGATTCCGATAAGATATATAGTATTATATAGTACGTTCAATGCACAATTACGTGCAGGGAAGAAAAAAATAGAATACAGATTAGATTACCCTTTGGTTATACAAAAATAAATCAGGTTTATTACAAATTTATTTATCGATTAGTTTTTTTTAGTTACTATTATTTTATGATTAATTACATTTGATTTTTGCCCTCCAAAATATCGGTAACTTCGATTTACCATAGTCTCTACTAATTTCTAAAATTAAAAAAACTTAATTTTATCGATTTCAAATTATTTTTTTAACGCTAAAAATTGAAAACTTTTATGTTAAATTTTTATCTGGGGAAAAATATATTATTTTTTAAATGAATAAATAAATAAAATTTTATTATTCGTAAAACGATAATTTATTATATTTTTATTTTTTAATTAAAAATTTTTAGATAAAGATACAACTTTTTTCACTTTTAATTCTTTAATTAATAATTAATGAATGAAAATTCTTTAATTAATAAAAAAAAAACTAAAGATAAATCCCCCCACAAAGTGTATTGCCAAGTCGTCTTTACCTTATCGACCTGTGATTTTTGTTTATATGAATTTTTGTTGTGTCTTTCAACTGCGGCCACCATTGCATGGGTGTCAAGCCAAGGACGAAAGTTGGGTGTTGGCAAAGACAGGTGGGGGTCGGCTTGAGCCATGGATTCGACACACGTGTGGCCGCCGACCAGGGGAAGGGGGGAGGGGAGGTGGAAAACCCAGGGGCCGCAGGGAGCTTGCATTGCACGCCAACCAAGCGACTTGTGTGTCCCCATTTGCGGTTCTGCTTTTATTTATTTATTATTATTGTTTTTTTTTTGTGTTTTTTTTTTTTTTCTTGCGGTCTGCGGTTAGTGCACTTGTTAGAATTTCCCCGCCCGACCGCGACTCAAATCACCATTCGCATGAATATTTGATCTCGAGGGTGGGTTCTGAATCCGAAACTGAATCAATTAGAACTATATTTAATGCAGTTTATCGATCCGCTGCCGTTGGACAATTAAGACGAGACTCGGAAACCTCGGTGTCTCTGGGCTATCATTAATTTTCTAGCCATATAATTATCTGTTCTTTGATATCTAAGCCTCGTTGGCTGTCAACTTGATTGGATAATATAGGATAATGGTCAATTTATTATGGTTATGATTTATTTTGAGGAGGTTTTTAAGAGCTAATCCCTAAAGAGTTCATTGATTAACAGACTAAACAACTTTTGGGTAATAAAAAAAAAATTGTAGAAACAATTGACAGATGTTTATATTATTCATTTTTATGGCAGACTAAATTCACTGGCAGGTTTTCGGAAATTATTCATAGGTTAATGAATATTTAAGGATTATCAGTAGAGTCTAGTTATTATTATTAAAATATATACATTTTATTAAAAGTATTTTTATTATTAATATTATTAATAAATTAAATTATTAAATTAAATTTTAAGATTAATTTTTTTGATTAAATGGATGAAATTAAATAATGCAATTAATTATGAAATTAAATTATTAAACTTATATTATTAAATTAAAATAAATTATTAAATTAATTTATTAAAATCAATTTTTTAGTTAAGTTATTAAATCAAATTATCAAATTAAATAGTTAAATAAAATTTTGAAATTAAATTTGAAATAAAAAATTTGAAATAAAAAAATGTTAAATTAAATTATGCAACTAAATTATTAAATTAATTTTTTCATTATTATTATTAAATTCAATTAAATTATTAAATTAATATTATTGAAATGAAATATTTTCGAATTTACTGTATTTTCTCTTTTGTTTTTTAGCTGGGCAAGCACTTGGTGTCATCGCATCTCCACGCTAATCGGCCTGCGCTGGGAGCTGCGTGGCAAAGAGCATCTGGCCAAGGATCAGGCCTGCATAATAGTGGCCAATCATCAGAGCTCGCTGGATGTGCTGGGTAAGCAAAAAATCAGCCTTGTTTTAATCTCAAGAGAGCGGCTACGAACCCATTTTCTGCCGTCTCCTTAAGACTTTTCCTTTTATAAACTTTATAAATTCTTTATCTATTTTTCCTACCATTTCTCCTGCTCTCCTCCCCCGCAGGCATGTTCGACATCTGGCATGTGATGAACAAATGCACGGTGGTGGCCAAGCGTGAACTCTTCTATGCCTGGCCCTTTGGCCTGGCCGCCTGGCTGGCGGGCTTGATCTTCATCGATCGAGTGCGCGGTGAAAAGGCTCGCGAAACCCTAAACGATGTCAATCGTCGCATCAAACAGCAACGAATCAAACTGTGGGTCTTCCCCGAGGGAACACGCCGCAACACCGGTGAACTGCATCCATTCAAAAAGGGTGCCTTTCACATGGCCATCGATCAGCAGATACCCATTTTGCCGGTTGTCTTTAGCTCATATGGGACATTCCTCAACGACAAGAAGAAGATATTGAATGCAGGTCGCATTGTGATCACCACTTTGCCGCCGGTAAGCACTGAGGGACTTACCAAGGATGATATCGATGTGCTAATGGATCGGGTCAGGACCCAAATGAGTGATACCTTTAGGCTGACCTCGGCGGAGGCATTGCAGCGCTACAAGCCAGCGATGATGAAGGGAAGTAGTAGTAGTAATAGCATTAGTTCGGCAGCAGCAACAACAACAACGATCACACCGCCAGTGGCAGATGCAGCCGCAGTGGCCAGCAGGAGCAGCAGCAGTTCAGCTTATAGCAGCCAGCCAGCGGGTTATGGCAAGGCCAGCATGCTCAAGACATTGTAGGCATTGCAATCATCTTAGTCACTCGAACACACTCAACACACTCACTCAACATTCAAGTCACTCAACATTTAACTCAACATTCAAATCAACATTCAACTCACATCCAAAGAAGGCACTCACGTGAGTCTGTTTTTGGTTTTTTATCATTTCCGTGTTATTTTAAAATTTCTAAAAGAAAAAAAAAAACATTAATTAAGTTATATATATATTTTTTTTGTATTTTTTGTACTCTTATCTAAGGGTATTTTTTTTATCTATTTATTTATTTAAAGCCAAATATAAATTTTAGTCATTTCAAAAAGGAATTTCAAAGTCGCCAGAATTTATTTTAAAAAAATTGATTGGTCAAAAAATGTGTATTTAAATTTTTTAGATTTGATTTAATTTTGTGGTATTTCATTTAAAATTAGGGACCGTAAATAATAATTATAAATGTTTTCTTAAAAAAAAAACAATCAACAAAATGTATAATTAATTTTTTTAATTTGATTTAATTTCACAAAAAATAATTTTGAGCGTAAAAAGTAATTATTTTTTGAGCTAAACTAAAACTAAAATAATAATGATAATTTTTTTTTGCTAAAAATAATATTAATTAATTTTGGAGCGATTAAATAAAAAATAAAATTATAAATATTAAAATTTAAAAAAATATATTAAAATTAATAATTAAATTAATTAAATTAATTAAATTAAAATTTAATAAATATAAAATTAAATAAAATGAATTAATTTTTCACTTCTAATGATTACGGTCTCTGATTTTGTTTATTTTTATTTGTTTTACCTCTATATAATTTTTTAAAAAGTATTTCCTCTATAAATTCTCAAGTTATTTAGGGATTACTTTCCTTAAAATCTTAAATCCTTCTAAATTTCACCCTCACTTAACTCACTTTACACACAACAAATAGTTTTTGGCTAATTCAAGGCACCAATTGAGTATTAGGAACAGCGACTGTCAGACTTTTAACTTCTTCTTAGGCAAAAAAAAAAACACATCAAAAAGAAGGAAAATCGAAACCTACACTGGCCAACAGGATTTAAAAAAAACTCTTCTGTTTGCCTTTATATATAAATATAAATATAAAATAATACTTATACTAAATATAGACACGGTCAATAACGAAATATCCAAGTTAACCGGGTTGAGATATTTACAAGAAAGCAAAGAAAAACCAAACACGTATTTTATTTACTTAGACACATTCCCTGACTTTAGGTTAGGGCCTCATCGAAAATTAATCGAAATTAAAAAACTAATATAACACACCCATAAATATAATTATTGTATTTGTAACCCAAGTATTTTTCTGTGAATTGTATAACTTAACTTTGTAAATACGATGTCGGGGAGTAGCGATTGAGATATGCGGTTTACTTTAAAGACAAATCAAAAAAAAAGCGATAAGCAAAAAACCAAAAATAAAAACTGAAACAATTTAATGCAAATATAATAAATATATATATATTTTTTTTTTTCAAATAAAACAAAATATGCTTTTGTTCTATGGGTTTTAATCTCTATAAAACTGTTATAGTTTTGAAATTTAAATTTAACAAGTTCACTAATTTGTGACCTTGCTCAAGGTACACAAAGCACTCTTTATATTTTTTTTTAGGTAATTAATAGAGCTCCCTGAGATAGGTTCCGATAAGGCAGCTCTCAAGATTAATAACTTCCTCTTTAAATCCAGCAAGTTGGCGGCAACTTGAAGAGCCTGGAAACATTGCACATGCCCAATGACGAGGAGTATCTTATCGTTGATATTGCATCCAGATAATGTTTATTATTAGAGGTCTATTTAGGGGAGAGGGCATTGTCCATTGACCCATTGGGGGGTAACATTGATCGGGTTTAATTACCTGATAAATGTTATTTAATTTTTATGGACCTTCTCGAAGAAACTCTCACCTTGAACTCTAATTTTTGCACTTTTTAAAGGGTAAATGTACATAGAAGATAAATTAGTTTATAATTTATGGGTATAAAATATTTTAAATAAATAATAATTAATTAATAATCAATATTTTTTAAGGTTTTTTTATGTTTTCATATTTTTAAAATATTTTAATATTTTTTTTATATATTTAAAAAAAAATTCCAATATTTTAATATTTGTTTTTAATATTTTAATATTTTTTTCTTATATTTTTATTTTTTTCTAATATTTTAATATATTTTTTTAAATATTTTAAAATATTTTTATTTTTAATTTTTAAAAGCATGACAATAAAGTAAATAAATATAAATATAAAATAAATATTGTTATGATACTTTCAGTACCCATTCGTGGCGAATGGCAAAAATGTTACCTGGGAAGTCACAATTACCATTAAAAATTTCCAGCTTAAAATATAATTAAAAAATCACTATAAAACAATACAAACAATATGGTTTAAGCTATTGTGAAAATATTTGTATATTTCTGTTAAAATTTTTCTGGTATTTAGAATTATTATTATTATTAGTAGTATTATTATAAAGTATATGCATATTACATGATTTTAGATTTGCGTCCTCTTTTGCTAAATTATTGTTAAACATTTTCATGTTACATTTTTGTTTATGGTTAATGATTTATTAACTTTTTGTTATAACATTCTTTCTTTGCTTTCTTTTTTGTTTTGGGATTACATTGAAAAGTTTTCAAGTTTTGTTAATAGCTTTTGTTTTACAATTTTTGGATTCTGATTTTGTTTTGTTTTGTTTTTTTTTTGTGTTAGGAAATTTAAAATATTACCTGTTCTATATAAGAATTTATATATAAGTTTAATAATAAAGTAGAAACATTTGCCAGAGGTATATAAAGCCCCTTGACTTTGTTAGTCAAGTGTATTCTCCATCTCTTTCATATTCAAGGTCTTGGAGAAGCTAAGAAGGATTTTTTTATAATTATTTGCAGTATGAAAAAGTGTTAGAAGAACACTGTTATTTTTTAAATATATTTTTTACATCCAAAATATTTTAAAAGAAACTCGAGTCAAGGGGCTTTATATTCCTAGGTAAACAAAAAAACGTATATTTTTTTCGAGGATCTTAAGCGCTTAAGCTTAGGAAGAAGTTTTTTTCTCTTTCGGTTGTTTTACAACACTGCTATCTAAAACTAAGGTCGATCAGGGGGAAAAAAAATAAAAAAACCTCTGTCTATATATATATATATATTTTTTTTTAGATAATATATTTATTATATTCAAGTGATTCGTTCGTTATTAGTTCTTAGTTAAAGCCAATTTGCATTTGTTTAGTTTGAGTCTATGTTTTTTAAAAATTTGTTTAAGCGCGCTTCGAATCTGCCGATTATCAGTGATCGATAATTATCGATTCTTCTCTTTGTTTAATTAAAATTTGTCATTTGTCTTATCAGTTACTTGGATTGGATGTATGTATGTATATATAGCTTTTCTGTTTATGGGTCATAATTGGTCAGATGTTGTGGCATATTTGAATTGTACATTCAGTTAATTAGTTTATTTTCCTCCTCTGAGCTTTAACTTTGCTTTTCGCTTTCTCTGCTGGAATTTGAATAGTTATCGATTTAATTTCGATTTTTTCTTTTTTTGTTTACTTATCGTCATTTTTATTATTTACAGTTGCGTGTTTAAAGCAAACATAATTTCACAGCCGTACTCCTCATATTTCTTGGATTTTTTCCCACTTTTTTATATATATATATATTATATATATATATTTCTTATTAGTTTTTGATGTGCTATCAAGTGAAAAATGTCGACCAACGATCGATTTGAGTTGTTTTCTATTTAAGTTTTGGTTGTTGCTGGTCCTGCTCTATATTTTATATATATATCTAGAATTAATTGCTACAATCATTGGGCTTGGATTTGCTATTTTTATATAGAAAGAGAGACGGAGATGGCTTCAGAGTCTTTATTAGTCTTTAGCCTAAAGTTTGAAACGAGAGAGATCTATATAACTAGTTTCTTGAAGGGTTTTTTGTTTTTCCTACCACGTTCTCATACGTGTCTACAAAGCTTTTTCTCAGCTGATTATGCAATCGATTTTTGTTTTTATTTTTATATCGAAAAGTAGAACCTATCGGCTATTATTATAATTATTATTAGATTTTTAAAGGGGCTTAGGTTTTACCTTGGGCAAAATTTCTTATACGAAACATAGGTTTTCACTTAAACGTTACTCGCTACTTGTAACTCTTTACTCGTTACTCGTTACATATTCCTTTCTCGATAACGATAACCTACTTTGATATATACTATATAGAATTTGATTCAAATGGATTGAGGTGTTTGTGAATGTGCAATGTCTTTGCTTTTTTAGCCTACAATAAAATTAGCACCAATGCAAGAGATAATAATGATTCATGTTTTTTTTAGAATAGTTTGCTTTTACTTTTTTTTTTTTTTTTGAAAAAATGTTTTGCCAAGATATGTGTAATTTACTGCAGTGTATTTTCCCAAGGTTTTAATCTAGGTTTTTTTTTTTTTGCTTTTAATTTTTGTTTCTTTTTGGTGAAAACAAAAAGTAACTTTTACTAGGAGCAGCATGATTTTCGATTGAAAAATATATATATAAATCAAAACTAAAACCTTTCTTCATTCCAGTTAGCTAAACACTAATCAACAATTTGTTTGATCCAACAGAGCTAAAGGCTCTCGTGTACAATATTCTTACATCGATATACATAGCTTCTTTATATATATTTTATATATATATATATATATATTCTTTATATATATAGCTTCTCTTTATATATATATCTTCTCTTTATATATATATCTTCTCTATATATCTCCCTTTTTATATATATTCATCTTGTTACTATAGAGTCTTAGGAGCTAGAGACTGTCTTATCCGTTCGCTTGATGAGTTTACTATGGTTTCTCTGTATATATACGCCATATATCTGCTATATATATATATTTTTATATATATCCAACGATTCTGATTTGAGGGCTGTCGGGTTTGTGGTAAATGAAATTATTATTGTACCTATATAAGTCTGGGGATATTTCGTGAAAACCTATGCCACTTGGTTAGTGCACACTGTATTCATAATCTCGCTGAGATAAAGATAGATAGATAGATAGAGATAGAGAGAAAGAGAGAGACAGCAACAAGTAACAAAATTATAGGGATCGGTTGGCTCCATCCAGCTCTGGCTATTTCACTTCAAGTTATAAATTCAGGAAGCTGTTGCCCAGAAAGCCCAGCATTATGGTGGACATGGCTATTGGGGCGAGGCGTACATTCGAGGCGGTGCTGTTTCCAGCCAAGATCTCGGCACGTTTTCGCATTCGTTCCTGGGATAAGAATAAAGATGAGTTTTGAGTTGGCTTTTTTTTTGTGATATTTTTTGGAGGTTACCTGGTACAGCTTGTCCTCGCCGGGTGGATCCAGGCACTCGAACTCGCAGCAACGTTCGCCAACCCGAAAGTTTTTGCAAAACTAAATGGGGGTTGAAAATATTGTTTTAAATTTAGTAATATATTTAAAAACAAGAAAGGAAGCTAACTTCGGCACGCCGAAGTTTGTATACCCTTGCAGATTGGTTTCGATGTTTATATTATAGATTTAAATTCTGAAAACACTCACAAAACAGAGTTTCATTACATTTTACTTATACTTATTATGTTTACAGTTTGAAAGTTACAGTTTTACATTCCCAGTTTTACATTTTCTCTACATCTACCGATCGGTTTATATGGCAGCTATATGATATAGTTGTCCGATTTTTATAAAATTTATACCATAATTCTAGAATAATAAAAAAAGCTTATATCTCAGAGTAGATAAACATACGTTGAAAAACAACGAAACTATAATTTTTTTTCTATTTTTTTCTCGACCGTTCCTATGGCAGCTATATCATATAGTCGACCGATTTTCATAAAATTTTTACCAAAATTCTGAAATAATAAAAAATGGCCATATATAAAAAATGGTGCAAAAATGTTGAAAAACAGCAAAGTTATAATTTTTTTTCTACAAATATATCGAACATTTGTATGGCAGCTATATGATATAGTCGTCCGATCCGGCCCGTTCCGACATATATAGCAGTGAGAGCATATAGAAGACTATATGCAAAGTTTCATTCAGATAGCGTTAAAACTGAGGGACTAGTTTGCGTAGAAACAGACAGACGGACAGACGGACAGACGGACAGACGGACAGATGGACAGACGGACAGACGGACAGACGGACATGGCTAGATCGACTCGGCTGTTGATGCTGATCAAGAATATATATACTTTATAGGGTCGGAAACGTCTCCTTCACTGCGTTGCAAACTTCTGACTGAAATTATAATACCCTGCAAGGGTATAAAAATATATAAGCTTGAATCAGTTGAGAATTCTAATTAAAAATAGGAAATAGGAAAATTGAAACTAAATTGGGATTGTTTTAAATTTAGTAATATATTTAAAAAAATTATATAAGCTTGAATCAGTTGAGAATTCTAATTGAAAATGACTTTAATGTTGAAATCAGTTGAAAATTCTACCTAAAAATTACTAGTATAATGGAAGCAGTTAAAAATTTGATGTGAAAATTACTTTAATGCTGAAATCAGTTGGGCATTACAGCAAAAGCTCACTTTACTTCTAGAACTAGTTGAGAATTCTAGCAAAAAATTCAGGAATTGCTAGACTAAGGAGGGAATTTTTGCTGGGAATCACTTCATTACTAGTAATAGTGGTAAATTTTAGCTTTAAATTAGTATTCAAGTAATTTTTAATTAAAATTCCCAACTAATTCTCACCAAAAATAACGATGTTTAGGTTTTTTCTACTTGCAAAATAGTTTTGTGGCTTTGGTTTCAAAATTTTTGATATTAACTTGATTTCTAGGGATTGTTTTTTTTTTTTCTAATTTTTGTTTGAATATTATACGATATAGTAACTCACATAGGGCGGATCACAGTAAATGGCCTTGCACCAGAGTGGCTCGGAGTGATAGCAAACGCACAGGCTGCAGACACCGGGCCCTGGTACATACAGCATTCCATGGTTCACCTTGTTGCCCTGAAAGTCAACGCAGTCCTCCTCCAAAGCAGCTAGCAAAAAAAAAAATTATAGTACATTTTATTTTATTAAAAAAAAAAAATATATATATAAATATATTTATAATAATTTATATATATAGACAGTGTAATTTTGAGACTATGCTCTACTTTAATCCGGCTAATCCGCCGCCTGAACCCCAGGGTTCAGCGACTATCAATTTCATTCACCCGCGGGATCACTCTGGAAAGCCAGAGATAATACAGATTTTGCGACTTGAGGCGGTTCTAACTCGCTAATCGATCGGTTATATCACTCAAGGCAATATTATTATTATATTCTAAATACTTAATGAATGAATGAATACCATTATAAATGGTAAATGTGATATGTTAACATATGACTCTTGCATAAATAATAAACTAAATACTGTGGCAGAGAGTGCTAGGGAAATGCTAGAAATGTAATTTCCCAAGGAGGCGACTCCATGACAGGCGGGACACGTGCGAGGACAGACAGAGAGCCAGCTGCCAGAGCCATCATGATGGATGGGGTCAGGAGGGGGTTTCGGTTTCGGTCTCATGCTCTTGCCCAACTTTGGCTTTCCGCCGGAGACCACCGGGACGACGGGACACGGACACTCATTGACTCGAAAAAGCACACTTGGGTTGCAAGTGACGTAGGCTCTGGCCTAAGCTTCGAACTCGAACCTAGACTAGAACTCAAACTAGAGCTCAAACTCGAACTCAAACCTCGGTTGTAAGACACTTCCGAGCACGGATACGGACATGGACACCGCGACACGAGTACGGACGCGGCCACGAAATACGGATGCGGTCTTGGGGTGAGCTTTAATGGGTCGCGTGCTACACGCAGGAAAAAGAAGTGTGGCCTCGAGGCAAAGTAATATGCTTTTTTTGAGGGGAATGAGAGAACATTTTGGGAATCCTAGGGGAGAAATTTTGAATAAGCTTGGTACTAGCAAAAAAGAATACAAACAATAAATACAAAAATATATATAAAAATAAATAATAAAAAGGAAAATATTTAATTTTTTGCCTGTTTCAATCGAAACTCAGCCACAATTAATAATGAATATAAAGCGGAAGGTAGAAATTGGTAGAATTAACTTCTGATTACAAGAGGACGCCATTCCTTCGTTGGCCCTTCCAATATCGGCCGCAAGCTCAATGAGAGTGTCAACTCTCTCTCTCTCTCTCTTCGCTCACAGCTTCCCATGTATTTCGCCATCTTCCAGAATTCCGCCATTCTCTCTCTCCATTTCGCATGCGCAACTCACTTCGATCGGTCGAAAAACACGCGGCTCCGATGGAAACGCGGAAAAAACGGTGAAAATCGTTTGGAAAAACGGGAAAATGTCGTCCCGTCGGAAAAACTAGCCCTCCGGAGGGATCGCTTACTCTTTTTCGCTCGAAAATCCGAGTGAAAACCGGAAAAATCTACGCTCTGCGTAGTTTTTGTCTGCCGGTTTTGAGTGGCGAAAATACAGATTACAAAATACAGAGTGAGTAAAGATCATACATTCCATTTTCTTGAGTATTTGGTTTCTTTTTTTGTTTCTCTCTCCGTTTTTATCCTATTTGCCCATTTTCTTATGCACCGTTATTTGGCACACGTAGAGCAGAGCAAATGATATTTGTATTTGTGTTACGGTTCACACATATACAAATATCATTTGCTGTGCTCTCTCTCTTCTTTCGCTCTCAATTCTTTATTACCGCCCTGGCTCTTTCGTGTTAGGCTTTGCGTTTCTGATTTTTGCGGTTGAAACTAAATGTAAAAGCAATCGAAAGGAAATACAGAAAAGAAAATTAAAATAACTTTAAAAAAATAAAATAAAATAATAAATACAAAAATTAAAAATAAAAAATAAAAAACAATAAATATTATAAAATCTTACAAGAAGATCAACTACTTCTGAATTTTAGGGTACAGTTCAGTGGCGCTGTCAAGTTTTTCTTTCTTTTGCTTGTTTTCCACCTACTTTGTTCGTTTTCCCTTTGGCACCGCTTTCACTTTCGTAGGAGAAAGAGAAGGGGAGGGGAGAAGCTACTGGGAAATCGGGTAGGATTTTTTGCTTTTTGTAATTTTTGATGCTGCAGTTGTTTGTTCACATTGTTTGTTTGCCTTGCAACGTGTTCTTTTTACCCCGCACACTCTGACACACACACACACACTCATACAGAAGCACGTGCACGTGCTTTTTCTCCTTTATCTGGTGCCGGTTTTTCCTACCTCCCCCCACCTGTCTCTCTCCCCGCCCATTCCCTTGGTCCTTTTCTGCAGTGGCAGGTTCTTCTTCTTAAGATCGCTGAATAATTAAAAGCCAGCGTTCAACTTTCGTGCGCCAGCTGTCGTCCAAACAATTTAGCTGTGTCCTGGGTCAAAGTTTAGCAGGCCACCGCCCACTTGCCACCGCCCATCGGTACGCCTTTCATGTTAACCTTCGCCCTTCTCGGTGAGTAATGCACACTGGGGGAAAAAATGACTAAATTAAACACCAAAATGCCCAAAAATATTCGATACTCTGGAGTATGGTCTTTTGATTTTGATCTGCAGGAAGATTTTTGGGTATAAACTTGAAATAATTTTTGGAATTATAAAAATTAAATTTTTGGATATAAAAAATTACATTTCCAGAAAAAAAAGTCATACATAAAATATTTACAAAAATATCAAGCTCGATATTATATCGAAAATATTTTAAACTTTGACTTATAACATTTTTTATATAGATTAATAATTTTTATAATATATTTTAATATTAATAACAATTAAATATTTCATATTTTATAATAATTTTTTAATATTTAAATATCATTGTTATCGAAAATTATTATTTGATTGATTTATCGCACATATATCGCAACGGTAACATTGATATCGAAAATATTGATGTAGTATTTTTTTTTTCCAGTGCATGCACTGACCAAACTGCATTTAATGGCAGAAATGCGCCTGCTAAAGCCAGCGGCCGCATTATTTTACAATTATGTTTATTACTTTTTAATGCCCGCCTGCCATTGCTATATTTTTCTCATTTCCACCTGACCCGGTGCAGATTTTCCGGGGGGCTTTGGGTATATCCAGGGTGTGCTGCCCAGGGTCGCGGCTTACTTATAAATAGCTTTTTGTTGTTGACATTCCTCTTCCTTTCACCTCGAGAGAAGGCATCCTGCTCGAGTGGAAAGAATTCAACCAAAATGCGTCCTTTGTTCTATTCTCGCGGAAAAAAAAATCAATTTTTTTTTTTTGGGAGGAAATTGTGCTTTATGCAGTCAATTTTTAGTAAGGGAAATAATTTTAGAATTATTATATTTCAACTTTTATTTAATTGGAGTTTTAAATGTTTTTTTTTTTTTAATATTTTAATTGCAAATTTATAGTATTTTTTTGTTTGTAATTTATTAAAATTAGAGTTTTATTTAATTAGAGTTTTAAAAATATTTTTTTTAATTTTTATTTACAATTTATAGCAATTTTTTTATGCATAATATAATTTTGTTTTTCTAATTTATTCCAGTTTATTTTCTATTAAAGTTTTTATTAATTAGAGTTTTCCAAATATCATTTATTATTTTTGTTTAAAATTTATAGAATTTTTTTTATTCATAGAATTTTTCTTTTATTTATAGAATTTTTTTATAGATAGTTTTTTTATGAATAGAAATTTTTTGTTTGCAACTAATTTTCTATTAGCATTTTATTTAATTAGAGTTTTTCAAATATTTATTTTTATATTTTTATGACAATTTATTAATTTTTTTTTTTTTTTTTTTTAGGATTTTTTAATATTTATTCCAATTATTTTTGGATTTTGTTTGTTTATTTATAGGATATTTTTTTCTAATTTATTGCAATTTATTTTCTATTGCTTTTCTCAATTGGCTTTAATTTATATGATTTTCCGACCGATTGCATCTTGTTTGTCCTCAATTTATATATATACTACATATATATACTACATATATATACTACATATATATACTACATATATATACTACATATATATATATATTATTTGTTTGCTTGTTTTTATGTCAATAACACTTTGTTTTCTATACGTTTAGTTTACGATTGCAATTCATGTCACATTTTATTTTGTTTTATTTGATTTTCTATTTCAAGTCTGGGGGAAATAGTTGGCATAGATTATTTTAGGTTTCATGACATTTTTGTATATTTTTATTTTTGGTCAAAAATAAATATTCTATTCATTTAGCTAAATGTAATATTGATTGTCTCGGCCAAAATTGATTTAAAATCGCAGCATTTGAATATTTATAGAGCGACATTAAAAAGCTTTTAAGGTATTTTCCTGGCTGGACCCCAATCAATTTTCTGCGGCAAGTTTACTTTCAATGTCAACGGGCTGGGCTGCCACTTGACGTGGAGAATGCTAAACAGAATTTCCACTCACTCGAAAAAAAAAGGAAGAGAGCGAATGGGTAAAAAAAAGGAAGGAAAATTAAATCAAATGCACTTGCCAGTGTTGCAGCCTTGTTTCGAACACACAGCAGTTCATAAATGCTTAAGCGGCGAGGAAAACCCAAGAAAAGCGGGTGGCGGTGGGGCTTTCGAAAAGTGGAAAAGTGGCAGGGTCACTGGTGGCATCGTTGAGTGAGTGCAGCCATCAAGTTTTCCACTTTTCTAGCCTGCTTTGTGGCTCTCATTCGCCACTCTACCGGGGCAGAGAGCAAAAAATTTGTATATCAAAGTTGTCAAAGGAATTTATAAAATATTTAAAAATTATTTAAAAAATATTAAATTTGATTTTAAATATTTAAAATTTATTGAATACTTTGTTTAAAAAAATACTTATTTGTTACTATTTAAAAGTTCCTTAAATTTAAATTTACGATATTTTCGTTTAATTTTAAAAAATAATTTAATCAACTTTTTCGCTCTCTTATTTTTTTTTTTTGTAATTTTTATTTATTTCTTTATATTATTTTTTTTTATTATTTAAATATTTTTTTTATTATTTAAATATTTTTTTTTTATTATTTTAATATTTTTTTTTTTATTATTTTAATATTTTTTTTATTATTAAACAAATTTTTTTTTTATATTAATATTTATTTTTTATTTTTTTAATATCCTTTTCATTTGCTTTATTTTCTTTTTTTTATAATTTTATTATTGTTATTATTAATTTTTATTAAAAAATTTTTATTTCTTTTATTTTTTATATAAACCAATTTCTTCCCCTTATTTTTCACTGTGCACTTGAGCTTCCTTGTGTATTGGCCATCACTAATGAGACTTTGCCAAGTGCGGGGGGAAAATGGGTAAGAAGGAAGCCAGGAATGGCTGGCTTGGCCTGGCTCGTGAGGCTGAAACATTTTGTGGACATTTGTTTTGGCGGCGAATTGCCAACGGAAGCAAAGATTATAAAACCATTTTGAATGCCATGGTGCAATGTAATTAGCCCGGTCACGTCGTAGTGCGCCACCCTTTTTTCCCCCCCTGATGTAATGTGTACGCTTTAAGTGTGCTTTTTGTCTCTTGTCTTTTGCCTGTCAACGTGTCGTATGCGTAATGGGACAAGTGGTAAGCCAGGGAAGCTTGTTTAAAACTCACAGAACGTGTGTGGAGAGGAACAAGGGGAAGTGTCTTTGTAACTCTTCTTTTATTTATTTTGTTTATAATTTAATTGGGGTTTTTTTTTTTTAATAATATTTTTTAGAGTTTGTTCAAATGCTTTCAACTATTCTTAAATTTATTTTGTTTACGGTTTAGGATTTTTTTAATAATATTTATTGTAGGTTTATTGGTCTTATTAAATTCCTTAGAAAACTAGTTTTAAATAATGTTTCTTTGTTTATTTTGGCTTATTTAGAGTGTCAATAAAGAAACGCAGAGTGTTTAACGAAATGAACAACTGAATGAACAATAAAATGAACAGGAGAATGAACATATAAATGCCCCAATGAATAAAGAAAAGAATATCCTGAGCCTGTTTTAGGTTCTCTCTCTCTTCTTTAATTCATAAATTTTATTATTTATATAATTAAATATCTTTAATTTAAAAATTGTACAATTATTATTATTATATTATTTAATGACCTTCATAAACAATTATCCGCATTATTTTCCCATTTCATTTGTAATTCACTCAACTACTTTTAGGTTTCGTGTATTCCCAAAATTAAAAATTGATTTTCCATAAATGAGGGCGGCCTCTCAGTTTGAATTTAATTCATATTTTATACGATAATGAGTGCTTCTCTAGGGGAATTCGAGAGCCCCATCATCAGGCATGACTGGCCCTGACTCTCTGGTCCTTGCAGGCCCCGATAGATTGTCCAGTGGCTGATGATGATGATGATGATGATGATGATGGCTCGATTGCATCGCTGTTGGCCATAATCACAGGGCTCTTCTTGGGCTCTTCAGTGTTTGTGGCCACTTGAGCTTCGATTGATTGCACCATCGCCATCACCGCCACCTCAATCTTCATCATCATTATATACCGGTTATCGTTATCGAAACACACACACACAACAACTGAAGTAGGGAAATGTAAATGTAATTGTAAAAGAAAATGTAATTAGCTGTAACGCAACGCTTTTCATCGATCGACGGGGGTACTTTATGTAAGCTAATGCGGTCAGAGGGTACAAGAAAAGCCAAGATACTCAATTGTTTTGCTTTTGGGGATACAAATACTGACCAATAGAGTTGTGTACATGAAAAACCAAACAGGTTTTAAATATGTAAAAATATGTTTTATTTAGAAAGAGCATACATTTAGGGAATATGCATATAAGTACCTTTAGGTACAAGGATTTAAAGCCTTGACCATTCTTGTTAAGGCTTTTTAAGTCCTATTCAATTTGATTCTTGGTTTTTGTTTTCTTAGAACAAGTTTGTTGATTTTAAATATTTTAAAATGTTTTTTATAATGTACCTAACAATGAGACTGTACCTAGATACAGAAAAATACCCAAAAAAAGGTAGCCAGAAATTTAATTTAATTTAAAATTTAAATAATAATTTTCATTTGAATTTTAATTTTAAAAAATTTAACTAATAAATAAATAAATAAATAATGCTGGTACCTATTCAGGAAGCTTCACTGTCCATCACTGCAGCAGGCAATTAATTAGCCTCAAGCGCCCTCAAGTATGCTACAGAATGCCCCAAGATTGATGGAAAGCCAAATCATTCGAATAGCTCAATATATACATGTACATATATATATGTATATATATTTCTATACACATCTCCATCTCCTTGGGCCCTTGAGCAGCGTTTGCCACATGTTCCAGTTTGTTTCAATCTACCTCCATTCTTCCACAATTCTTGTTTCTAACATTCAAATTTTGTGTAACAAGCCCGAGGGTTTGGGGAAAGAAATAGGGGAAATAGAGGAAAATGGGAAAAAAGGGGGGAAACAGGGCTTTCCGCGGTAGTGAACATTGCATGTTGTGCAAAGTCAAGGTTGGATCCTAACAAACACTAAAAGGCTCAATAGAAATTACCAAAAATTTTATTTGTAATATCTAAAAATATATATATATATATTTAAAATTTATATAATATATATATTTTAAAATATATATATGAAATTCCCTTAATTAAATTAGTTTTCTAATTTTTTGTTGTATTTAATTATTAAAATTAAAATTTTTAAGTCACTTTTAGGTTTAAATAATTATAATAACTTCTTTTGAGAAATTTATTTTGTAAAGTTCAGCTTCAAGCTTTTTTTTAATATTTTATTCTGGAATTTTAAAGTCACTTTTGGCTAAAAAAAGATTTTTTTTAAAGAATTTTATTATTTTTATTTTATAATTTAAAAATTTTATTTTGTAAAGTGCATCTTTTACCCCTTTTCTTGATTTTCTTTTGTTGAAAATCTCAAGACTTTTTCTCATTCTACTGGCAATTGTTTATGGCTCGACTCTGGCTGGCACATAAAAGGAAAACAGAATCATCAAATTTGATTGAGCACCGGGCAGGTGAGGCAGGTACAGACAGCACTCGCTAACAATTTTAAATATTTCTCCATAAAAAATAAAAATATATTTAAAATAATATAAATAAATTGATTTTCCTTGTTATTTCTTAGAGTAATTTCATTATTTTCAAACTCGAGCTTTCCCTTCATTGACAGACTTCACTGTAATAGGCAGATTTATAGCCGACTCACCGGCGCCTTTGAAAGTGGAGTGCGGTTGTATAGGCTTTCGGTGTTCGCAACCTTCGATATATGCAAATGGCGAAAAAAAAAATAGAAGAAATAGGAAAAAGAAATATCAAAGCCACGGCAGGCACTGACAAACTTCTGACAGTTTTCCCAATGTGTGTGTGTGTGTGTGTGTTGGCACAACAAAATTAAGCTTTGTGTAAAAAGCAACGGGACGCAATTGTTATACTGTATAATCGCGTCATTCGCTTCGATTAAGGTGCCAACAGAGAAATTTCGCTAACGAGCAAATCAAAATGAGTATGGGTGTTCTTCATGGGTGTCCCTCTTGGGGAGGGTGGTTTTTAATTGTATGCAAGCCCCCTTTGGTTTTTTTTTTATAATACTTTACTTTCTTATTTTTGGATATTTAGAGTTTTAATAACGAAACATAAGGTGAACAAGAGAGTGAACAAGAGGATGAACAAGAGAATGAATAAGAGAGTGAACAACAGAGTGTCATATCAATCATCAATCAATCATATAAGGTACAAATATATGATAAATATCTCAACAACAGAGTCCAACTTATGGTAACCATAGAAGAGTGATTAAAAACGTAAACAACAGAGTCAACAATGGAAAAAAGAACAAAGTGAACAAAAGAATGAACAACAGAGTAAAAAACATCTAAATGAACAGCAACTGGAAATAATAAGAAGAACAAATGGAATACGGAGTCAAAAGCAACTATGTGAAAATACCCTCAAAGTGAGTAATAATATTTATAATATATTTATTTATATATTATATTAAAGTTTAAGTACAAATGCTATTGCTAATTACCTGTATAGGGGCTGAGGCAGCCCAGCAGGCAAATAGCCAAAAAGAACCGGCTGATTGCGTCCGATGGCAGACGGATCGACGTCATCAGGCATTGCAAATGCAATGGTTGTTGCAGCTGCCAAAGCAATTTATGTTGATGTTGTTGTTGCGATTGTTGTTGTTGATGTTGTTGCATTGTTGGTGTTGCCAGCTGACGTCGCCATGTCGTGTCGAGCCCATTGATTGTTATTGCTTTTGGTATTGGTGTTGGTTTTGGTGTTGCTACTGCCAGTGTCCTTGTTGATCCTGTTGTTGTTGTTGTTGTTGTTATGGCTGCCGCAGGCAATGTTGCTGTCGATGTTGGTGTTATTTTTGGGCTGCTAGGGCGCCATGCTGCTGCTGCTGTTGCTGTTACTGTTGTCATTGTCAGGCGTTGATTTTGAACTTGGCGCTGGCAACAAAAATATATTGCTGGTGCAACTGCAACTGCTGCTTATCCTGCTCCTTGCTGTTGCTGTTGCTGTCGCTGTACGGTTTCCTTGAGTGTCCTTGCACTGTTTGTGTGGGTGTGAGAGTGTGTGAGTGTACAAAGGTGACAGATTATTGGAAACATAATCAATTTGAAAGTTCTAGTACAGTGTGGCTTTAATTTCTGTGCAAAATAAATGGAATAAATGGAAATATCCAAGGTTGACGAATTTTATAATATTTTAAATATTAATTTTTATCATTTTTATAATTTTAAATTTTTAATTTAAAAGAAAAAAAATGTACCAATGATTTTAATAATTTTTGCAACCAATAAATATTGGAAAACTTTGAGATATATTTATTTATCTATGAAAATTGGTTTTAAATAAATTAATTATTTAAAATATTTTTAAAATATGCTAGAGAAATTTAAAAATTAATTTATTTATAATTTAAAATATAGTGAAAACCTTGTGGTATATTTATTTTTCTTTAAAACTATGTTCGCTTTTAATTTAATCAATTAATATATTTTATAAATATTCTGAGAAATTGTTTTAATATTATTTTGTTTGAAATTTAAAATAAATATGTAAAAATTACACCAATCAATAAATAAATATTTAAAAATGTATTCTTCATTTATTAAATGATTATAATATTTAATAAATTATTTCTTTGTTGTTAATTTAAAAAAATATAATCTAAGAAATTAATTAAATTCCTTTTTAATCACTTGAAGTATTTTGACACTAGTTTTCCCCTTTAAATATATAAAAAATCGACTTTAAGTTTGATAAATGCTTAGAAGAGCCTCTGGAAAATTGTATTTATATTCATTTTCAAGTTTTCTTTCCCATTTCTTTGATTTTCTTTCTAAAGAAAAGTGCATTCTTCAAACTCGAACCACTGTGCTGCCTCTGTGTGTGTGGAAAAGTTTTCTGCATTGTGTCGACAGATAGTTTTTTGGCAGCACCTTCTTCGTATTCTTCTCTCTCCTTCTCTCTGTGTGTGTGTGGGGGTGGGTGGGTGCTACTATATATTTTTTGGTAGCGTTTTTGCTGGGCGGATCAGCTGTTGGCTCCCCGCTTCCGTGTTTGGCAGCCGAATTGGCTTGTTTACAAAATCTTCTGGCCGTGGGTTTTTCTTTTAGTTTGTTGTTATTGCAGATAAACGGATTTTTGGCACTTTGCGGTTGCCAAAAAATTAAAAAAAAGGCAATAAAATACAGGAAAACTGCACACACACACACACAAAGTTTCCTAGATTTTACTCCTTTTCTTGTATAAATTATAAATTATATTTTGCAAACGACAAGTTTGAGTTTGAGTTTGAGTTCGGAGTTTGAGTTTCACTTCACGCGCCGCCTTATGGATTTTCCTCTTCACACACACACACACACACACACACACACACACACACACAAACACAGGAGCACACGCATACGCGCATTGATTTTCCCTTTATATTTCCTTTCTTTTTTGACTATTTTCAAGGTTTTCTCTTAGCTTTTCTGCTACTTACATCTCACATGAAATTGTTTAACTTTTGACACCAACAAAAAAATAAAAGAAAATCCGCACGCAAGCACTAAAAATACTAACAAAAAAGCAGGAAAATGAAAAGAAAATTGCAGGCGAAAAACACAACAAACACAAGCTTCTGTGCGGGGGGAAAATTCAAAGCAACAGCAATGGCCATAGTAGCCTCCAATTTCCACCCGATTTTCCAGCCATTTTCAGCGAGTCCTTTTCACAACTGTCAACTTTGTTTGCTGATTGCTTTTTTTTGTTGGTTTTTGTATATTTTTTTATTGCCGCTTTTGTTGATTTTTCCCCCGCAAAGAAAGCTGCAGCGAGACGTGAGAGAGAGTGTCAACTTTGGAACCGAAACGCACTGAATGGATTCCGTTTTTCCCGAGAATCCGGAGATGCGTTGTCGATTGCCGTGCTGTGTTTCAGTGCTCCAAAATCCGAAACCGGAATCCGGAATTCTGAATCCGCAGCGTGGATTCCAAGAGAGCGCCAAGGGCCAACTGACATGCCGTTCGCTGAGGCTGCTGCGCTCCATCAGATGTTGCGTGTTGCCCCGCAGCAGCAACAGCAGCAGCAACATTGCTTGCAACACGTTGCCGCTGCAAGCTTTTGTTTGATTAAATAGCAACTTTTTGGCAAGCTTCTTGGGGTAGCAATTTTACAAACCCAAAGGACAGCCGTCTTCAGGTTTTAAAAAAAGTATAAAGCTTTTCTTTTGGGCGGAAAACATCACTAAAACCAGAAAGGAAACGACACTTCTGAAATTTAAATATCCTGCAGGAATATAAAAAATATAATGTTCCCATTTTGCACACCAAAATTGAAATTGAAATAAATTTTCTGCTTTTCAGTTTAATATTTTATTAGATTTTCCTTATTTACAATTTTTAAAATATTTTTTATATATTTATTTATTTATATACTGTTTATTTAAAGTAATAAATAAAACTACAGTTTTTATTTTATATTCCTCCTTTATTTTATATTCGCTGGTCATCTAGATGGTTTGGTATGCACACGTCACAGGTGAGGGCGAGAGGAGGCCCGAGGGGAGAGAGGGAGGCGCGCACTGACTGAAGCTGCGGCGGCAGAGAGGCCTTTGTATATAGGTAGGTAGCCAGAGGGAGAGAGGTTGATCGAGAGTGCGTGGGAGGTGGGTTGAGTGAGGGAGAGGTAGATAGACTTTAGCCGGGCGCACACTGAAAGCAGTGCTGAGAGCGAAGCTTAGAGAGGAGCTGCGAGCAGAGCTGTGAGCAGAGCTGAGCGCAGAGCCGAGAGCAGAGCTGGTAGCCGAGCTGAGAGCAGAGCCGAGAGCAGAGCTGCGAGCAGAGCTGATAAGCTAAGCTCAGGTCTCAGCGTGCGCGCTCTCATATTAGTGCGTGTGAGTGTTCGCTGCTCTGAAATTATCAGCTCTGCTCCGATTAAAGTTCGTGTTAGAGAGAGAGGGAGAGTGAAATCAACCTCTTCCTCTCGATCAACCTCTCTCCCTCTAGCTACCTATTAATATATGCGCTTACGCCTCCGCAGCTTCAGTCAGTGCTCACGTGATTACCTGTAACGTGTGCGTGTGCATATCAACCCATCTGGATGACCAGCGAAAATGTATAACTTAGCTGAAAATGTTTAAGTTCTTGTAAAAATCGTGCAAAAACAACAAAAAACTCTGAATTTAAAGGAATGAATCATGGATGATAGATGGAAGGCAAAAGAGTGTTTTTTTACGGCGAATAAACCGTAAAAGTGATCGGAAAAATCAGCGGGTAAGTCAAAGCCAAAACTATTATTCTATACACATAAAGTTGCAAGAAAGCATTCATACGTATTCTTAACAGCTTAGTTATATTCAGGATTTGAGGGGTGGGGTGTTTCTCTGTTTTTAAATCATTGTGAGAGGTTCATTTGCAATTTATTGTTGTTAATGTTTATCAATGAACAGGTATTTATTCGGGATGCACTGTGGAGATTCCTTCTAGTTATTGTCTTTGTAAATTTTATACAAAATTCGCGTATAGTAAAACTTTGCAAAATTTACCAAAAATTTCGTTTGAAACTCGGTGAAATAAATGCAAAATAAAACCTTAGTTCATTGATGAACTTAGAAAATTACTTAAATTTATTTTTTTGATTTGAAAATGCTCAATTTTATTTATAAAACATTTTGCCTACGTAACTTGGTATAATGAAAAATCATATTTAAACCAATCATCATCCAAAATCATTCCTTTCCCAACGCCAAACAAAAAATGAAGGATATCTCAGGACATTTTAATGCCCAACACAGTGCTGGAGTACTCGTAAACCACATAGCTGATGGACACCGCAGGCAGGACCTTGAGAAAGTTGGCCATAATGCCCCACCAGACCCTCCTTTCTGACAATCTTACGGAACTTGGCACCGCTTTGTTTTAGGAAGATTTTTTTTTAGGGTTCACTTTTTATTTATTTAAAAAATAAAATCCACTTGTAATGAATTCATAATTTATTATTTAGAAGGCTCTTTCTGGTTAATTTATTATTCATTCTGAGAAATTCACTTAAAATTCATTTCTCGCTCTCTCTTGATATTTTTTACAATAATTTATAACAAAAACTTGTATAAAACAAAGCAACCTTGAGGATATACTTCATTTATTCTTCAACTACTTGGGGGAAAAGAGTTTAGAGAATGTTCAGAAAGCGAGTGAAAATCGAAGAAAACACGCAGCCCGTGGAAAGTCAGCAGCAGGATCAGAAACAGGAGCAGCCACATCCCACCGAATCCAACTTGGACTCGTGGAGGAGCTGCCTCCTGCTGGCTTCTGGCCATGGACGCCTGGTGGCTACCAGGCCCTACAACACGGTGGCCAACTTTAACGTCATGCCGCCTCTCAAAGCGATGCCCGTCAAGGACGAGGAGCGACTGGAGAGGATCTTCAAGCAACTGGATCGCGATGGTGACGGCCGCATCGATATCCATGACCTGTCGGCGGCCCTGCACGATCTCCATGGCCTGTCGGGTGTCTATGCCGCCAGGTTCCTGCAACAACAACCGGATTTCGGGACAGGATTGGGCCTAAGCTTTGCCGAATTCCTGCACTATGTGCGTGAGCATGAAAAAAACCTGGTACTGCAATTCTCGCGACTGGACATGAACGGCGATGGGCAGGTGAATGTTGAAGAATTGATAGCCGCCTTCAAGGATCTCGGTTTGGACATAGACCTGGACGAGGCAAAGAATCTGCTGACACGGATTGACAAGGACGGAAGCCTGAATATCAGCGTTAACGAGTGGCGGGATTTTATGCTCTTGGCTCCGTCCAAGGATATCAGGGATTTGATTCAGTTTTGGCGACACTCTACCTACCTGGACATTGGTTCGGAAATGAATCCCATACCCGATGATTTTCTGGAAGAGAATCTGAAAACAGGCGTGTGGTGGCGACACTTACTAGCTGGCGGCTTAGCCGGTGCCGTTTCCAGGACCTGCACAGCCCCACTGGACAGGATTAAGGTGTATCTGCAGGTGCAAACCCATAGAATGCGCATCACCGAATGTATGCAGATTATGCTCAAGGAGGGCGGTTCACGGAGCATGTGGCGTGGCAATGGCATTAATGTGCTCAAAATTGCCCCCGAAACGGCCTTGAAATTTACAGTCTACGAGCAGATAAAGCAACTGATAAGAGGCAAGGATGCCGGCCGTCAGATGAGCATAGCAGAGCGTTTCTATGCCGGTGCTGCTGCTGGTGGCATCTCTCAGACCATCATCTATCCCATGGAGGTGCTGAAAACCCGTCTGGCATTGAGGAAAACGGGTCAATATACTGGCATAGCCGATGCTGCGGCCAAGATCTACAGGCAGGAGGGTGCCCGGAGTTTTTATCGTGGATTTGTCCCAAATATCCTGGGTATCCTGCCGCATGCCGGCATCGATCTGGCCCTGTACGAGACTCTGAAGCGTCAGTATATCGCCAGTCATGAGAGCAACGAGAAGCCTAACTTTTTGGTGCTCCTCGGTTGTGGCAGCACATCGAGTGCCTTGGGCCAGCTGTGCTCCTACCCGTTGGCCCTCGTCCGGACTCGGCTGCAGGCGCAGGACGCCGAAACGATTGCCAATGAGGAGGCGCAACGGCAGAAGCAGATCCCCATGACAATGCGGGGTCAGTTCCGGAAGATTGTCAGAAAGGAGGGTCTGGTGGGTCTGTATCGCGGCATTATGGCCAACTTTCTCAAGGTCCTGCCTGCGGTGTCCATCAGCTATGTGGTCTACGAGTACTCCAGCACTGTGTTGGGCATTAAAATGTCCTGAGATATCCTTCATTTTTTGTTTGGCGTTGGAAAAGGAATGATTTTGGATGATGATTTCTATAAATATGATTTTTTATTATCCCAAGTTACGTAGGCAAAACGTTTTATAAATAAAATTGAACATTTTCAAAACAAAAAAATTTTAATTTAAATAAATTGATAAGTTCATCATTGAACTGAGGGTTCATTTGGGGTTTATTTTATCGCGTTTTCATCTAAATTCTCTTTAGAAAATATTAAATATTACTTTCATTATTGTTTATAATATGTTATTATTATATAACATATAATTAGTATATTATTTATTAATTTATAAAAAAATTTAAATTATCATTATTTTAAAAATCCAAAATTTGGCCAAAAAAGCACAAAATTCAATTCGGAAAGCTGTTTTGTGTTAGTTTTTTCTTGGCTAACAAATCTGCTTTTAAATTTTTAAATTCTAAGAAATCAAAATTTTGGACCATTTTTAAGAATTTTAATGATGTAACCCCTTATCAAATTTAAAAAAAAATTTTAAAATTTTGTTTTCTTCCGGACTTGGCTAGAAAGATCCGCCTGTTAATGCTGATCAAGAATATATATGATTTATGGGGTCGGAAATGACTCCTTCACGAAATAAAATAATATTTCCTTTTAAGAAGACCTGAAATATTCGATTTCTTTAAATTGGTATTTATCGATATTTTAAATGGTAATTTTTTGGATACATAAAGTTAAATACAAAAATAAATTCAATTCAAATTCAATAAGTAATCCTACAAAATTATATTTATGGGTTTTGTCTTGATTTTTGGGTATCTGCTTTAGATTTTTGAAAACTTTTTCCTTATTGTAGAAGAATTTTCTTAGTTTAAGGTCGATTTTTTTCAGGGAGATTTTTCTTTAATATAGAAAAATATTTTTATGAGTGTATTTATAGATTTTTATTTTAATAAACAAACTTTTAACTTGATATTTTCTTATCTTTTTTAAATTACATTTTTATTAATTTTAATTTATTAAAAAAAATTTTTTAATTAAATTTGTTTTAATTTTAATTTACGAAACAAAATTTATGTATATATTCTTTTTTTAAAGTAAATTTATATTAATTTTTAATTATTAAACAAACCTTTTAGCTTCTGATTTCCTTAATTTTCTTCCTTTCCCCCATAATAAAAGGCATTCCTTTTTTTTTAAATAAGTAGTTTGGAAATGATTTTATTTCAATATATTTCATATTCATTCATTAGTTCATATTTTCGGTTTTTCTTTTTAAACTTTTACACAAAAATGCTTGCGTGTGTATGTGTATGTGTGTGTCTGTTTGTATGTGTTTGTCGGGCTCTCGTCTCGTAGGTATTGTGTGAGTTTTGTGTTTTTGTTCTCTGTTTTTCCTGTGGTTTTATACCATTTATCTGAGTTTTCTTTTTGGACATAACTAGGTGTTAAATACAAGAGTTTGTTGTTGAGTTTTATCTCATTTAAATATTTCTCTTTTTTTGTTTTTACCATTTAAATGCATTTGTCGGAAAAGTTTCATCGAATTTCTCGTTTCTTAGCAGATTTTTTTATTGGTTTTTTCTTCTCAGCGATATTTGATTTGTTTTTCGTTTAGTTTTCTCTTTGTTTTCCTTTTTAATTTTCCTTTTTGGTAGGTAGGGTATTTAGGGTAGGGTGTGCCAAGAGCTTTTTACATCTATGTTTGTTTCTTTTTCGGCCAGTGTATGTTATATATATATATATATATAGTATATATTAACTATTCATTACTCTGTTCACATAGAATTTTCTTAGCTTTGCTTTGTCTCCTTGTCGGTTCTTTGGTTTGATTTTCCACATATATATATATATAGGTTTTCTTCTAAGCATTAGGGTGTGTGTGTGTAAAGGGGTTCAAAGGTCAAGGAACTGAGTGCTGGAATTTTCATTATTTTTATTTTTATTTTTTTACACCTATTACTTGCTCTTCAGCATATATTTCTGTGTGTGTGTGTGTGTGTGTGTTCTTTTGAGATATATCCTTCTGATTTCCCTTACAAATTACATCTATTTGTATATATATATATATTCTATTTGGTATATGTATATAGTATATAGTATGTGGTGTGTATGTATACATATATTTTGACTTGATTGATGGACATAAAATTGGAAAATATATATATATACTTTAGAGGCGTGTGAAGGGAGGCGGAGTCGGAAGGTTCTGTCGGTTGTGTGTTTGATCCTTGAAGGAAAAGAAATTGAAGAGCAAAAGCGGCCAGGCTTATATATCTATATATTATATATATCTTTTCTTTTATTTTCTTGATTTTTCCGAGTGTTTTTTTTTTTTTTTTTTTTTTTTGGGGCTTTGAAAGAGCATCTTAGCTTCGGCCTGCCGAAGAATGCCATTCAAGGACCTTTTCTATGGGCTCTCTAAGCCTTGTTTAAAATTTTTCACTTTCCAGTTTCCATTTTTTTCTCTTTTAATTTCCTTTTTTTTTGTATATTAAAATTGTAGTCTTTGTTTGTAATTTGTTTTGTGTGTTGTGTTTTATTTGTTTTTTTTTTATTTATTTTATTTTCTTCTTGAAGTAAAGGCTCAGGAGGATCTCTAGTAATTACACTCTTAGTTTTGTTTTATAGAATTATCCTTTTAGATCAAGGATCAAGCAGTTTAGGTTCGATATCGGTGACGGATTCTAGCGGGGAAGTGGTCCATTATCGGTGGTTGGATGCCTTTGTCTAGCCTGGCCTGGATGTTATTATTATTTTGTTTATGTGTAATTTTCAAAAATTAATTAAAAGTTTATTTTCTTTTTAAATTTATTTTTAAATAAATTAATCATTTTAAAAAGAAGAAGTTTTCTTAATTACATATAAATCATTAATTAATTATTAGTATTTTCTTTAAGTGTAATTTTAAATAATTCATTAAAAGGGAAATTTTCTTAATAATATTAAAAAATAATAATTTTGAAAATATATTACAAATTCACCAAGATAAGTTTTCTTAATAACAAATAAATTATAAATTAATTTTCTTCATTATTAGTATTTTGTTTAAGTGTAATTTCAAATAATTAATTAACAAGGAAATTACAAATTCACCAATAAAAATTTTTTTAATTGCAAATAAATCATAAATTAATGTTCCCCATAAGTATACTTTTTTTTAAGTGTAATTTTAAATAATTAAATAAAAAGGTAATTTTATTAATTGTTTATTAAATAAATTAATAATTTTTAAAATATATAACAAATTCCAAAAAAGTCTTAAATCAATTTTCCCCATTGCTATTATTTTGTTTAAGTATAATTTCAAATAATTAAAAGTTTCAATTTTTTATTTTAAATAAATTAATAATTTTAAAAATATAATATTCACCAAGAAAAGTTATCTCATAAATCGAATTTTCCCCACTTGGCGCCTGTAGGTGTGTGAAAGAGAGATAGATTGTTAGATAGAGGGATAGTAGAGGCATGTGTTGGCGTGGAAACCGTTTTGGAAGTTTTTCTTTAGTTTTTCTTTTAGTTTTCTTTTCGTTTTTAGTCATCGCCCGAGTTGTAAGTCACATAGAAAAGTATAAAGTAAGCATTTTGCCTGCGGTGCCATTTTTTTTTATCCAGTTGTCCATATTTTCCATTTTCTCCCATTATATTTATCCACTTTGTTCTTTCGATTCCGCTTTTCCGCTATTACATAGGTGATCTCGATCCGGTTCAAGATCGTTTATAGTCGACAGGTAGTTGTGGTTAAGACCTACGAGATTGTTTGAAGTAACTTTTTTGCATGCTAAGACCTTCTCTTCTGTGTGTCCGTGTGTCTGTTTGTTATCCTGTGTCTCTGTGTTTGTACATATATTGTAATTGTAATTGTTATCGTTATCGTTATCGTTATCGTGTTGCACATAGAACGGGTCAGGAGAAAGGGGGGGCGGGGCATGGGGAGCTCAGTTGGTCCAAAATACATATTTGATTTTAGGTACAAACAAGCATTTGCCTTTTTCTTTTTTCTTTTCTTTTGGAACTTGTCACAATCAACAATCGATTGTATCGATTAGCATTTGTTTATCGCCAACTAACGGGAAGGGGGAAGCATTTAATTGACTGCCAAAAACGTATGCTAAATATCCTTTAAGTGTATTTCTATTTTCCTTTTTTATTTATGTATCTTTGCCGAAAAAAATGTGTGTGTAGTTTGAAATGTCCCTGCAAAGGGGTTCGATAGGTTTATCGATAAATTGATATTGCAAATTTCTTTCAAACGGACTTGTTTTTGTGGGGAAATTATTTTTTAAAAAGTAAACAGACATTTAATTTATTTTTGTTTACATGTATAAATATTCACCTATTGTCTCTCTTCTGATTTTTTTTTCCAATATTTTTTATTTTTTATATATATATTTTGTTTTAACTCTTTAAAGTGAAATATATTTGAGCTAAAAAAGGTCTAGTCACCAGTGCAAGGACATTACTCTATTCGGCGTGCCAATTTTCACTTTCTTTCTGTTTTTTTACTTTTTACTAAACTATTTTAGTTATTCTTAAAATTGTTTACATTTCGTTCTTGGGCTTAGTTAGTTGTCTTCTTCTTTGTTTTTTTTTTTATTATTTGTTTTAGCTTTTTTATACATTTTTGTAAAACACCTAGAGTTCTTTTTTACGATTTTTTTTGTTTTGGTTTTGTAGTTGTAGTATCTTTAAGATAAATATTTATTTATATATATATATATTTTTTATTTTTAATGTATATATGTATAGTGGTTTCTTTTACTCAAGTTTTTGTTTTTTGTTTTGGTTTTCATTTTGTTTTGTTTGTTGATTTTGTTTAAATTCAAGTTTTAGTCTTTATGTTTTGTCATTCAAACAAGGGAAGTTGGTGGCATGAACAATAATATAATATATATTTATATATATATATATATTAATAGGTATATATATATAAATATATATAAAACGCTGTGACCAACAGGGCAAGCACCCACACAGCTGTAGTACATAGTAGTTTTAGTTTTTAGTTGTAGTAGTTTTGTATTTTATTTTTATTTTTTATTTTGTAAGGCAACAAATCAATTTGATGTGTTAGCTAATTTCGAGTGGTTCGTTTTGTTTTGTTTTTTTAGGTCAGATACAGATACATAAATACATACATCTAGGAGTTCAGGGGGGGATTTACTTTTTTCCCTTAATTTTTCACTGGATTATCCTTGATTATAGCTTAGATTTTCCTTAGATTTCTCCTTGATTTCTTCTTGAAATTTTCTTCTGCTCGATAAACTTACTTATTAGCCGTGGCTAGTTCTCAAATCTAACTACAACAAACACACACACATCTAGTGGTGGGGGGGGGTCGACACACAGAACCACTTAGTTAAGCTTTAATTATGCTTTATATTTTACACATATATATATACTATGTTATATGTTTGTGGAGGAAATATGTATATGTTTTTCTTTTGCAATTACAATGCACAATTAATTTACGAGTTATGAGTAATTTTTGCTAGACATTCAAATGTACACTCAAAAAAAAAAAAATAAACAACATACATACATCTCTCTCTATAATAACTATCAAGTTTTCTTATTTTTTTGGAAACTGTTTTTGCTATAGCCAAGGACCAGCTTGGGTCTTATCTCTGCTTCTCGCTGCTTTATACTCGCTACTCGCTGCTTGCTTTTAGCTTCTGCTTCTGATTTTAATTTACTAACTGCTTGTTTCTCGTTACTTGCTGCTTGCCTTAAGCTGCTCGCTTCTCGTTATTCGCCACCCGCTGCTATACATTTTCTTAATTCATTATTTATTTATTTCGTATTTTTGTTCTTTTTGAAAGCTTTGTTTCTTCGCCTCTTCGTGTTTCTGGTTTTTAACATTAATTAATTACATACAGAAATTTACATAGATCATTAATTAACTTGGATTTCTTCATAATTTGTCGCAGATATGTTGCCTGTCTCTCTTTCCTTTCTCTCTCTCTCTCTCTTTTTGCAAATTGTTTTCAAATTTCTTTCACCCCCGTAGGATTTTTGTAAACCCATTTAGCAGCTGGGTTTCAGCGAGTAGGGTCCCTTAGTGCCTTCTAATTGAGTTCTGTTGCCCATCACCATCTCGTCATCATCATCATCGGCAACACATTTTTGGCTGCTGGAAAATCCAATTGACTTTACCATGGTCATAGCTCTCCTGCGGGCTTGCCGTGGAAAAATCGCAAAAAAAAGAGGAAAATATATGTAGATGCGGCGAAAAATAGGAGAATACCCACGAAGGCCAACGACAGGCAACGAGCGAGTGAGTGAGTGAGTGAGAGAAAGCTATGAACAAGCAAATGGAATTAGGGTCCTTGTGGGACCCTGGGTCCTGCTGTTGCATTACCACGCCATGGCCGAAAATCGAAATCCAAAATTTGGTTTGCGTAATTAGACAGGAATCGACACTGAACCGAATTGAAAACAAGAGTTTTAGAGACAAGGATTCAGTGTAAATTTGATGAGGGAGAGAAGAAATAACAAGAAAGGAATGAATGAATGAATTCGTTATTGTCTAGATTGAAAAATCGGAATTCTAAATTTTAAAATTAGGGAAATCAACATTTTTTTCTAATTTTAAAAACAAAAATCGATCATAACTAAGTCCAAAATGCATAAAATTCTTTTAAGAAATCTGCAAACTTAATTTTAAATTTTATGAAATTAAAATTTTAGCAAATTTGTAAAAATTACAACGATTAAAATGATTTTTCGAAAAATATCAATATTTTCAAATCCCATAACTAAGCCAAAAAAGCACCAAATTCAATTCGGAAAGCAGTTTTGTGCTTGTTTTTTCTTGGCTAACAAATCTGCTTTTAAATTTTTAAATTCTAAGAAATCAAAATTTTGGCCAAATTTTGGGAATTTTAATGATGTAACCCCTTATCAAATTTCTCAAAAATGGCTCAAAATTTGATTTCCTCCAAACATGGCTTAAACGATTCTCCTTTCAATGCTGATCAAGAATATATATGGTTTATGGGGTCGGAAATGTTTCATTCACTGAATAAAATTATATTTCTCTTCAAAAAAAACCACAAATATTCGATTTTTTTAAATTGGTATTTATCGCTATTTTAATATTGTAATTTTTGGATTTATGAAAGTTTTGAAAAAATCATTGCTGAAATTATAAAAAAGTAAATTAAAAAACATTTAAAATAATATTTTAAAACAGGTGAATATTTATTTTTTTATTATAATATATTATTTTAATATATAATTTTAAATATTTTAATATATATTATTTTAAATATTTTGATATATTTGTTTTAAAATATTATTTTAAAATAATATTTAAATTAATATTTTTATCAAATAAATCTTCACTTTTTTTATAATTAAATCAATGGTAGCTTACTTTTTTTTTCACTGTGCCCTTCTTTTGGGTGTACATTTTGGCATGTTTCTGGTAAACCGAAACCTTCTCTCTCCCCACGCCGGAAACCACTAAATGCATCGCTGTTTGCCATTTATTTCAAAACCTTTTGCTCGGTAATTTAGTGAATGTTTTCCATGGAATAGAATCCGAATAAAATGGGGGAATATGAGCTTTAATTAATTACAGAGAATACCAGTAAATCCGAGTAAATGTTCTCAGTAGTTTTTAGGTAAAATCTTTTGTGGGGTTTTCTGTTGAAAAAATCTAGACAGAAAAACTTTTGGCATTTTGATAATCTCTTTCTCAATTTGAAGCAAATGGTTTGAGGAATTCTCGGAATTTTGATTTCCCTAAATTTCCCAAATTCATTTCCTAAATTTCTTCCCTTGTTTCCTTTTAAAATTATAAAGAAATAATAACAAAATATGTATTTTAATATGTATTTGCTTATATTTGCTGTGGTGTGTGTGTGGGTATGGGTGTACATAAATAAAAATACTTACGAGGTAAACAAGCAAAAATACAAAATAATAATATTAATAATAATAAAATTAATAAAAATAAAAATATATAATAATAATATATAATAATAGTATAATAATATTATTAATAGTAATATAATAATAATAATAATTAGGTAATAATAGTCAGAAAAATAAGTAAACAAAAAAAAAAAAAAAAACAGAAAACAAAAGAGTAAAAGTCAGTGTTAACTTAAAACTAATAGTGTTAAAAGTTTTACAAGCTAAAACTTAGACCAAGTCTGTGTGTGTGGCTATTACCCAGCTGCTTAAATGGGGATTTTACTGATTTTTCAGGATTTTTACTCATTTTTACTGATTTTTACTGATTTTGACTGATTTTTAACGCTTCTCACGAGGTTTTTCAGCTTCCTATAGATTTTTACTAAATTTTAGGGTTTTTTACTGTTGTCTACAGTTGTTTTTTATTGCGCAACAGGAATAAACAGGGTTTGAATGAGGTTTTTCGAAGATTTTTCAAGGTTTCCCACGATTTTCCAGGATTTTTCTCGATTTTTTAAAGATTTTTCAAAGTTTTTTTTGAAGAATTACCTAAGATTTCCGAGGTTTTCCTAGACATTCCTTGATTTTTCAAAGTTTTTCTCGATTTTCCTTGATTTTCCTCGATTTTCCTCTTTCCCTTTAGACATTCTCCGGCTCTGGCAGCTTGCGCTCACAGCAATGGCAGACCAGGGCATTGAGACGCTGACCAATGGCCGACCAAACGGTCATCGACATGGAGGACACCTCGCAGCTGGATGTGGCATCCGCAGGCTGCTGAAGCTGCCGTCGCTCCTCCCGATCCTCTCGCTCCTCCAAGCGTAAACCATCGTCCTCCTCGCCATCCTCCTCCTCCTCATCGTCGACGTCGTCATCCTGCTGCTGCTCCTCCAAATCCCTGGCGCACCCCTTGTGTCAAATCTTTGGCCCCGCCTCCGAGGATGAGCCACTAGCCAGTCCCATTTCCACACTCAAGCTGGGCGGCACCAATGAAACGCCACCGCCAGTGGAATCCTGCCCGGTGATACCACCGCCACTCTGCAGGGTATTGCTGCTGGGATGGCGACTGCTGTCGCTGGAGGAATAACGCATCATGCCGGGCACATCCAGGCTATAGGCGCGATGACGCTGGTGAGAGTCACCACCGCCTCCTCTTACTCCTCCTACTCCGACTCCTATTCCACCGGCTCCCTGGCTAGTCAAGACCTCCACGGCAGCTGCTCCTCCTCCACTCTTTCCCGGTGAACCATGCACCACATTGCAGCACATAACCACACCGGATTTGCCCTGATCCTGGCCCACAACCTCAGCCAAACCATTGGCATTATTATTGGCCCGTCCAGAGCTGGAGCAGGGACTGCTTCGGGTGCTGCCAAAGCGCTTGTTGCCCTTGTCAAAGCTGAAGCTAAAATAGTCGGAGAACTGGCGCAGCCTGGATTTCCAGGAGCTGCTGCCCGAGGAGGGGCCAGGCAAAGAACCAGGAGCACCCGGAGCACCTGGAGCACCTGGAGCACCTGGAGCACCTACACCTCGAGCACTGCTGGCACTGCTGCGTGTGCTGCCATTGCTGGGCAGGATTTGCTCGGTGACCACCAAGGGCGGCGATATATTGCCATTCGAGGAGGAGGCCAGCACTGGAATTGATGCCTTTATGGAAGGATCCTGACCAGCAGCAGCAGCAGCTGGAGCAACTGGAGCAGCTGGTTTGGCTGGCTTGGCTTCCTCATTCTCGGAATCCCCAGCCTCGGTGCGTGCAAGCAGCTCCTTCAGCTGACAGCTGCCCTTTGGTGGTGGTACAACATTCGTATTGGCATTGGTATCCTGCGGCATGCCTACAACCACACAGCCGCCACCACCGCCACCTCCTGCAGATGTGATCTCTGCTAGGCCGCTGCTGCGATTGTGGCGTCCGTAGAACACATTGCTGTCGGAGATCACCTGGGGCAATCCATCCGAGAGCCTTCGATTGTTGCCACCGCTGCTGTACTGATCCAGGCTGACGGCACGATTGTTGCCAAAGTGACAGCGATTGCTATGATAGCCATGGATGTTGCCATAGGAGTTACGGATGCGTTGGCCACCGCCGCTGCTGCACAGTTCACCAATCATGGAGGGACGCTTCTCGCGGGAGGATTTGCGGGAGGTGGAGTGCGAGGATTTGCTGCGATTGCTGCTGCCTTCGGTGTCCACTTTGAATTTTGAGGTCTTTTCGGCCACCTGGAAGAAGTCAAAAGGATTGGGTAAGGATTTAAATATATTTTTTATATTTTTATATATTTTAATATTTAATATTTAATATTCTTCTATTCTAGATTTCCTACTCACATCCACTTCGGTGGCCGTTTCCGAATCCCCGCTCTCGCTGCCCTCGGGCAGATCGTGAAGCTCTGCTGCCATGCCTCCTGGCTCATCCACGGATGTCCTGGAGGCGGACTTTTGTGAGGGTATACTGCGGCGTGATTTGACGCTGATGCCGGAACCTGAGCGTGGCATTTGTGGGGATACACTGCCAGCGTTGGCTCCAGATCCTCCACCGCCGCCTCCTCCTCCTGAACCTGTGGCTGCTCCTCCCGCTCCTCCTGCTCCTGCTCCTCCCTGCAAGTTACCCTGGGCCTTGTCCAAGCTTAGCTTGTCACTGGCCCCGCCCGGTGTGCTGACCATCGCCGCATTGGAGTCAATGGTGCCGCTGTTGCTGTCCGAGGTGGCCGAGGTATTGCTGTCGGCCACAGATTTGCGGGTCTTTGTCTGGGCATCGTTGAGGCGTCTACGAACAAAAGGTAAATCAATTAAAATAAATATTATTATTTATTAAATTTAAATTAATTTAATTTTCTATAATTTATAGGAATCTCCCCCTTTCTCACCTGTAATACTCCAAAGCTATGCGCACGGGAATAATGATGAGGTCCGTCAGCTCGGGCACAAGCTCACCCAAAGCCTCGAAGAGCGGCAGGAGCACCAAACCAATGAAACGCACCTGGGAACCCGGCTTGCTGACCTTGTCCGGGTCCATAAAAGGCGTCACCGGCAAACCCTCGGACTTTTCGGCCGCACTTTGGGCGAAAAACTCCTGGAGGAGACGATCCAGCCAGGGCTCGGCCACGTCCATGGGTCGGGCCTCGTTTGAGATGTCCGCCACCTTGATCAGGATCATGCAGAGCTGCAAACGATGGGATTATGTATATTTATTAAATTATTTTTATTTATTTAGCTAGGGTTTCCTGTTATGTTTTTATACCCTTGCAGGGTATTATAATTTCAGTCAGAAGTTTGCAACGCAGTGAAGGAGACGTTTCCGACCCTATAAAGTATATATATTCTTGATCAGCATCAACAGCCGAGTCGATCTAGCCATGTCCGTCTGTCCGTCTGTCCGTCTGTCCGTCTGTCCGTCTGTCCGTCTGTCTGTCTGTCTGTCTGTCTGTTTCTACGCAAACTAGTCCCTCAGTTTTAAAGCTATCTGAATGAAACTTTGCATATAGTCTTCTATATACTCTCACTGCTATATATGTCGGAACGAGCCGGATCGGACGACTATATCATATAGCTGCCATACAAATGTTCAATAAATTTTTAGAAAAAAAATTATAGCTTTGCTGTTTTTTTTAATTTTTGCACCATTTTTTAGATATGCCCATTTTATATTATTTCTGAATTTTGGTAAAAATTTTATGAAAATCGGACGACTATATCTTATAGCTGCCATAGGAACGATCCGGAAATAAACAGGAAACAAATTATAACTTCGTTGTTTTTCTACGTATTTTCATCTACTCTGAGATATAAGCTTACTTTATTATTCTAGAATTTTGGTATAAATTTCATGAAAATCGGACAACTATATCATATAGCTGCCATAGGAGCGATCGGTAGATGTAGAGAAAATGTAAAGGTGTGAATGTAAAACTGTAACTGTCAAACTGTAAACATAATAAGTATAGGTAAAATGTAATGAAATAATATCTGCAAGGGTATACAAACTTCGGCGTGCCGAAGTTAGCTTCCTTTCTTGTTAATTATTAAATTTAATATATATTTATACCCTTGCAGGGTATTATAATTTCAGTCAGAAGTTTGCAACGCAGTGAAGGAGACGTTTCCGACCCTATAAAGTATATATATTCTTGATCAGCATCAACAGCCGAGTCGATCTAGCCATGTCCGTCTGTCCGTCTGTCCGTCTGTCCGTCTGTCCGTCTGTCCGTCTGTCTGTCTGTCTGTTTCTACGCAAACTAGTCCCTCAGTTTTAAAGCTATCTGAATGAAACTTTGCATATAGTCTTCTATATACTCTCACTGCTATATATGTCGGAACGGGCCGGATCGGACGACTATATCATATAGCTGCCATACAAATGTACGATACATTTCTAGAAAAAAATTTATAACTTTGCTGTTTTTCAAAAATTTTGCTCCATTTTTTAGATATGGCCATTTTATATTATTTCTGAATTTTGGTAAAAAATTTATGCAAATCGGCCGACTACATCATATAGCTGCCATAGGAACGATCGAGAAATAAATAGGAAAAAAATTATAGCTTCGTTGTTTTTCATCGTATGTTTATCTACTCTGAGATATAAGCTTTTTTTATTATTCTAGAATTTTGGTATAAATTTCATAAAAATCCGACAACTATATCATACAGCTGCCATATAAACGATCTGTAAATGTAGAGAAAATGTAAAGCTGGGAATGTAAAACTGTAACTGTCAAACTGTAAACATAATAAGTATAGGTAAAATGTAATGAAACTCTGTTTTTGTAAGTGTTTTCAGCATTTAAATCTATAATATAAACATAAAAACCAATCTGCAAGGGTATACAAACTTCGGCGTGCCGAAGTTAGCTTCCTTTCTTGTTTTAATTTATTTTATATATAAAACTGTATAGTTATTAATCAATTTATAAATCAATAAATTTATATTTTCTGCAAAATTTGCAGTATTATTTACCAGATTAATGTGGGCACGGTTACTGTAATCGAAGACGGGGGTTATCTCCATGAACTGGGTGAGGATCTCATTGTGACGGGCCATGTCCGTGGCCAAAATGCACCGGATGATGCCCTCGCGAATGGTGCTGGAAATTACAAAAAGAAATAGCTAGATGAGCATCACTGGTTGTTACTAAGATGCCATTTTGTCCCAATAATCCCAAATAGCTAGATGAGCATCTCTGGCAGTTAGTGAGATGCCTATAATTTATAAAAAACCCTCATAACTCGGCCAAAAATGCATGAAATTGAATTCGGAAAGCTGTTCTGAGTTGCCCTTTCTAAGCTTAACAAAACTGCATACTAGGTTTTGAATTTCATGCATTTTTGGCCGAGTTGTGTGGTTCACATTTTTATAGGTTAGTATTTTAGCAAAACTGAGTATGCAGTTTTGTTAAGCATAGAAAGGGCAACTCAGAACAGCTTTCCGATTTCAATTTCATGCATTTTTAGCCGAGTTATGAGGGTTTTTTATAAATTATAGGCATCTCACTAACTGCCAGAGATGCTTTTTTTTTGCTTATATTTTTAATAAATTATAGGTAAGTATTTTAGCAAAACTGAGTATGCAGTTTTGTTAAGCTTAGAAAGGGCAACTCAGAACAGCTTTCCGAATTGAATTTCATGCGTTTTTGGCCGAGTTATGAGCTAAATAGCAAAATAGCTAGATGAGCATCACTGGCAGCTAGTGAGATGCCTATAATTTATAAAAAAGCCCCATAACTCGGCCAAATATGCATGAAATTCAATTTTGAAAGCTGTTCTGAGTTGCCCTTTCTAAGCTTAACAAAACTGCATACTCAGTTTTGCTAAAATACTTACATATAATTTATTAAAAATATAAGCAAAAAATTACAAAAACCCTCATAACTCGGCCAAAAACGCATGAAATTCAATTCGGAAAGCTGTTCTAAGTTGCCCTTTCTAAGCTTAACAAAACTGCATACTCAGTTTTGCTAAAATACTTACCTATAAAAATGTGAAACACACAACTCGGCCAAAAATGCATGAAATTCAAAACCTAGTATGCAGTTTTGTTAAGCTTAGAAAGGGCAACTCAGAACAGCTTTCAAAATTGAATTTCATGCATATTTGGCCGAGTTATGGGGCTTTTTTATAAATTATAGGCATCTCACTAGCTGCCAGTGATGCTCATCTAGCTAGTTATGAGTAATGAGCCATATAGCAAAATAGCTAGAAGAGCATCACTTGCAGCCAGTGCGATGCCATTTTCTAATAATGCAAAAAATAGCTAGATTCGCATCACTGCCATTAGCCTCCCAATATTGCAAAATAGCTAGATGAGCATCTCTGATGCAAAGCCCGATTTTATAGCTTCCCAATATTGAAATATAGCCAGATGAGCATCACTGATGGAGATGAGCATCACTGATGCAAGTGAGCAAAAATTTCCATTCAATTTGGCCGCTTCCCAAACTGGGGTAACAGGCGAACAGAAACCAGCAGCAAGCAACCGAAAACTGGTATAAACTGTTATAAAAACTTTTGGGCAAAAATAATAATTGGTATAAACTGTTATATTTCATTTTATGCATTTATACCTATTTGTTGCCGACAACAACAGCTTGTTGGCAACAACAACCTTTTTACAACAACATCCCTTCAACAGCCCATCCAAATTTTCGAATATTTCCATGCAAATTGTCCGTTTCCCAAATTGGGGTAACAGGCGAACAGAAACCAGCAGCAAGCAACTGAAAACTGGTATAAACTGTTATAAAAAGTCCAAGTTTCGAACCATTGATCTTGGAGTAAGCGAAGACTCAAACCAGATGTGACCATATTGTAAATTTTTTGGCTAAAATGTTGCTAAAATGCACCTGGGCACACTGAAACTGACTTTGCATCAGTGATGCTCATCTATCTATTTTGTCCCAATAAAGAAATATAGCTAGATGAGCATCACTGCCATTAAGCCTGATATATTGCCTCCCAATATTGCAAAATAGCTACATGAGCATCACTGATGCAAAGTCTGATTTTATAGCCTCCCAATATTGCAATATAGCCAGATGAGCATCACTGCCATTAAGCCCGACTTTATAGCCCCTAAATATTGAAATATAGCCAGATGAGCATCACTGATGGAGATGAGCATCACTGATGCAAGTGAGCAAAAATTTCCATGCAAATTGCCCGTGTCCCAAACTGGGGTACCAGGCGAACAGAAACCAGCAGCAAGCAACTGAAAACTGGTATAAACTGTTATAAAAAGTCCAAGATTCGAACCATTTAGGAGCCGGCGCAAGTAAGCGGAGACTCAAACCTTTTGAATCCAAATTTAGGTGTTGTTTTTTAACAGCACCTGGGCACACTGAAACTGATCGTCGTTAAATTCAAATTGAACGTTAAATTCAAATTCAAATTTGGCCGTTAATTTTTAAATTAAATATATTAAATATGCTAAAATAAAATCTAAAAAAATATGTAAAAAATCTAAAAAAATCAGGAAAACTGCAAGTTAAATTAAAATTCATATTTGGCCGTTAATTTTCAAATTATATGTGTTAAAAATGTATTAAAAAATATGCTAAAAAATCTATAAAATATTTAAAATATTTTTAAAAAATCTAAAAAAAATCACGGAACTTTGACTTTAAATTCAAATTTAACCTATTGTAAAATTGGTTATCTATATTATTGCGCGAGATGGCGGAAAGTTGTTGACTTTTAAATTTTAATTCAAATTTCACGGTTAGAATTCTTATAATAATTTTGGTTATTACAATTTTATTTTAATTTTATTTTAATATTATTTAAAAAATAGAAAAATACAATAAAATTATTTAAAAATTCAAATTTTATTGTTGTAATAATTGTTCTTGTAAAAGTGTTGTTGCTGAAGACCCCCACCCTTTCTGAAAGTCTGCCATAAATCAAGATTTCATCTCACTTGCTGCCTTTCTAAGCTTCCTTTCTTTTTTGTCCTAAATGTTGTTACCATTTTTGGTTACCGAGAAAGATGTAACAGTTTTCCTTCGTGTTTTGTTTTCTTTTTTTTTCCTTTTACTAAAAATTTTGTTAGCTTCAAGCGGAGCTCACAAAAAAAAAGGGGGGGAAAAAAGGAAAGCAGGAAAAGCATGTCTCTCGTGCGGGCACTGAAAAGTGTTTACGGGGAAAAAACAAGGCCAATGAAGTGCTTTTCCCGGAAAAATGGCCGGGAGACTGACAAATGCAGCGCGTAAAATATCAAATTGCATTTCGCTTTATTTGAAATTGAGGCAGCCCAAGACAAGAGCGACAAAGAGAGTGGCGGAAAAGCGTCCGGAAAAGCATCGGCAAGCGTCCAGGTGAGGCGAGGCGAGGTGAGGTGTGAACAAAAAAAAAAAATGCGTGCCAGCTGGAAATTGAATTGAATTTTTCATGTCAAGCAGCATTGACATGGGGCCGTTCGTTGGTGGGAAAAACTCAGCACCAGCAGCAGCACCTCCTGCACCTTGCACACTTTACTTTTCACCTGCCAGAAAATCCATATAAAGGTATATATATATATATATGTATGTGTGTATTATTATTATTTTCCCATTTGAGGCGCCCATCGGACGTCGTATTAACGCCAGCTTTTCTTTTTTCTATCCTTCCCCGAATAGAACTCCGCTGAAAATTGAATGGAAAATTGCATATCCATCAATAACTAAACAATTTCTGACAGCCGGACGGGTTTACCTTGGTTGCCCGCTTAAAACAAATAAAAAATAAATAAAAAATAAATACAAAATCCCTAAAAAAAAAAATAGTTTTTCCCTTTGGCTAATTTTGGAATATTTTTTGGTTACTTCAAGGAGTGAAAATAAGTCAAATGTGGGGTTGGGGGATCTTTTTTTTATATTTATTTAATATTTTTTAAAGTGAAGGAGTCATTTCCGACCCCATAAACCATATATATTCTTGATCAGCATTAAAATACGAATCGATTAAGCCATGTTTGGAGGAAATCGAATTTTGAGCCATTTTTGCGAAATGTGATAAGGGGTTACATCATTAAAATTCGCAAAAATTGACCAAATTTTTTTTTTCTAAAATGTTATATTTAGTATGCAGATTTATTAAGCTAATTAAAATTAGCAAAAAACTGTTTTCCGTTTGGAAATTTATGCATTTTTGAAGGAGTTATGATATTTTTAGGTTTTATTTTTTTCAATATTTTTATCTAAAATTATATTTGAAATTTGCATATAAAATTAGGGATTAATATTACACTTAAATAAAGTATCCAGACTTATTAAACTTTTAAAAAATAACTAAGAACAGCTTTCCGAACTAAATTAAAAGCATTTTTTGACGAGTTATGATTTTTTTTCAATTTAAATTATTTAAAAAATCGAAAAATTTGGAATTCATAAAATTAAAAATTAATTAACTTTGATTTAAAGTACATATAAATTGTATACAATTTTTTAATACTAGTTTTTACTTTGTACTTATAATATTATAATAAAAAGGCTACGTATACGTGATATTTTGATACTTTATAAAAAGAAATACATACAATAGCATTTAATTTTTAATTAGTTAACTTTAAAAGGTATTTTCAGGGTTTAAAAAGCAGAAGAAAGCGTACAAAAAATGCCTCAAAATTAATTTTTCTTAATATTCCCAAAATACTTAAAAATGCATAACGTATACTTGATATTTACTTGCCTAAATATTAAGTATCCGCAATGTAATATTTTTTAAAAATATAAAATTAACTTATAATAGCATTTTAAGACCCTTAAAATCCCAAGGAAACTAATACCCAAAGCCAATGTATAAAAACCAATCGATTTATAAACCAATATTAACATGCTCATCAATATTACGTATACGCCACATAATTAATATTCACTGAACTTTTGTGGTCATAGGAAGAATGTAATAATATTTGCCTGGGAAACTCTTCCCTAATGAAAGTGCTTGCTTTCCGAATGGAATGCCACTTATTCCTCCTCAGGACGGTGATCCACCTCAACCTCTTCACATCCGCTCACCACACATCCTAGAAAGTGAGTGCAACGAGCAGCACCTTGTGATGGCTTTCGATAAATTAATACCTGGGATTTAATTAATAGACACAGCAAAAGAGAGATAGCGAGAGGGAGTAGGGAATTAGCTGGAAATTGATTTGCAGCGGCAAAGGATAACGCTTTTGGAATGCAAAAGGATTCCTAAGCGCGGGCGTGTGTGTATGATTCGTTTTATTATTTTCCAAGAAATCGAGTGCTGCTGCTGTTGCTTCTGCTGCTGTCAGCTTTCGTTGGCTTCAAAAATTCACTCCAATTAATGTGGCAACTGCAGTGATTATCCTTTGCCGGCAGGATGATGATTATGATGATGATGAATTGTGAAGGGAAAAACCAAAAGGGGGAGGGGGACGGGGAGGGGGAAAATCCAGAGGACTGGCAGATGAGCAAAGTTTTGTGCCGACGAAAAACGGCAACTATTATGCGCTAATTATGACTAAATAATTGCATGAAATGCGCCCAGCGCCAAGCGTTGAGCTCTGGCGAGCCCCAGACCCCAACGAAAAACTCAACTCGAAACTAATTTGCAAAAGCGTCGAGTGCCAAATCTGCCGCCAGCAGATCCTTCACCACTTATCCTTGACACTGGCAGAAATTTTTTGTTAAATTATGAGCAATAAATAATAAAAAAAAGCAACAAAAAATTAAAAAGTTATAAGGGGGAATAGATGAATTTATATTTAATAATAATATTTATAAAAATACCATTTTAATATTTTTTTAACAAGAAATATGATTTTTAAACTTTTTAAAATATTTAACTTACAAGAAATATAATTTTTAAAGCTGTATAAATATTTTTCCAACGAGAAATATAATAATAAAACCTATTAAATACTTTTTACAAGCTTCTGATTAAATAAAAAATAAAAAAGATCAAATTTAATAATGTAACTATAAAAATAAATAATATAAAAACCTAAGTAAATATTTATTTAAAATAATTCTGCTAAGAATATAATTATATTTCCCCTTTAAAATTAAAAAAAAATATATATAAAAATAATTCTCTTAATAATCTCGCTAATTTACTTATTAAATTCCACAAATTTCCATATTTTACTGCATTTTCTTGGTTTCTCTCAGTGCATTTACCACTATTCCCCACCGTTTCCCCGCCCTTTTGCTTACTTTGATGATTTATTTTTGGTTCAAGTGAAGCAACAGCAACAGCAAAAGCATAAGCAGCAGCAGCAGCTGGTTTCAAATTTACCGCCTACACATCCTGCACATCCTTTTGGCAGGACCAAGCACAACATCCTTTCTCAGTTCTCAGTTCTCAGTTCTCAGTTCTCAGTTCTCAGTTCTTGTGTGTTTTGTTGAGTTTTAATTAAATTTTTATATCTTCATTTGGGTCAGAACTTGAGCAAACATTTGTGTTTATATATTGATAGTTTTGCTTATAAACAATTTGAGAAAATCGCAATTAGGCGATTGAGAGGAAAACTTGTGAGAAAACCCCACCGTCAATTTTCCCTGCACAATTTGTAAATGCATGTTAGCCTCGTAATTGCAATGGGACTTTGAGACTTAACCAAATAACTAAATGAGGGGAAAACTTTAAGCCAAGGCTGAGGTTTGTGGGGGAGGGAGGGGAAAAGAAATTCAAGAAAATATATTTAATATATATAATATATAGGTATATATAAAATAAATAATTTGTTTTAAAATAAATGCAAATTAAATTAAACTTAAATAAATAATATTAATAATAATAATTTAATTGTTTTTGTTTGTTTTAAAATAAATATAATATTTATTTTGTTTCAAAATAAATTAAAGAAAATATATAATATATATTTAATTTTTAAAATAAATTTAGAAAAGATAATATATATTTAATATATATTTTGTTTTTAAATGAAAACCCAAACTTGGCTTTAGGTTTTTCTTTGGTTTCGATTTTATGTGAATTAATAAAACTCAAAGACCTTAAGGCTCTTTGATTTCCCCGAGCATTATCGAACTTTAATCAATTGAAAAGCTAATCACAAAGCAGAGATAAGCCGCTGCCTCCCCCTCCCACCCCTTGCACATTCGCTCATTTGCTCAGCGTTGTGACTTTTTATCTCCTGTGTAAACTTGACTCTCAACTTTACTAAAAAGGCAATCGCAGCGAGCTTTTTGCTCAGGAGATACAATGGCAATACACAGTGAGAAATTTTAAATTAAAAACAAAATTTAAATTGAAATTTATATAAATATATAAAATAAATATATCTGTAAAATATCTATATAATGGTTTATCGATTTTTAAAATTCAAATTTTAAATATAGAAAAAAATCGAACTTAATTGAAATCTTGATATAAAAAACAATATTAATTGTAAATATAATATTGTATATTTAAGTCTATATCTAGAATTGTAAATAACTACAATACTTATTAAAAAGAATAAGTAAATTAATGTTAAAATATCGATTTACCTATAGAATTTCGTGTATGAATAAAATATTTTCTGGCATTTGATTTAGATTTTGTTTGCTATTTCTTTCAGTGCACTGGCTATATCTTTGTGTGTGTGTCTGTGTGAAGGGCAAATCATTGAAGGTGGCCGGCTAATTTGGTTGTGAGTGTATGATAGAGAGGGATAGAGGGAGAGAGAGAGAGAGCGAGTCTGAGATGATTAATTGATTACGCGTGGGCTCTGTGATTTAACGGTAGCCAGGAATCTGGGTGTGAGGGAGGGGGAGGGGGCTTCTATCTCGGGTTTCATCTTAACGATTTGGCCTTGCGACGCGCTCAGGCAGCGAGCACGTTTCTTGATTTTTATTTCATTTCATTTCATTGAGTGGAAATTAAAGTTTTCGAATTACAAATATTTTGTATATATATATTTAAAACGGTCAAAATATTTTTCTAACAAGAAATATAGTATTAAAACATATTTAAATATTTATATAACTAAAAATATTATATTTACATTGACTTGAATATTTAATTAACATAAAATAAAATATTTAAACCTTAAAAAAAGTATTTAGCAATATATATATATATATTAAAAATACCATTTTAATATTTATCCTACAAGAAATATAATTTGTAACCCTTTTTAAATATTTAGCTTAAAAGAAATATAATTTTTATATCTGTATAAATATTTTTCTAACAAGAAATATTATATTCAAACCTATTAAAATACTTTTCGAATCAAAAATAATTAATATTAGCTTGTATTAATATTTTCCTGACAAAATATACAAGTTAAAATCTGTTTAAAAATGTTTTAACAAGAAATACTATGTAAAAAACCAATTTAAATATTTATCTAATAAATAATCAAATATTAAAAAATGTTTTAATAATTATTTTAGAAGAAATATAAACTCAAAAAATGTATAAAAATATTTAAAAAATAAAAAAAGTTATATTAAAATTAATTTAAATATTTAATTAACTAAAACAAGAAAGAAAACTAATTTCGGGAAGCGGACAATTTTTAAAAATTTAATTTAGATATTTACCTATAATTTTTTTTTTATAAGTAGGAAATATTCAAAACTTAAAAAATCCATTACTTAGCCAAAAATGCTTTAAATTCTATTCTGAAAGCGGTTTTGCTTTAGTTTTTACATAGTTAATAAGTCTGCATACCAAGTTTAAGGTTATTTTCAATTTCAATTTTTGCAAAATTTCCAAAATTTTAATGATGTAACCCCTTATAAAATTTTAAAAAATTTTGAAAATTTTTAGTTTCTTCTGGGAATGTCTAGAAAGATTCGCCTGCTAACGCTGATCAAGAATATATATGGTTTATGGGGTCGGAAATGACTCCTTGACGGCTTGGCAAGCTTTTGATCAGCAACAACAGGCGAGTCGATTTAGCCATATGCGAAAGAAAATATTCCTTTCAAGACCTAATAATATATAATGTTTTTTTTTTATAATTAATTCCCAGAAATTCTTAAACCAACTCTCGCTAAAAAAAACCCACTTGACCCCAGTAAATGTCAGGCACGGTTATCATTCCCAGCAGCTTATCAGCATCGAACCAAAGCCCCCCGACTTGGATGCGGATTAGAACTTGGAACTTGGACACAGAGAGAGTGCGATTCAGTTGGTAAACAAAAAGCAAAGCCGATGCTATGGAGCTCCTCAACGCCACGATCATTCCTCTACTCCTAACGGCACTCTTGGGGATGCCTGTGAATACCCAGGACTGTCGGCAGCTTCAGGAGCAGGACATGGATACGGAGGAGTCACCGTGTGAGAATTTCTATCAGCATGCCTGCGGCAATTGGTATGCAAATGTTTTCCAAAGGAATTTGGGTGCCCATGACAAGCACTCCCAGTGGAAGGCCAACCTAAAGCTCAAGTTGATTCGTTATTTTGAGAAAGGAGATGCTATGGAGGGATCTAGACCTCATTTGGGTAACTACTACAGAAGCTGTTTGGCGGCTGGTCAAACCCTAAGCTCTTACACCGAGGCAATGGCCAGGAGTGGAGCTAATTTTCCATTGCTGGAGAGGAATTCTTCGGCCTCTGAGATGGGAAATGGGTACTCCTCATCTTCGAGATCAGCCTCGGACTACTCCTCCTCCTCAAGGTCATCGACGTCAGCCTTCTCCTCCTCCTCGTCAACATCCTCCTCCTCCCCCTCCTTCGACTGGGTCCTGGCCAATGCCGCCCTCCGTCAGCATGGTGCCCAGGGCCTTTGGCGTCTCCTCGTCCAGGACAACTGGCAGTCGGCAGAGCAAAGAATCTTCTACCTCCTACCACCCCGCTTTGATCTCTTGGGCGAGGACACCATGAGTGAGTTCCTCTACCAGCGTTATCTCAAAATCCTGCTCATCGAAATGGGTCTACGAGTGCGAAGGGCAGCCCTTCTGGCCGAACGTCTTATTGAATTCGAACAGAGTCTGCGACATCTATTGCCCAAGGATGTGGAGCAAACACTGGTCCTACGAGAGCCTCAAGTCTTGAGGGAATGGGATCAGCAAGTGCCTCAACTCCAACTTAAACGTTACTTTGGAATCCTGCTTCAAGGTTTGGATTGGGATGAATCTAGTCTGCTGATTGTGGCCGATAAGGAGTACTTAATAGGTCTTCAGAGGATCTTAAATTCGAATAGAATAGATCCCTTGATCCTGTCTACTTGGCTGCTACTCCAGCTTCCAGCTCACTTTGAGCTGCGGATGCATGACGATGAGAATTTGAGCTCCCAGCGGGATCATTGCATTCAGCAGTTGCGTCGCTTGATGCCCGGTGCCTTGGGTAGACTACAAATGGAATTGGTTTTGGGTGAAAATTATCGCGAGGAATATGATACAGCTGTCCAGAGGATAACCTTGATGTTTAGGGATCTCAAACAGCAATTTGAGTTGGCTTTGAATGCCACCGAGGTGTTTGAACAGGATCAAAAAACCCGTCAATTGGCCAGGGAGAAGCTAAGAGCCATGAGGCTTGTAACACCTAGGCTACAAGAGGGCGGAGGAGGAGGAGGTTTACCCACCAATACCACCACTTGGGATGAAACCCTGATGCAATTGTCCCTCAACCAGGCTCGGATCGAGTTCCGGCAGGTCTTTGGTGAACCTGTGGTTGCTGCTCCTGCAGATCCTCTGGCCGTGAATGCCTACTATCGCCTCAAACTGAATCGCATCGAGTTGCCGCTGGGGCTGATGGTCTCCACGCTGCTGCAGCAGCAGGAGTGCAGCCAGGATTTAGAGCATTTCCAGGCTCGTTTCTCCGCCGGTTTGGGTTATATTATGGCCCATGAGATGGTTCATGCCTTTGACTATGATGGCATTAACTACGATGCTGGAGGGCAGCTGGCCAATGGCCAGTGGCCGGCCAGAGCCATCATCAGGTTTGGCTTGAGGGCCATCTGTTACCTGGGCAATCGTTACAGCAATGCCACCTTGACGGTCAACGAGAATATAGCGGATAGCGAGGGTCTACGGTTGGCATTGGACACTCATCTGGCGAAGAGAGGGAGCAAGGAGAAGGAGGAGGAGGCTGGCCAGCAGGAGAATCTGCGGAGTTTCTTTGTGGCCTTTGCCCAGAATTGGTGTGGAGTGGCGGCAACGGGGACGAAAGGTGGGACCACGCCTCAGCAGCAGCAGCAGCAGCAGCACGCAGGACACGCCGAGAGGGTCAACAATGTCCTGGGCAATCTGCCCGAGTTCGTTGAGGCCTTTCAGTGCAAAGCGGGGAGCCGCATGAATCCCGCCGACAAGTGTCGCATTTGGTGATCTTTTTTCGAGGTTTAAATATTGTTTTTTTTTTGTTTATAAATAAATAAATTGTTGTAAAAATGTTAATTATTTTTAATAAATTTGTTAGTTATAATTAATTAATTTTGATTAAAATGAATTAATCTTAATGTCTAATTATTGCGTTTTTATAAAAAAAAAATTGTTGTAAAAATATTAATTATTAAATAACAATAATTAATTTTATATTAATTATTATTAACTAATATTAATAATAATAATAACTATTATTATAACAATTTGATAAATACATAAAAAAATTGTTATAAAATAAATATTAATTATTATTAATATTAAATATTAATATTTATATTAAAAATTTTGAAAAGGAATCCTTAAAAAATATTAAAAAAATTCTATGTTAAATGTATATATATAATTATATAAGTAAAAATAATAAAAATAACTTTAGCTATGCAAAACCAACTGTATTTAATATTTCTTGCGCTATAGTATCTTTATTTCTCTCTATTTTCTTTTATTTTCTGTTTTTTTTTTTATTTGTATTTTCTGTATTTTCATATTGGTTTTGTAGTTCCTATTTATTTGTTATTGTTTTTTTCTATTTTCCTTGGAAAAATCCCCCCTAGAAGTGCAGCATATTTGTTTTGGTTTGTCCTGAAATTGGCGGTTGGCCGCAATCAAATAAAATGCAACCCCACCTAACGGGGTTATGGCCACGCCCCCCTTGCTCCCTTCCCCCCCCCACACACACACACACACAACATACAGACACATCAAATATTGCCGAAATATTGAAGAGATTGCCCCCAAAAAGTATGCAACAGAAAAAATCAAAAGGCAGGCACAAAAAAAAAAACAAGGAGAAAAAAATGAATAAAAGAATAGTTGAAGGGAAATAGGGTGGAAAATCTGTGTGTCAAGGGAAGGGGAAGGAGAGTGGGAGGGTGGGAAAGGTGTTTGGGGTGAAGGGAGAGGTGTGTGGGTTGAAGGGGCAGGTGTTCAGGCAGCTGCTCTGCATTTCACAAGGCGGAAAATGACAAGTGTTACTTTAATTTAATTTTATTTATTCCAAAAAATTAAAATTAATGTACAAATATTATTTAAATTAAATTAAAATAATTATTTATTATTTTATATTTATCTCCAAATATCATTATTATTATTTTTATATTTTGTATTATTATTTATTTTACATTTAATAAATAAAAAAATATATATAAAAATATAAAATAATTTACTATATTTTTTATATAAAAAGTTAATTTTTTGTTTAAATTTGCAACTATTTTTCGCTGCAATTTTCTCTAGAATTTCCTTAAAATTTCCCCCTTTTAACCAAGACATAATAACTAAGACTTAGAGGCTATTATTCCAAGCATTACCAAGCCAAAATGATGTAACAATAGTTGCTTATTTAGTTTTGGAAATAATTACAAAAGACAAATGGGAAATTGGGAAATTGCAAAATGCCAGGCCTGTCTGGGCTGCCTGAAGACAACATAAACATAATGCTTAATAATTGCAATGACAACTGTTTGCAGATTGTTGGCACTGACACACACACCACCCTCCCCCCCTCCCTTCTCTTGAATTTTCCCTTAGCTATTTTCCCAAGCAGTTTTCCTTAGCATTTTCCTCAGTTTCAGCCTTGGCTTTATCCTTACTATTTTCCTTAACATTTGCCTTAGCTTTCCTAGCTTTCTTAGCATTTTCCTCTACATTTTCCTTAGCATTTTCTTCTACACTCCCCCACTGATGATGATGCCTGGCATATGCCGACAAGTTTTGCCATCAAAAACTCCCAAAAGTATCCCCCAATAGTTTATGCACGCCAAAAACTTGCCAAGGAAAATGACAGTGTTTGGGGGGGTCTATGGAAAATGAGGAGGTGGAAAATGCCAACTCTCTTCTCCACTGATTGCGTTCCTTGTGATGCTCATCACCCACCCCGCTGTGTCTCCCATTTTCCATTTCCCTCTCCCCACCCCCCTCAAAGTCATGGCTAAAAGGATGGAGAGAAAGCATTTCGCTGGCTAATCCACTTAATTAGTGTTTGCGGAATATTTTCCAATATAAAATGCATGCAATGAGTGTGCAGGAAAAAAATAAAATGAAATAAAAAAAAAATAAACCTTGGAAAACCTCGGGAAAAAGGCGGAAAATGCTCGTGGAGTTGGGGGTCAAGTTAAGCGCGGAAAAAGCTACGCTAAGCCATCAAAATAGCTTTATTATATAAACGCGTAATCTGTGGCAAAAGATTAAAAAAAAAAAACAAGAAAACTTGTTTGCTAAGTTTTATTAGATTTTTTATAATTTTTAAAATTAAATTAAGGCTTAGTTGGGGTTAAATAAATTAGGGTTCAATGAGTTTTTAATTATTGTTACTGGAAACAGCTTTAAATGTATTTTTAAAAAGGAATATCTTCAAGATCTTGAAACTTTATATTTATTTTAATTTATTTTAGTTTAATAATTAATTTATTTTAGCTGTAAAAATATTTTTAAGCTTTCAATTTTACTTAAAAAAATGTTTCCTATTGTTTTTTTTTATAGATTTTTTGTTTATAGATTTATTTTGTAAAAATTATTTCTTTAAGATCTTAAATCTTAATATTTATCTTAATTTATTTTAATTTGTTAATCTATTTATGTTTATAGATTTTTAGCAAGTTTTTTTAAGTTTTAAAATTCAATTAAGCCTTAATTGTAATAAAATACATAAGTTATTTTATTTTTAATGTGTTTTTAGTTATTTTTCCTGTAAACATCTTTAAATTTATTTTATAAAATGAATTTTTTTAAGATCTTAAATCTTTTTAATTATCTTACTTCATTTTAATTTGTTTATTTATTAATTTTGGCTTTGAAAATACTTTTAAAGCTTTTAATTTTAATTATAATTATTTTAAATATATTTTTTTTGTATATATCTTCAATTTGTATATTTATCTTAATTTATTTTAAGTGGTAAATTCATTTTTTTGGCTGTACTAATATTTTCGAAGCTTTTAATTTTAATTATAATTTTGCAATATTTCCCTTTGCCAAAAAACCTTTAATAAACCTCCATATATATATTTTTTTAACTACAAAAAAACCCCCTCTGCTCTCTGTTTGTTTATAAATATTCCCTTTCGTCAATTAAGTAGCTAGTGAATCGGTTTCGATTTAATTTAATTACTTGTAACATCGATTGTTCTGCGGTAATTGTTCGACGGCATTCAATTGCACTCGAACAAAGGTAAAGGTGAGGCCAAAAGGTCCTGGCTGAAACGCCGGGATTATGTCGTGTCCTGGCCAATTACAGCTTAATCTTCATTCGCAAACCAACCACTGGCAGCGCGGGAAAAACCCGAAGAAAATCAGTGGAAAAACTCAGAAAAAAAAGAGAACTGGGGAAAAACCCCCAAAGAAAAGCATAAGAAGGAAACAGGAGCAACACCCAAGACATTCATTCCAGCTTCAAGGTTTAACTTGGCTTTTTTTTTTGTTTCAACTTTTCTGCTTATGCGCGAGGAATACCCTCGAAGGGATATTTGTTGGAAGTAGTATATGTTTTTTAAATTGCGAGGTATTTACGCAGTCTCCACAGTTTTCTTCTCGCCTTATTAATGCCTGGGAATTTCTCTTTTTAAATAGCAAATCAATAGATTTCACAGTCGTGCCTTGGCAAGGATTGCACTTATTTTGCTCCTTTTGTTTTTCGGGGACTGGGTCAAGTGGGTGGGTGGTGGTGGTGGGCAAATGTGGGCGGTGCAAGGTGGGCGTTACAGCTGGTAGCTATAGCTGTTAATTACCACGGCAATGGGGCGAGCGTTTATTGCAACGCCATTTTGTACGTGCGGTGCATAAAGTGGCCCAAGCCCGGCAATTGGCAATTAATTGAGCCACGACGACGAGCGACGACCCACCAGGAGCCACTAAAATTGCCCCAGAAACTGCACACACACTCACATACCATATATAATATAAGCTTAAATCGGGGATAGGGTCAGGGTCTCTTTCTTATATAGTCTATAATCGTATATAATAATTTCATATATTAAATAAATCATAAAAATTTAACTCACTTGAAGGTATCGCGGCTAAAGTTCTTGAATATATTGCATTCGGGATGCTCCAGCAGGCGGAAGGCTATCGAACAGTGATGGTTCTCCAGCGGCGAGATGTCATTGTATCTGTGAAAAGTTGATAATCAAATTATTAAAATTATTATAAATATAAAACAAAAAACTAGCAAGAAAGGTAACTTTGGGAAGCTGAATTTCGAATACCCTGGAAGTTCGCCGAATTTAAAAAAGATAATTAATATATAAAATTAATAATAAAATATTAAATATTGTGTTCATATTTAATTAAATATTTAAATAATATTAAATAAAATATTTTGATAATATTAAATAATTTTAAATAGATAAATAATGATTTTCAAAATATTTTTTAAAATATAAAAAAAAAAAAAAATACATAATCAATTTTGTTTTAATTTTGAAAGTGTTTAATTTTTTTTTATTATTTTTGGAAAAAAATCTAAATTTAAAAAATGCATAACTAAGCCAAAAAAGCATTAAATTCAATTCGGAAAACGGGTTTGTCTTAGTTTTTATGCAGTTAATGAATCTGCATACTAAATTTTTAAATAAAAAAAATCAAGATTTTTTCTTAAATGTTCTTAAATTTCTTATAAAATCTTGAAAAAAATTTCAAAAATTTATTTTCTTCCAGAAATTGCTACAATGATTCGCCTGTTGATGCTGATCAAGAATATACGACTCCTTCGCAGTTTTGCAATTAAAAATACCCCTCAAGGGGGGAAAAAAGAAAACACCCACCTGAGTGCCAGCTCAGTGCGAGCATTAATCTGATATATATTGTTATAGCCGGGATGATCCAAGTCATGGCAAATGCAGGACACCAGCAGGATCAGACACTCCAGATCGCCCAGGCGGCTCAGTAGATTCGCCTGACGGGTTATGGCATACATCTGGAAATAGTAACCAAAGGATAAATATATAATATTAAATATTTTCTGTATTATAAATATAATATAATTACTATTAAATATATAAAATAATTATTAAATACAAGCAAAAATAATGCAGGGGAAACCTCTTAAAAAATATATTTTTAAAGTAAATTATTATATAGTCCCTTGATAATTGCTTAATTTTTTAAAAATAAAATATTTTTTAAAATATAATAAACAATACAAAATATTATTTACATAATTTACAATTTTTCTTAAATATTTTTCATTAAATTTCCTATAACATTTCCCTCAATGTTCACCCTTTCTTTGATCTGCCTGTGGTCCTTGGTGCTCCTACTTTTACTTTCTGCCTGCGAACTTAATTTGTCTGCTGCAAGTCCTTTGCAATTACGAGTGGAAGGACCACCAGGCCACACTTACTATATACCCCCTCCTACCCCCTCTCGATTTTTTTTTCTTTTTTGGTTTGGCAAAGGATTCCCCTTAAGGAATTTCAACAGCGTTCAATTGAAGCGAAGCAAACTTTGCCCAGCTCTTGGCACTAAAGTTGCACAAAAAAGACTGCAGTGGTGATGGTGGCCAGGTCTAGCGATGGTCGAGAAATATCGAAAATATATAAAATATATTTTTGAAGCTTTAAGTTTTAATTTTTGTTGGGTATTTTTGTGATATTTGATCAATAAAAATCAATAAATTATGAATTTTAAGCTGATTTTAAATATTAAAAAAAAATTTCTTTGATATTTTTCGATATTTATTGATAAAAAACTTTAAATATTTGTCGATATTTCTTTGTAGCAATTTTCAATATTTATCGTGTAATTATTTTGTGATTTGAATGCCGATTTTAATATTTCAGAGTTTTTCGATATTTTATCGATATTTTCTGAATTTACGATATTTGTTAAATAATTTTCAATATTATTTTTCGATTTTTCCTATTCAATATTTAATTTGATAATTATTTGCATTGTAATTTTAAAGGCAATATCAAAATATTTAATTTAAAATTACTTTATTTAATTTTGTATAATATTTTGAACAGTAAATTTAAATTATGAGCCGAAGGCCTTAGATGCTATGGCTCTTTACCAATTGTTAGCTCTTAGTTTAATACTATTTGTTAGCTTTAGATAAATAAATAAATAAAAATAAATTTAAATTATTTCGGCAAACCCCTATAAAAACGATTACATTCGATATATTAAGCTATCGATATTTATTTCGATTATGCACATACATACCCAGTTGAGACAAGAATTTCGCGGAAAGACTTTTCGGGGGGGCGGTCTCTGGTCGTAAAAGTTGTTGCACAACTTTCTGCCGCCATTGCGTTTACTTTGGCATTAAGTGCGAACGAAAGGGGTATATACTATACATATACATATATATATGTGTGTATGTAGTGCAAAAACAAAATCTCACTGGGGAAATAGCTGGGGAGGGAGGCGCGCTGGTGCTGTGGTGCTATAAATTTATGCAAATGCAAATGCTGTTTGCGTTTCGAATTTCGCAAGTTTATCTAAATTCATTGTCAACAAACAGACGCAGACAACGCAGCCCACAAACACCTCCCCGATTTTCCCAAAGGGAGGTTGGGGGGGGGACGTGTGTTCCTTTGCATTTTCCGCTTGTTGGAAAACTTTTCAGCGAACAAATATACACCAAGGAAATCAACGGCAGCGTTAGATGAAAAGTGCAGCCAATGGAAATTAGTCAAAGTGTTTGGTCAGGCTGCCTTTCCCTCTGGAAAATGCAGTGGGGGGAAGAGAGAGATGGAGCTGGGGGAGTTTTCCGTTCAATAATTTAAATTTACGCTCGTTTTTCTTTTTTTTTTTTTGTTTTTTGATTGCCGCCGGATTTTTGTTTCGCTTGTTTGTGGGTTTGCGCCCAAAAGCCGCTTAACGGCTTGACTGTCATGTCCTGCGAGCCCAGAGTCCTTACAAATACACACACACACAAGCACATACATGCATACACATACACTTACACTTACTCAGCATACAGCAGAAATAAATGTGGTGGAAATTGTAGTATTATTTTGTTTATAAAACGGCAAGTAAATAAATAATTTTAAAGGGAAAATCTTATAATTTTAAATAAAATTAAATTTTAAATATAAATAAATATATGAAATATTAGATAATATTTATTTATATATTTTATGTATTAATTTATATATATTTATACAAACATATTATAGTTTATAATATTTTATTTTTATAATAAATTTTTTTTTTTCATTTTATATTATTATATTATACACTTTTTTATAATTTATTTTTATTATTTTGTTTATTTATTTTTATTAATTTAATTTATTAATTTTTAAATATTATATTGTAATATATTATTTTATTTAATTTTTATTATAATAAATTTTTACTTATTTTATTATTATATTGGTTTTTGTTATAAATTTATTTATTTATTTTTAATTATTATATTATAATTGAATTTAATTCATTTATTTTATTTACTTAATTGAGATTTATATTTATATTTCTTTATAATGTTTCTCTTTATTAAATAATATATTAATCATATTAAAATTAATGTTTCCCAATTCAAAAAACTAGTTTTTAAAGAAAAATTCAGCCTTTTCTTATACCTTTTCCTTTAAACTGAAATTTAACCAAGCTGTGGCTTTGTTTATAGCCAATTTAAACCAAGTACTTTGTTGTTTATAACTTTGTTTTTAATGTTTATTTACTGGGTTTATTCTTTCCAAAGTAACACTTCTATTATTTTAACCGCAGCTGTTAGTTTTATGGACATGACTCGCCTATGCAAATGGGCATTCCCCCCATTGAATTGTAAAATACGCAACAACGCATATGGATCGCTGGGCAGCGATAAAAATGGAAGAAAAAAAAATACAAAAAAAAAGAGAAGAAAAACTTAAAAAAGGAATAACGGAATAAGCAGCAGAAGGTCGAAAATTTTTAAGGATTTTTGAAGGCCAATATCCTTTGAGCCTTCAAGCTTTTTTTTATAGGAGAAACTTTAGTTTGTGGTAGGTCCACAGGATCAATTGGAAAATCAAAATTCAGCATAATTTTTCAAGCTGTTAAAGTTCTTAATATGTATTTATTATTTATAAAAAAAAATATTTATATATTTATAATATTTTTTACATTTTTAATTACTATTTACAGGGTCGTTTGCATTTTTGGTATTAATTTCTTAAATATTTTTTTATATTTTTATTCACATAAGTTTTTGAGTCAAGTTTTGATATTTAATCGATTTTTAAAATTAAAATTTTTTATATATTTTTAATCACATTAGTTTTTTATTAATGTTTATATGCTAGTTGCTAGTTTTTTTTATTTATTATGTTTTTTATATTTTTTTTATTATATATTTTTTTATTTATTATTTCTTATTATATTCTTTTTTTTATTAATTAGTTTTGTATTTTATTTTTCTTATTTATTATTTTATTTATTATATTTTTGTTTTATACTTTGTTGTTGTTAGTTTTTTTATTTTTAAAAATATTTCTATATATAAATATAATAATAAATATTTCAAAAAATTTCTTTTCCCACTTTTTAAAGTGCATTTTTTCCATTCAATTCCTGAACATGGTCGAAAATAACCATAAAAATTCATAAAAAAAAATAAACAAGTTTTGTAAACTCAGTTCTCCTGTGTTTTCTTGTTGATTTTTCGCTGCTGTTTGGCACATATTGCGGTTTATGGCAAACATATTTAACAAGGGAGCAGCAGCAGCTTCAAAAAAAAAGAGGCAATAATGCGATTGTCATAGTTGCGCTTGTGGCTGCAATATATATATATATTATTTTTGTTGTTGCTTTGCCTGGCCAACCGTGCGTATACTTGATGCGTATACTTGATGCGTATACTTGATGCCACGCCTTCTGCACGTTTCTCTGCCACACAAACACACAAACACACACACAGAGCTACACATATTGTTGACTTCAACTTGCATTGGCAGCCATTGTTGCCACAACCCATCCTTCCTCTTCCTCTTCCTCCTCCCCCACCTACCCGCCCCTTTACCTGTTGTTGTTTTACCTGGCAAAAAATAATTTATTAAAGTTTTTCGTTTCGTTTCGTTTCGTTTCGTTTACGTTTCTCTCTCTTGTCTCTGTGTCTTTTGTCTTCAAGTCCTCCCATCGAAAGTTGAGTTTTCCTTACAGTGAAGCCTGCCTAAGTGCAACTCGCTTTGTGGCAAAAGTTTTCGTTGTCTGCAAAATGCATTTGAATTCATCTCTCAGTTCATTTTTATGCAGCCACAAAGAGAGGGAAATTAGACAGCTTACAAAAAAAATAATGCCAAGGGCTTTGGGTATATTTATATAAGTAAAACTAACGAATAAGGGATACCCTGCAATAAGGAGAATATCCTATTTTAGTTCATATTTCTTTTTTTGTGAAGGAAAAATTAAAAAGTAGTAGAAGAAAAGTTATCTCAAAAGAATTCCTTAACTTGAATATAGCCGTTAATACCCTGTCTTTAAGGGGTATTTTCAGTCTTTAAAAATATTAGAAAAATATACATAAATATTTTATGAAAAATAAAAAGTAGTTGCCACAAGAAAAGCATTTCTAATCTCTAGAAAGTTTTAGGTAAAAACATTATACCCTCGTTTTAATGGGTATTTTTGAGTTAAAAAAAAAACTATATTATAAAAAATAAAAAGTAATAGCCAAAAGAAAAGACATTTTCTTAAATTAAGAACCTTGTCTGCATAAACTTTCCTTTTAAACCGTGTAAAACCTCTCTTTAAAGGATATTTTCGGGTTTAGAAAAATAGTAAAATAATAAAAAATATTTATTTTTCAGAGAAAAAAACAGGTAATAAAATATCCGGCTAGTTTAGTTGTTTTAACAAAATTTAAGTTAGAAAAACATAAAGGTTTAAGTAAGGTTTTCTAATCTTTATGATATTTTCAGTAAAAACAATATACCCTCTCTTTAATGGGTATCTTTCAGTTAAAAAAAAAATACAAGAAAATGGTAAAAAATGTAGCCAAAAGATGCAACAACACCGCGGCAACTTTCATTTGCCAAAAATGTAGGTTAAAAAATGTTCCGTTGGCACTTGAGCAGCCAAGTGGGTCGCTGGCCCTAAGTGCTCGTCCTCGCCGGGTGGGTGGTAAGGTTGTTTTCCAGGGCGGTTTTTTTGGGGTGGTTTTTTCGGTTAGTATTTCGTTTTTTTTATTTATTTATTTTTTCTTTTTTTTTCGGACTGCACTGGGTGAGTGACCAGTGGCCTGACCTCACAAAAAAAAAAAAAAGTGTTGGTTGGTTTGCTATTTAAAAGAGGAACAAATTTCTTGGTTTCTTCTTTAGTATATATCTTTGTATCTTTTTTTTTTAGCTTTGTATATTTTGTTGTATATATCTTTTGTATCTTGGACGGATCTTTTTGGGCAGCTAAAAATAGGCCTTGTCCTAAGCCACACACAAACACACACCTTTGCCTTGGTTTATTTTTGCATTGCATTGTGCAAAGAAAAAGAGAAAAAAAAAGACTCTGGCTTAGAGATATGGAATATATATATTCATATACATATATTTACATATATATATTATATATATATATACATACACATGTCCTGCTCACATTATATCGATTGAAAGGTTGCTTCTTGGCATTTATTCCTACTTCAGCATGCATTCATTATGAGTCTGCCGCCTCTGTGAGCCTGCATATATTATATGAAATTATATATATAAAAATATATACATATATACAAACATATATAGCAAACATTTATTGTGTTTTTGTGTGCACATTCAAGTATTTTATTAATAATGTGCAGGACAACATTATTAGATCACAAACACAATGGCTCTTTCAAGATGCGGCACAGCCATTAAGGCAGAAACTACAACTAGCTGGCATATCCGATTTCAGAGAGAGAAAAAAAAAAACACAAGAGATTTAATTTTCAATAGTAAATATCAGAAAAAAGGGAATATAGACCCAACAATGTTGCCCCCCAGGGCAGCCCATTAAGAACCTATCCGATTTCACTGGCTGGGAGAGAGACTTCTTTAAAGACCTTTAGGGTTCGCTTGTAATAAGTAAATTTAAATATCGAAAAAATAGAATTTTATGTGAAAATATCGATATATCTGTAAAAATATTTCTTAAAATATTGTATCAAAAATATTGTAAAATTGAAAAATATGGTATTTAATAAATTATTTATAATAATACTGTAAATATCAATATTATCGATAAATTTTAGATAACTTATTCTTTCATCTCATTTATATTTTATATATTTATTAAATTTTGAATCTTACCTAAAACTATATTAAGTTTTTTATATTAATTCCAAAAAATAATACATTAAATTGATTTATAAAATTTGTATTGCAACGTAAAAATATCGATTTTTTATGGCGCTAAAAATTATATATAAAAAAAAGATATAGAAAATGTATTTATTAATATATTATACGCAATTTATTTAAAATTTAACCTAACAACAATATTTTTAAATTTTTAAAAATTAAATTAAATTTTGTTTGTATATATTATGACTTTTACTACGATTTATATTTACTTCTCAGCTTAAAATATCTATAAAGTATCGATATATCACTATTTTTCATCATAGCCCTGGATTTCTCATGTTTTGGAATATTTTATTTTGTAAATATAACCTTATGAATGATCCCCTCATAACTTCTTTATAATTATTTTCAATATTTTATGACTCTATGACTATAATATCGATTTATATATCGGTCTTTGTATCGATATCTCACTATTTACTGCCTTGTCCCTGGATTTTTTTAGATATATTTTTATATTTCAATAAAAAAATTTAAAAAAATGCACTCACCATTTGGGCCACGCAGAAGCAATGCCGAAAATTGTGGAAGGGCACCTCGTTGTAGTGCTTGTAGACCTCGTAGAGCCATTCGCGCAGTGTATCCACCGGAATGCTAAACTTCTCGATGAATCCCAGCTCAACGAACATCGTTTGCATTAGGTGGATGACGTCCGCGTCGCCCCACTCGTATGAGTCGAAGGCCGGCAATCGGAGGGCGGCCCTCACCTCCTCCGAGAAGGTCGTATCACAAATTTCCAGGAAGCGTCGCTTAACCTCCTGATGCTTTGGTAGACTGCTTTTACGATGCGGCGGCCCCAGTGGCCGTTTTGAGAGGCCTGCAATATAATAATCTATGATTAATATTTTTAAGAATATAAAAAAAAATGGAGAATATAAGGATATAGTATATAAATTTTTATATAAACTAACCCATTATTAATATTTTTTTTATATTTTAGGCGAGTTCAATTGAATAGTTTATAGCTATAATTTATTTATAGTTGCTTATATTTATTATATTTTTTTATATTTATTAATATTTTTTTATATATATCTACAATTATTTATATTTGTTTATACTTTTTAATAATTATTTAAATTTCTTTGAATTTATTTTTCAGTTACTTATATTTTTTTATATTGTTTTATATTTATTTATATTAATTTATATATTTTTTAGATTTGTTTATATTTATATATATTTATTTATATTTATTTATTTATTTTGTATAATTTTTTATATTTATTAATTTTTTTTTATATTTATTTATTTTTATTTATATTTATTTATAGTTATTAATATTTATTTATAATTTTTTTTTTTAGTTACTTATATTTCTTTATATTTGTTTTATATTTTTTTTTATACATTTTTTATAAATTTTTTATATTTTTTAGTTTTTTTTAGTATTTTTTTAAAATTATTTTCATTTATTTATATTAATTTTTCAGAGCTATCCTTTGATGGTTACCTTAAGGCCTTATTACTAATTTAAAAAGTTAATCTTTGAAGGTCAAGTCAAGGCCCATAAGGATATATAATTAACACATAAATAAGCTTTCTTTCTTTCTACATTATATTGCTCTTTTTGTTGAGTATAGTTTCTTTTTTGTTTAATAAACAAAATCAGTTGACACAGGAAATACAGTCTGATGATTCCAATTTCGATTATGGCAAAAAAAATCAAGCTCCCAGGACTCACAGCTCTCTCTTTCTCTCGCTGCTCATTCACATCCGAGTCCAAGTCCGATTCCAATTCCGATTCCGATTCCGCTTTCGAGTTCAAAACTCAACTCACTTGCCACGGAAATACGATGGCCTGCTCTTCCTTTTCACAATTCCCTCTTGCTATTTTTCATATTTTCCTTTTTCTTTTTTTTTATTTGAGAGAGAGCCTCCCCATAGGCGGGAAATTAAATTTTCAATCGTTGGCACGCTTCAATGGCTGAAAATGAAGCCCGAAAAGCAAGGCACACACACACAACCCAGTGATAGTTCAACATTTTGCACCTGGCCTCGGCGGAAGCTGGGCAGGCAGGCCTCTTCCCATTCCCGTTCCCGTTTCATCCAGTGTGTTGGCCCTCGGGGGCCAGGAATCCAGGAAAAGTTGAAATGCTTTTGCCTCAATTTAGCTTGCAAATGAATCAAAACATTTTATGATTGCGGCCGAGAGAGAGAGAGAAACGGGAAATAACCTAGTCTTTCCTTTATTTTTTTTGCCAAACTAATAAACTGGTGGTCAATTTTCTCCATTTTCCACTCCACATTTCTCTACATTTTCTCCACATTTTCTCTTATTTTCTCGCTTTTCTCTGGCATACCCAAAGGGCTAGTAGTTGTATCGAAATAATATTCTTTTTTAAATATTCAAAGGCTTTTTTGGGTTGCAAACATTTTCCATTTGCTTAAAAGATATATAAACTATATACTTTATATAAATGTTGATGTATCTTTAAGATACTTTTTCTCAAATTTAATATCTTCATTTTGAAAAAAGAGTCTCTCCTCGATTGTGAGTGGGTTATGCAATTAGCCTCCGAGCAGCAGGCCAATTTAGATGATTGAATTACCAATCTCAAATCTCCAATTACCTCTCACTTGCTCAATCAATCAATCAATCACTATTCTTTATACTTTTCTCCCTCCGTCTGTAATCGTGTGTAATTGCAGAGGGAGAACCCTATTGTAAATCAATCTGTCAGTTAATAACGAGGCAACCTTTCATTACCCCTTCGCTCTGAGCAGATTCTTCTTCTACGCTCCTCTCTCCCCTGACGACTTTCTCCGCGGAGAAGTGTGTGCAAATATAGAAAAGCGAACGAGCAACAAAAGGAAATGACACTGAAAAAAATAAAGCGAGCTATGGTAACTCCTAAATATTGGTATTAGGAGTTTTTACAATATTGGTGAGAAACGTTGGTGTAAAAATATCTAAAATATTGCAACGTTGGTGTAATAAGTTATTCAAATCGAAAATATATTTTTAAAGTTTTTCCAACGTTGGTGTAAAAATGCTGCTATACAAATCAAAATTATATATTAATTTCTACGTTGGTGTAATATTTTGCTATGGAAATTTGGTGTGGAACGTGTTGTAAATGATTCTTGGCCTTACAAGTTGGTGTTAAATTTTGTTGTTGTTGTTGTAAAATTGGTAAAATGTTGGTGTTGTTGTTGTAAAATAAGTAAACTGTTGGTGTATATGCTTCTTCAAATTTTTGTAAAGAAATAAATGCTGTTGAAAATCTTTGTATAAACATTAATATCAGTGTTGTAGTTAAATGTTGGTGAAAAATGTTGTTTTGGTAAAATTTAATCTTAAAAAAATCTAAAAATCTCTATTAAAAATCTTCAAAAATCTATACAGCATAAACAATAAAGCAAAAGCTTTCCTCGTCATCAACTAAATAAAAAATATATATTTTGGCTTTCATCTTTTGTCAGTTTTTTCGTTCAGTGCACATAGTCCCTACATATATATATATACAACATATCAGAAACGCGACGGCGGCTTAATTAAAAATTGTAAGTGGCAGTAAATTAATTATAATCGGTGGGCCCGCAAAAGTGTTTGGCTTGCAGCACATGTGGGCGTGGTGCCACTGCCCACCACAGGCACTACTTTGTGTCGCCGTGTGTGTGTATGTGTGTTGTGTTGTGTATCTGTGCTGGCAGGATCCAAGGAGTATCCTGTGTGGGTGCACTTCAAAGGGAAGCGTTTTAATCAAATTTCGAAGAGTGGCACCGCTTGTGATGTGGGCGGAAAGCGAATAGAGCATAGAGAGGGAAATAGAGTGAGGTAGAGTGAGAGAGAGAGAGAGAGGAAGAGTTCACCCTTCGTCCTTTACTTTTTCATCCTGCCTGTACCCTTGGAAAAGTCAACTCTCTCTCTCATTACAATGAAATCTTGGCCAAAAATGTTTTGCCCCTCATCAGCAAAATAGGCGATCCTATGGACTGGCTCGTTGAAATTGGAAATGCTATGAATGAAGGAGGCCTGTGTTGGAAGGTCCTTTGACTAGGACTTGGCTTTGTCGCTGGCTACCAGGAAAATAATCAGCAGCAAAAGCAAGCCAAAGCCGAAGCCTTAAAAGAACTTGGCTTTTGGTATCTCTCTTCAATCGTTGTAAATTTCTATGAAAGGGGAGATTTCAATGAATTTCGGGGGGAAATAGAGATACATTTTTTCTATAAAATATATTTTAAATATTTATTTAGCCTAAAAAAACCTTGAAAAAAAAATATATATAAATATATAGATAAATAAAAAATATATATAAAATATGAAATATATAAATAAATAAATCTCTGAATAAAATAAACTTAATAACAATTTCTCTTAACACTTCATTTATTTTTTAATATTTTTTTATATCAAATTTTTTTATCACAGTTTGATCGATGAGTTTGTCTCGGAGAGACTTAACCCAAAAAAAGGAAAAAAAATATTTTCTTGCTCCTTTCAAGCTGATGCAACTCTGATGCATTCGAAAATATGTCACTGGGGCTTTCCCTTTTTATTTTTTCTCTTGTTTGTTTCGCTTTTTCCGGTGCTGACAGTCGCAGATGCGAAATATTAGCTGTCAATTATATATTTTTCACACACTTTCCATGAAAATGATTGATTGAAAAGAGAGAGACGCATATTGATAGTTTTCTTTTCTTGCTTGCCATTCTTTTCTTTTATTTTATTTCATTTTCTTTTCTTTTCTTAAATTTTCTTTTTTTACTTTTCTTTATTTTATTACTTCTTTTTATGTTTTTATTTTCTGCAAACACTTTGCCATTTGCAGTTGATTAGCAATCAAAGTAATTGTGGCAAAAGTGCAAGGCAAATACTGGGGAAAATCGAGGGAAAGTCGAGAGGGTTTTATTTGCAATTTTCATGACAGCTTTTAGAGGGTATTTTTAGAGGTATTTATTTATATTTTATTAGAAAAAGAGAATATCTTAAATATAATGGCAACTGATAACCAAAAAATGTATCTAAAACATCAACTGAAATATCAGTTTTAAAAAACCTAGAAAATATCGATTATATTTAAATTTATGTTTCAATTCAATTATACATTAGGGTATTCGATATGATAGTTTTCTATTTCGTGTACTAAAATATTATATAAAAAGTTAAGTGTTAAATTACTAATTTATCTATACTTAAGAAAAATTTAAATTATCGACTAAAAAAACGATTTAAAATGGAAAATTAAATTAAAACTATTGTAATATTGTAATTAATTTTAAAAAATTTTATATATAAAAAACTATTGATTTAAAATAATTTATCTAAATATTAAAATCGATATCAATCTACAAATATCGAAAATGTTAAATATTTCCCTATTTTCTAGGGTATTTCCTTTCGATTCTTCAACAGTCTTGCCTTGTTTTCTTTCAGGTTTTTCTGTTTATTTTTTTTTCTTGCAGTTTCATTTGCCAATTTGCTTTTTTGCAGGAGAAAACAGACCGCAGGACCGCACAGGACATTTGCTGGGGCTTGATAAATGAACTCGATATTTCGTGCCAAGCCGAGTCGGGGCTATAAAATTTGCTGCCAAATATTGCAATTGTTGGTGGAGAGGAGAGGGTATGAAGGAGTGTTTGTATTTTTTTCTTCGCCTTCTCACATTGCGCATACGCCGTGTGTGGCAGCTGCAGTGCATTTTGCTTGCTGCACTCCACAGCTTTCAGAGAGCTCCATCTTCGGGGTCTATTTCCAGACCACCATCACTTGATGGTCATTTATCAGGCCGCCCCTCAGCTACGCCCCTCAGCTATCCCCCCTTTCTGGTCAAGTGACGCACATTCCTGTGGCCAATAATGCAATTGTTTTTA